CTGGGGGCACGATGCCTGTGGAAGAGCAACCAAAGTGACGTAAGTTTACGCAGGGTGTCTATATCTGCCTCAGTGACATCAGAATATTTACTGATAACTTACCCGGTGCGGGAGAGCTCATCACGGGCCCAACGGTGCTGGGAGAAGACATGGCTGCTGGGAACCGCATCTGTGCTTCTCCTCCATATCTGATCAGGACGACGGCGACAACAGGAACAGCTGTTAGTTTATGTACCCGATGAGCGAGCGTGAATGTGAGCGTGCGTAAAAGATGCGACCGGACCTGAAGAAGGCTCTGGTGGCCCACTGTGAAACCTCTCGGTCGGAAGCGGCGCTGGAGCAAGCCAGGATCAGTGCCGCGGCACAAGCCTGCTCTTCCTGCACGGAACACAACAATTCAAATATTCAGTGCGAGAGAAATACACGTGCACCCCCCGGTCCATGGCTGCAGGCCTTACGGTTCTGGCTAAAGGCCACGTTAAAGAAGATTGGACACATCAGTTTATAGTCTGGCTTCGTACCCTGTGCAGCTTGAAGAAACGTTCAACCTCTTCACTTTCTCCACCGGCGCCGCTCACCAGCAGGTGACGGAGCTGGTCCACCGGTCGCAGTTTTTGAAAGATATGACTCCCCTACAGGACGGAGTCTCCTTTTAGTACACGCAATCAAGACAACGTTTTGTCACACTCAGCGGGTGTGCAACGCGATGAGTGGCGGCGGCAGTTTTAACCTTTGCAGAGAGAAGGACAAACTTCTGTGGAGGGATGTTGTGCTGCTGGACCACTACGGGTGAGTCAGTGATGGGGATCCGTTCATTGTTCAGAGGAGTACAAATCCTGGATGGTCTCTCCTCGTTTATGGCACAAAGAGCCCAAGAATGTCCGTCTACGTTAGACATCATCTGCAATAAAGGACACAAGAGCGAGAGGAATATTGTAGGGTTTCTTTTGAGCTGTGTAGCCTGGTTTTTAGGCAGTAAAAAAAGAAATCAGACTATAAAATATAAACCAGAGGTCTGTTAATGATGATAAAAAAGCACTTGCGTAATCAGCAATAGCGAGCAACAACAAATGTTGGCAAGAGACATTAAACTGACCTCTACAATTTTCTTATACGTTTATTTTGTGCCAACCTGAGTCTCCATCAAGGGTTTCTTGAAGGGGAAGGAATCGTGGTTGATGCACCACAGAATGTCACTGTCCTCCGTCTCAGAAGCAGCCATTAACAGAATACCTGAAGGGTTAAACGGAGAGTAGACAAACTGGTATTACAGACAGACCTGGATTATTAGCTTAACTAAAAAGGTTAAAAGACAATATTGGGTCTGACTCCCATTGAGGCATTGTGATAAATAGCGCACACAAAAAAAGGTTTACCTTTGCTGTGTAGTGCCTTGTGGACTTTTGTAGGTTTCTGCAGGGTAGACGATGCAGAAAAGCCTGGAGGCAGACGGACGTGGACCAAAGCTAGCAGGCAAGGTCGAACCGCCAGGTGCCTTTGGTGTGGAAGGGCAAATGGCGTGGTGCTGAAGTAGAGACGCACCCCTACAGGCACAGAATGTATACAGGAACATTACACTACACGCATCTAACGGTTTTTACACTCATCTTCGCTTGTGTTCCGTAATCTTTACCTGCATGAGTGACAGCCAGCAGGTGACAATCTGAGGACTCTGATCTGTCAACCACGGAGATCTGGACGACAGGCTTAAAGACGGACCGATCAATAGTCCTGCAAAGAAGGGAGAGTTTCAGAGACAGAAAATAAATGCCTCTATAAAAGATTATTAACGACAGATGTAAAAGAAACATAACCGGAGGACGACGTACCTGGCTATGTTTCCTGCAGCAGCAACGATGGTGTTCTGTGACATTGTGGCTACGCGACTCATGCTGCGACCGTCAGCCCCCAGGTCATACACCTAAATAAACAAGCATCTTTACAGCGCACTTACAATCACGACCCATCAGTGTCTCCGCTAACCAAACAGCCACACACACACAAGAAATATTGACCCGACATCCCCCCCAAACGTCATACCTGCAGGACGCCTTTCTCGGAGCGTGTGAACAGCGTGTTGCGGGAGTTGTCCACGGCAATCTGCACAATGGGGTCTGCGGAGCACGAGGACCACAAACGTTACAAGTTGAATCAAACCAAAGACGCCCCTTTCCCCGCGGAACCGCGGACCCTCTCCTCACCGTCTTCGGAGAAGGAGAACTGGAGCACAGAGGGGACGAGGAAGGACAGAGAGCTTTTGGAGTGGTTTATTTTTCGGCAGCGCTGACTCAACCACCCTGCTTCGGCCTGGTACGCGATCTCGTAGAGGCAGCCGTCTTTTCCCGCCATGAAAATACGTCCCAGGTCCGTGGAGGTGACGGTGAGGATGTAGATGTTGTCTGTGGGGATTGAGAAGAGGGGGTCGGGTAGTAGCTGCATCCCACCGGACATGCTGTCATTCAAGCCTGCAACAAAAGAAAAGAGCCGCACAAAGATTACAGATGAACCACTGCAGGTGAATGACGATATCAAAGCAAGTTACAATATTAGTGTCATAGTACAGCAGCTGTCCTTATCTTGCACATTTGCCTCACTTTAGAATACTTGGCCCTCGTTTGTACACATTTGCAGAGACAAGCAAGAGTTGTAGGAAGGACTCACCAGCCTGGCTCTGCGGGAAGCTCAGCCCAAGGATCACTACATCCACCGAAGTGGCCAATACTAAGAGGTAGTGGATGTGTGGCTGTAAAATCCCTAAGAGGAAAAACACATGCACATTATTCAAACAAATAAATGGAAATGTTCAAACCCTGCAGACATCGAATGTTTAAGACTTACCTTGTTTTGGTTTTACAAGGCCCACTGCCAGGATGGTTTCAATGAGGCCATCGAAATAGGCCACATCTCCTCTGCAAACATTAAGAGGGAAATAAAAGGAAAAATGCATTGTATTATTTATTAAAATCAAGTAGGTAATTCAGTTGGTCTCAGTTAATGCACACTATTAACATCTAAAGTAAATCGTTACTCACCCATCTTCATAATTCCACATGAAGATGTCATTGTCAATAGTGAGCCATGCCCGACAGATCTCTGGAAAAACTCCCATCATGCAGTTACATTGCATATCTGTAAAAGTGGTTAAGTTGAAACTCCAATTCAGCTCAAAACAAAACGATGAACCCGTAGGCATTATTTTGCTGAATGCGAGATGGAAACCTCATGGTACATTATGAGTGAAAGCATTTCAAAGAGGATACGGCTGAACTGCTCCACCAGCTCCGGTGGCAGAGGGACGCGGCGGACGGCGCTGAGCTCTGGGAGATTCGGCACACTGAGTAACCCGGGACCCTGGAGGGGGTAGTCCATGTCCGACACGCCAGAGAGGGACGGCATGTCTATCGATACAGTAAAAAACACGGGTTAGAGTCCACGTATGTTGAATCACAATCGTAATACACGTCTCTCGTACAGAGACACATTCCATCATTGAACAAACGGTGCAGTTTTATTCCAATCAGACACATTGCTGCGACTCCTGTTGCCTCAGTACTTGTACCCTGTGCAATGACGATTAAGTTGAATCTAATCTAAACAAACAATACTTTTCTTTCTGCTCCCATTTGTCGCTTAGTTTAAATTAAAAGAGAAAAGACTTCAGGCACAATACTTCTTTTTCCTGAATACTTTCAACAAAAATGGTGGCGGTCTTTAAGTTACTCTCTTCTGCCACATCCCTGCGCGGGACTCACTGTGCGAGGGGACGTTGAGCAGCTCCGAGAGGTCGGGGAAGCAGCGGTCCTCTTGCAGGTGTCGGTCGATGAGTCGGGAGGAGTTCTCCAGCGCTTCTGCGAGTGCCGCTGCCGGGCTGCTGGGTCCGGCGCAGGACGGCATGGCTGAGCTACCGCCGTTCACCTGCCCTGTACGATTATTCAGTTTAAATGTTAGAGTCGAGTTTAGACGACAGCGTCATCAAAGAAAGGCGAGGTATCCTACGAGGAGCAAGGAGAGCTCCGGTGGTTAGTTCAGTTTAATATTAGCGCGCCGGTGGAAGAATGCCGGTCAGTTAGCCGACTGCTAACGTTAGATTTGAAAACCTTATTATTTAGCATGCTAGCTAAAAGCTAGCCAAGTGGGAAATAAAAGTGTTTCAAAGTCAACTTGTGGCTTTACCCGACTGGAAAGATTCCGCGTGGATGGTTCGTTATAAGACACGGGAGGTTTGTTCACTAGTTGAGAGGCAGAATTTAAAGAAATACATCAAACACACATTCGACTAGCAGCCCGCCAACCTCATGCACGGCGGCTGAGGTGAAAGGTTTCCATCCGGTGAAAAATGTTCTTCTTCGTCTACTCAATTTTGGCAGACTGCGACGAGCGGAAAGGTTGTGCTGCCATCCAGCGGTCAATGTAATAACAGCTGGAATGTTGTATCCTGCACACTGTAAATGTAAGTGTCTTTAAACAATGATGTAAGAAACAATTTATAAAGTAAATGAAACAGTTGATTCAACATACTCCAGTAGTATTTTGTGAAGAGGTATTATACATGAATTGGTTTAACACAGGTTCATAGTGCACGAGTACTGCTCGTTTTGTGTTTCACATAGGAATGGTTAGCATAGGACAAGTTGCTTGCATGTAGTGTGTATTTAAATAAAGCATGCTCTTCCAAAACGCAGAATTTAAGATAAAATATGAATTGCGCACAGTTTATCAACCAGTAGTAAATGTGGGAGACAGATTCAAGAGATTTGAGGTTTTGAATCCACACTTACATCACAACAGCATGATCATCTTTTGGGTTTTTCTTGTTGAGGCAAATTTTGCAGAGTGAATGGAGGTTTAAGTTACTTGAGAATGAATAACCTCTAAAAGGTCCGGTCAAACGTTGAAATTACTTTCTTCAGTCACACTGATCTCTGGAATGAGAGTACAGGAAAAAAGGATGAACCTGAGGTCTAGCTATTTTGAAGTGGGTTAAAAAAGGTGCAAACAAGTAACAAAGACATAAGAAATATTTATTGCAGTATTTTGTTCCACAAGAAGAGCGGGGGAGGGTTGAGATGGGAGTCACTTTTTTCTTGCCCTGTGTCTATAACATCAAAATCTATATTAAAAACAATATAACTTCCCCTGCATATAGGCACAGATACTGCACTGCTCTTAACATAAATAAATTATATCAAAGATACTCCGTTACACAGTGTGGGTAAACAACAGAATGGTCAAAACAAGAAATAAAAACAGATTTAAAAAGTTGTTGGAGCTCAGACAAAGTGAATAAATCCATCTGATGCTAGTTTAAACTCCAAAAACACTTTATTAAGAACATCATCAATACACTAACTTCCAACATTCAGTTTTTTTTTACAGAATTATGTTCAGATATAAACATGTGTTTAGTTAAACTATTATACAGTGGGAGTAAAAATCAAACAACAAAGTTGCTGCACAACAGCGAAGGAACTCCCACATAATGTTTTCCAAAACATTTCCTTCTTGTGTTTTTCATGTGTTAAAACTTAAACATGTCTGTATTCAAACAGATCATTGTTCGCAATACTTTCCCTCCATCTGGTCCGTAAATCTAAAAAGCTTTCTCTCTGAAACACATTGGATCCACGCAGATTTGAGTTATTTCAGTTGATTAACGCTTAGTCCCCGTCCTTGGCAGCGTATAGCGCCCGTAACGTCTCTGCCACTTTGTTCGTCAGCTTGTGTCCACTTGACAAAGATATTTTCTTGTAAATGATGTCTGACTCCTTGATGTTGTCAACCCAGGGAACCTTTTTGCGACCTTCCCGTTTCTTTACCTCGGTCCACGAGCCAGAGTAAGATCCAGTCATCCAGTGTATACTGTAGCCAGTTTTGATCCTCTGGATGACCCTGGCAATCTGCGGTCTGTCTTTGTATTTGGGACACCAGATGGCAATGATGTCCATGGCCTTCACTCTCTCGTTCATGTGACCTGTGTCCTCTGCGGACTCCACCCCTTTTTTTGGCTTCCGCTGTGGGTAGAAGAAGCGTGTGAAGCATCACAGAAATGTTGGGAAAACGTGTGAACAGCTGCAGCAGTACAAACCACCAGGTTTGACACACACACACACACACACACACACACACACACACACACACACACACACACACACACACACACACACACACACACACACACACACACACACACACACACACACACACACACACACACCCCCCCCTTTGGATGTAAAGATAGTAATCATATTAGTATTCATTTAAAAATTCCTACCACAGGAGCCTCTTCTTCCTCACTCTCCTCCTCATCTGTCTCCACGGGAACGGGTTCATTTTTAGTGTGGTTCTGGTTGGAAGATTTTGGGACCTTCAGCAGTGCAGTAATGGCTTTGTTTCTGGCATTGGCACTTGCTTCACCCTCCTCGTCCTCTTCGTCGCGATCCAAGTGTTCCATCAGTACCTTGAACTGAGAGTCAAAAAGCAGATACCTTCATATTCCTAGAACTAAAATAGTTCATTCCAAAACGAGGTCTGCATATGAAATAAATCGATATAGCACCATATAAAGCACTAATGGTCAACCCTGATATTATCGCAGTGTTGCAATAGCTGGTCAAAACTAAACTTTCAGGAATCAGGAAACATTTATTAGCCAAAATATGTCAAACATACAAGGAATTTGTCTTGGCGGTTAGTGCGCGACAGTAGACAGACAAGACAACAGTGCACAAGTAATAAAATAATAAAATAAAGTGGAATGAAATGCTAATGCAATTGGTTAGTAGAATAAGGCTAAGGCTATGGGTTAGTATAAAACAAGGGAAAAAAGTTAAAAAATTTGAAATATTAAAAAGTTAAAAAGAAAAATATTAAGCATAAAGTGCACTAACGAACAAGTAACAGACAAGAGACAAAGTGACAAGTGAAGACAAACTTTGCTGGAATCATCTCCAATTTTACTCAAAAATACAGAGCGGAATGCTTACGTCCAAATATTGTTTCACGATATTCCTTTTGATCTCGATGCTGAGATCTGCGTTGTCGAGGTCCCTCTTCAGGTACTCCAGTGTCTGGCGAGGGTTGAAGTGCACCTTAGATTTCCTGTTCACTGCCTTGTCGTACACCTTGGCGGACTCTGTCGGGGAATACTTCTGGATTTTGCTGCAACGCAAACAAAAAGTTTGATGGAGTTTGTGTTGTGTAAAACGGCGGCATTGCTCAGTGGATGACAGATTTGGGGACTGCGTTTGATTTTTGATTTTTTTTTTACACGTGGTCTACCTGTCCGAGAAGCCGTACAGATTCTTCAGATGTTGCTTTAGAACCAGCAGCAGCAGAATTCCCTGTGACGCACTGGCAAAGTCCAGCAGAGGGTTGGGATTTTCAGGCAGACGGTCCATCACTGCATCCTCGTCCTCGTCGCCGTCTGAGTCAAAGAGTGCCAGTTTCTTTTGGCTGTGAACCACCTCTTCCTCCTCCTCGTCACTGCTGCTAGATGTGCTGCTGCTCTGCTCATTGTCCTCTTCTTCGTATTCAATTTCGTCGTCGTCATCAGAGCTGTTTTTTCTTCTCTGAGGCTTCTTCTCCTTCTTCTTCTTCTTCTTTTTCTTCTTTGTCTTCATCAACTTCTTCGTCATCGTTGTCTTCTTTTCCTTTTGTACGGATCCTTTCTGTAAAGACTGCAGAGAGAACAAAAACGCTCAAACACTGACCAAATATAAAGCGCATATATTACACAAGCTTTGCATCCCAATACCCAGGTTAATTAAGAGGCAAGATACACAAAATTAAACACAGCTTCTCACCTCCTTGAACGACTGGAGCAGGTTGCTACCAGATACAGACAGAGTAATATCCACATGGTGCATGATAAAAAGTGGCTCCTCCTGGGTCTGGTAGGGGAAGTAGGCCAAGTTGTCGGCTATGAACAGCAGCCTGTTCACCTCAGTTTTCTGCAGGGGACAAAATGTAAATATATAAATTAACCATCCTGTGAAGTTTGGATGATGGGTGGTGGGAGACAATCCAGCCTTCAGACGGACACAAAGAGAAGCAGAAAGGGGAACTCACGGAGCTGTCGTCAAACAGGTTGAGCAGGGAAATGAGGAAAGCCCGCCTGTGTTGTCGATTCCCTCGGACCAGAGTGTAGAGATGAGAGCAGAGGGAAGAGTCCGAGTCATCGTGGCGAAAACCTCGAATCACTGCGCCTTTGGATCCATTTATTGCCTGTTGCACCTGATAAGACATCTTCAACCCTGCCACAGCCTTCATCTGTGAATTTACAGAGATTTGTTTATAGATTAAATGAGATCTTTCTAAAATATAAGATTATTTTTTTGTGAAAGTATAGAGTATAAGTTTTGTTTTAAATTCATTACAAATGCGAACTTCTGCCCACAGAAAATGTAAAAGCGAGTCATCTTTCACCTTTTCACCAAGTCAGTTACTCACGTGGATGAAGCCGCAATATTTCTTGTCGATCTCTGCCAATTGTTGATCCGCCTTGTTCTTCATGGTTGGCTCAGGGTCTGTTCCCATTGCTATCAGGTAGGGCACACACTAGAAAAAAAAATTGTGAAACATAATTGAACAGCTGCTAATGACGGATTAAAGACATGTTGACCCTATGAGAAAAAATATAATCTCATGTCTGAGCCTCGGGTGAGTATGCCGGAGTGACTGTGAACATACCTGAACAGGGTGGACGAGGCCCTGGCTGAGAGTCAGTATGATGACACTCAGGGCAAAGTGCCGAACAGTGGACTGGGAGTGGAAAAAGGACTCGAGCACCTGCTTCAGGTAAATCTGCATTATGGAGCTGCTCATGCCTGATGAGATGTCCCCCATCTCCTTCAGATCTTCCTGCTTAGCTTGATTCTTCCCTGAATAATAAAAAAAAGCACACATTAGATCATACTGCTCAATATGACTGACATGCTGAACATATTGATGATTTCTGTAAACTTACATTCGCGATCGGCCACCTGCATTCGAGAGTCCTCCTCTGACAGGTATGTCTGCAGGTTTTTCAGTACCTGGATCTTTAGAGTGACTAAACTGGTTTCATCTGACAGCGTATTGTTATATAGAACCTTCACATCCTGCACAAACATGACTTCTGGATGCATGATGAACTGGAAGCCTTGAGACAACGGGAATTAATTGAATACAATTAATTCAGAGGAAACTAAATTCAAAGACATTATAAACAAAAACAAGTAAATGCAGTATAAATACTTATGTAAGTGTTCAATGAGTTGCACTGTACCTAGACCCGTGAGGGCCTTGATCTGGACCTCTTCATCCTCGTGAGTGGTGAAGTACAACAGAAGCTCCAGCACTTTATCCTTGATGACAATCTAGGAGACACAGGGCGGGTCGGTCATCAAGCCAGGTTCCATATCAGTCGTGGATTTAGTCCAAGCCGGTTGCTGCATTTACCTTGTTAGCACCCTTGAACTCCTCTTGGTCAAAATCAAAGTGTCGGCAGAGAGCCCCCACAGTGAAGAGTGCGCGCAGGAGAGTAGGTTTGTTCGCAGCCAGAGTCAAGCTGTTGGCGTCCTCCTGGTGCTGTGTCTTCAGTTTTGCCAGCGCTCCTGTTGAATGATAGAGCAATGAAAGGAAACCTTTTTTTTTTTCCTTGTTCATACAGGGAACTAACAAGAATCCTAATTACAGAACGGTGTTGGTTTGCATGTGTAACGAGGCAACGAGGGTATCGTAACCTTTAATGTGAAGTCAAATGAACAGGATAGCAAACACAAGCCACATTACATGTTATTCAAATGTTGGTGTGGTTTAGATCATTCTTCAGCATTTTCCATTTCAAGGTATATACAAATTCTGGTATGCAAAAATGTATGCTTATGTTAAAGTGAAGGTATGAACAATACATAACACTTACCATAGTAGCGGTTGAAACAAGCCCAGACAAACTTGTAGTTGTGTGTGACCTTGTTGACAACAGCACCGAGACAGCTTACAGAGTGCTGCACGACCTGAGAAGCAGACACAGCAAACATGCTCAAATCAAATCTGCGCGCTTCAAAAAGAGTAGTTTGGAGAGCCATGTGTGAGAGCTGTAAACAACACTGACCGTCATGCCGTATTTGATAATGAGCTTCATCAGGTCTTCTTCTATGGTAGTGAGGAAGTTCTCACTCGGTTGTTCCATCAGAGGCACCACCAGCTCCAAGATCTTCGCCACGTTACATATCACCACAAAGTCATTCTGAGTCTGGAAATGTCAAATTGGAGAGAGTTGTTCAGTACTAAGCGAAGCAATGGATGTTTCCATTTGCTGACACTAGGTTGCTCAATGGCACGAAACAAAAGCTGGTGGCGTTCAGTTCTGTCATGTGGGCATAAGACTCAACATATGATTGCTTACTTTCACACAAGCAAAAAGATAATGGGCCAATACCGAACAAAATCATGCAGCGCCTTACGTTGCACTTGGTGGTCAAGTAGGGCTGCAGGGTCATGGCATGTTTGACCATTAACTGTGCTCTGATCTTGGTGAACAGGTAGAGCGTGGTGATGCAGGCTACCAGACGACCCGAGATGACCCCTTTGTCCTCACAGTCTGAAACGCAAATGCAGAAAACGTCAACATTCGCTCAAAGCGTATGAATGTAGTACAACAAGAATGCAGTACCAAATATGTATCCAACAGGATATTCCATTTATTTTAAATACCTGCGATAGACTCCTCAGATTTCAGTATGTGTTCCACTAGATTGTCCACTAACTGAACGCAGGCTTTCTTGGCGGGTTTGTACGAAGCTTGCTCTTCGGACTTCAGTAGCTAAAATAAATGTCATACAGAAGTTCGGTGAAATGCCAGAAAAAATATTCACAGGAGCTATCGAAAAGCCTTCATACGCTGATGAGATCAAACAAGTTAAACAACTCACATTTTGTAGAAGCTGCTCAAACCAATCGTAGCCTGTATCTTTACATGCAGAGACCTTGGATGAAATGAAAACATGACATGAGTCAGAGTACTACAATGTCAAACACCAAATGTTTCCGATTTGAATGTTGTGCCGAATACTTCGTCACATGACCAGGCAGTACGCACCACATCCGTGATGTTCAGGATCTTCCGGGTCATGGCATTTTTGTCATGACTCGGCGTGGGAGTGAACCAGATTTTCTGGAACGTCTCATTCACCAATTTCTGCAGGCAAAAGTGAGAGAGAGATTATTTATAAAAACAGCCAGCCAGCTTGAGCAGCATACAGATAGAAGTACACACAAACCTTGATCCCCTCTTCGTCGTTGACCCTCCGGATCATCCTGACACACATCTCGGTGATCTTATGGAAGTCCGGCAGCTCAAGGCAAATATCCCTCAAGATCTTAATGACCCTCTTCCTCACACTGATACCGGTGTCCTGTTCAAAGTGGGTACAGATAATGGCTGAATTTAAACAATAAGTGTATGGCTCAATTGCACTGTTAAATAGTTGCAGTTGCTCTACTGCTCTTTAGGTGGCAGTGTGGGAAAAGCTTATTCTTATTGATTAAACCTTAAATGGCCGTTGGCACAAAAAAAATAATTATATATATATATATATATATATATATATTTGTTTGTTGCTTAAGTCGAGGGAAGCTCCCCTTCAGTCTGTCGCTTATGATGGATGCTATCGCTTCCACAAACTCCCAAGACGCCACCTGATGTGAATCAATTCAAACTGCTCCCTGAGAGTTATTTGTGTAGGATACAAAGCCTCAAGATGAGGTGAGATGAGATGGAAGCTTTAGAAATTACCAATATCCTTTCAATGAGCATGTCGTAGTACTGCTCAATGAGCTGCGGTCGACTGAGCACAAAGCGGCCGAGCAGCTCCACGGCGGCCTCTCGCACACTGGTGGAGTTATCCATGAGGCGACAGTGAACTCCACGCTGCATATCCAACTGCAAAGCAAACAGGAGAGATTAGTCAGAGCAGAGAACCATTACTGAATGTTATGGATGAAAGTGTCACCGTCCCAAACGGGCACAATTGCCCGGCAATACCACCCTAACACTCCGTAGCAGGACCTGAGACCGCTGTCGATCCAGTGGCCTAAGCGATGTGTAGCGACCCATACGAGAGGACTGACCCGAGCAAGAATACTTGGATCCACGGCTACTACTTCAGACAGACACTTCATGGCTTTAGTTCGGACTGCGATGGCACTCTCCCCCAGCACTCTCAGAATCTATATGAAAGAGAGAGTAAGTCAACCACAGCAAACACAAAGTAATCTCTTCCTGACGTTCATTTGAAATGAATCCTCCTACCTGTGATAAATAAATATCAAAGCTCTGTGAGAACGGCCTCATGGAGGCCAGATATCTGACGATCAGGCAGGAGTCCTCATAGGCTACGGTGTCAGAGTTTATACTGCAAGAAAAGTCAAGAGGACAGTTGAATGTCAGGACTGGTGAACAGGTGGATCAGCGCCAGAGAAAAGTAGTATTTACCTGAAAGAACTCCAATCTGATGGTGAGGTCTTCATAACCTTGCGGAGGAACTTCTTCCGCGTCTCGGCCCGTTGTACAATCTCCTCAGTTGAATCAACATCCATGGATTGGTGTCTGAGGTCCTCATCGTCATTCTGAGACTTTACCGCTTTGTCTGCCTCGGTGATAGTGTCCCTGAACCACTGAGCAATATAAAACTTCCTGGCAAACTAAATGAAACGAGCACATACACATGTCATGAAAAATGTAGGAACTCTGTTGGAAACATAACAGTTGTTGCTATTGTGATTATGATAACCACGGCCTGTAAACACTTAGCATTTAGTCCGTAGGGTATCGTAAATGTGACCACGATGAGAATCCTGTGAATACAGATCAATATATGAAAATAAAATGCTCACCACTAGAGCTGGATCGGTCTCCATGTGCTCATGTATGTAGTCCAGCAAAGCCTTCTGGAGTTTCGGGATCTCATCACTGCCTTGAGTCTGTAACGAGATCAATAAGTCAGGAGAATCTCAACGCAGCCTGACAATTGTTCATTTACATCCTTTCAAATAATTCCGGGAACGATCAAGTCTACCTCTCTGAGAATGCGGTCGATGGCTTTTTGGTCCACGTTGCTATTGACGGCATCTTTGCGCAGGCTAGAAGCGACAGTGCCGAGGTAGTCCAGCGATGCCACCCTGAGTGCCATTTCGGTGTGCTTGTTACTGAACTGGTGCACCTGGAGTACGAGATGTGAGGAGGGGGGGGGGGACGACATCAACACCAACTGAACAGCCCACTGGACTGATGTTTGACAATAACTCGGTTGAAGTGGGCGACGCTACTCACCAGCAGCCGGCCCAGTAAACTGAGCAGCAGTTCAGCTGCAGGCCACTCAGGCCGGTTGACTGCAGACAGCAGGTCATGGACAAAGTTCTCAAACAGAGGCCTGTAGTCATCCTCGCCTTGCTTGCTGCCACACCTGAAACACACACACACAATCAAATGTATTGTTAAAAAATGCATTTAAAAAAAGAAAACCGGTAAGATTACAAACTGTTCCACAGTAGAAGAAGGTGCAGTGTGCTTCTCGTTCACAGACTACAGACAAATTACTTACTTCTTGAGAAACACAGACAGGAAGTTCTGAGCCGTCCTCATGGCCGTTTCATAGGAGTTTGTGATAAAAACATCTTTATCCACCTAGGAGCAAAAAAAGTACCAAACATGTACAAACATTTCTGAATAAAATACATATTTTTAGATGAATGAGATTTAAAACAAATGCTGGGTAGTTACCTTCTTATTATGTTCACCTTCTGCGTCCCTCTCTGAGGGGAGGCGAACCACACACTGGATGAGCTGAAGAACCAGCGCTGTGACCATCTGGATATGCAAAGGCTCCTCATCCGAATCATTGTTTAGTCTGGAGAAACACCAGACACAAGTATCCTAAGTTTACTGAACAATGCAACAAAAAAGACACTCTTCATTCATGGTATTTGAACGAGCAAGATGTAGTTACCTAAAGTTCCTAAGGCTGCGCTTGCTAGTAGGCAGTCTAGCTAAGGAGGTGAAGATCTCTTCAAGAATGAGCTGCCTGTGCTTCTCGTAACGGGAGAACACCTAAGGAAGAGTAAAACACAAAAGCGCTCAATAAAAAAACTTAACGACAGGAGTAAACAAAAATTTAGAAAAGCAATCTGAAGCAACAGCAAAATGGACAATGAAACAACATAAAAATTGCATGTCATGGCAGACTTACTGCGGTCACAAGTGTGATGGCACATAACTGCAGTTCGCTGACATTCTCCACAAAGAAAGGTGTAATGCCCAGAGTGGACACCTGTAACGCGGGCACAGAGTCAAAGGTTAAACAGACCGAGGTTAAACGGTTTGATGGGATTAAATGATGTCAGAGTCTCACCTGGAGAATAGTGGTGTCAGTTAGCAGCTGGATTTCCAGAAGCTCCGAAATATTGCTCACAATATCACAGACTTTGTCGTAGAGCATCACTACCACCTTCTGTTTGTGGGTGGAAATCTTTGCTCTCTTGGACTTTGAAGTATGCATGCCACCTTAGGTGAGGAAGATGAAGGGACAATGAACATTTTATTATTATGTAAAAATATATATATATATTATTTTAATGTAAAAATACCATTACAATATACCAATGAATTATTTGTAGTAACGGTGCTACTCCATTTATAGCTTTCTTTTAAATAAACGCTAGGATTATTTGGGCCAGCATGGATTGACTGTCGGCCTACTAATATGCAAAAACAGCTTGCTGAGCTCAAGATTTCTACAGTAGTACAACTTAGAAGAATGGAATAAAACTGTGCTGACCTTTTCTGTAGACTGGGTCATACTGAGGGTATAAAGAATTTTGCAGATGGAACTTTGTGTACTGCAGCACCCTCTCGATCACATCTTCTATATAAACTGCCTTGGGCATGTGTGGCGATGTCATGATGTTGAGTGCAGTCAAACAGGCATCGGCAGACTTAGCAACCCGCTCCATGATGAGGTCACGCCACAACCGCTCCTCGTCCATTGAATCATTTTCCTTCAAAAACAGGTCCGGTGAGTTTCAGTTTATTCACAACACAGTTAAAGTTTAGTGTACAGCACAAGTGCAGCTATAAGACAAAATCCAGCTGGCAACTTACATGATTCATTAGTGTGGAAAGTTTGACGCTGTCCTGGATGTTCTTCTCGAGGATATTCAACATTTTCACCAGTTTCTTAGTCGAACACTGAGGATCAGAGTAACCAGCTAGAATGTATGATCTTTAAATATTACCTATGAACCTCAGGGTAACCAAGTGACGCCGTACCTTGTTAAAGATGCACATTGCTTTGATCTTAGCAGAGTCGTTGCCTAGCTCGTTCAATTGGTGCTTTCCGAGCAAGAGCTCCTCCGGTATCTCATCATCATCTGTTTGAGGTCACACAGTTACAATGTTGACGTTGTTCAAACAAACGCCGGCTTTGGAAGCTGCGGATCTCTGGATGTTTACCTGCAGCGGTGAGGTCTACGTCCTCGAGGCTCTCGATAATGCTGTCCATGTTGGCCGTGAATCTCTTAAATGTGGAGGAGTCCAACTTTTCTGTTACACCAATGTAAACACAAAAGATTATTACAAATATGTAGTATTAAAAACGCAATATCACTATAAAATAATTCATAGCAGTAAAATAAATACCCTCTGGTGTCAGCTTGGAATCGTACGCTTTCTTGGTTTTTTGTTTCTCCTTTTTCTTCAATTTTCTGGCAACTGAAAAATAAAAAAGTCATTCGAACAAGACGTTAGTCATGCCGTTCACAGCGACATCTCACTCTCAAGCAGTTTAACGGAGAAAGAATCCGTTTCAATAAGTTCGCTGAAAGAAGTCGTCCTTTTAGAGATTCATCACAAAATAAAAGCTCTCCCTCCCTCGTATACTACATTTATTTACATTTTTTCTTCTCCAATAAAAACTCACTGTCACGCAAGCTTGGTGCTGGAGAGTCTTGGTCTGAACCATCTGGACTCTTTTCGCGGTGACCGCTGCCGGACCCCCGGCGAGCGCCGTGCGACCCACCGCTCCGGTGCTGCCCAGTACCCTTCCTCTCTTCGTGTTTCCAGGACTTGTCGTGATCTTTCTTGTAGCGTTTCTTTGGAGCTGAAATCACAACAGAGAAAGGAGAGGTCAGAAAATATTAGGTCCTTTAAGCAGCAATCATTGCTTTAATAAATAAATAAATACAATGTATTAATTACTATATCAAGTATTGACAGGTACATATTGGTGGAGCTCCGCAAAAACAACCTTCTGTCAAAAGCGGAGACCGTGGCGTTGACAGATTTTGCAATACTCTAATACAATAAATAGATTTTTTATTTGATTTAATACTCACATTCATTGTCAGAGTTATCGCCATCGTCGTTATCATCAGAGTCATCGCTGTCTTCCTCCAACTCAGCGTACTTGCTTTTCTTACTGACCACACTGTGTTTTCGCTTGTTTTCTGGAAGAAAGTTGGTGTTCAGGACAGAATAATCTATACTTTTAGGGGAGATGCAAGAAGTAACTCATTATGGCTCCTGAAACAGTGGTTTAACATAAACAAACATCCAGAAGCCATAGCACACTTGTCAATGCACAGGAGTTTTGCATGCATATCTAGTAACCAAAGTCATACCTCTCCCCGATTTGTCGAGGAATCTGGTGCTGTTTGTGTTCCTGCTTTCCTTAATGATCCTTTTTACCTCGTCGAGGTTGAGTTTGTTGAGCACGACGACGGGCTTAGTGCCTTTGTTCAAGTCCTTTATCAGCGACAGCCTCTCCAGCCGGACTAAGGGTTCGGTCCAGCTCTCAATCAGTTTGTCTGGAAGTTGGAGATCTTTCACATCCCGTTTTAATTTTGGAATCACAAAGTTCTTCAGACTTCCAGACTTGCCACCCAGCAGGTATGAGGGGAATTCACAATGTTTTGTCTCCAAAGGTTGCTGCTTGTTGTTTCCAGCTTGGCAGCTGGCGCTGCCATCCCCACTTTTCCGGTCTTTCTTATTCTGTGCGTTTTGAAGGCCAGAACTCTCGGTCTTCTGCCGACCATTCAGGTCGGTGGATTTTCCACCATCGTCTTGCTTCACTCTCGGGCTGTCGGGCTTCGTAGGCCTGTCAGGAGAGGGTCTGCTGCAGTTTTCCCTTGACGTCTTGTGCTTCCTGTCTTTGTCCCTATCCCTTGTTTTGTTTTTCTCTTGTTTTTCTTTATCTCCTTCCCTATCTCGAACCTTTTCCCTGTTCTTATCTCCAATCTTGTCCTTATCTTTATCGTAGTCTCTATCTTTGTCCTTAACCCTATCCTTCTCTTTCTCTCTGTCCTTATCCCTGTCATCTCTATCCACAACTTTGTCTTTATCTCGGTCTCTCTCTTTCTCTTTGTTCTTGTCTCTCTCTCGGTCCCTGGCTTTGCCATCACCGTGTTTGGAGTTGCGCTCTGCCTTGCTCGCGGTTTTCGGAGTTTCGGGGTTACTGATATGGGGTCGGTGAATGTTGTGGTTCTTTTCCTCTTTGCTGCGCTGCTCTGAGTGCTTGTCATGCTTCGGTCGCGGTGTGTCTAGCCGTCGGTCTTCCGAGTGTTTCTTGCCACTGCCGGTTTTGCCCTCATGCTTGTGTTTGGATTCGCGTTGGCTTTCCGGCTTCTGTTTCAGGGCTTCTGGTTGCCTGTCCGAGCAGGACTTCCTGGGGTTGTCTGCATTCTGTTTGATGATCCCAGGTCTGTTTGCTGCAACTTTGTCTACCTTTCCATCGGGCTTTGTCTTTAGGTGCCGCAGGTGGTCCTCACAAAACGTCTGTGCTTCCAGGACCACCACAGGCTGTCCCTTGATTCTGCCAGCTTGCTGCAGATCAATACTGACCATCAAGGCAGGTCGACTGGCCCCGTTACTTGCAGCATTTGTCTTCTTGGATCTCAACTTGCTATCAGTGTTGCCTCCTTGTACCGTAGGCCCGTCCCCTGAATCGCCTCCAGGTTCCTGAGGATACGTGTCTTGCTTCCGTTTCTTCAGTGGCTTATCTGCAATAGAAAACATATTTAGCTTGACTCTTCTTAAAGTACCAAGAATCCTAGGTTAATGAAACATTGTTTTAAAGGCAGTGGGCAAAGGCAAGACACACAATACCTTTATCCTGGACTTCTTTAGACCATCTCTCTTTTTCACTGGCCGACTCGCGTTCTATTCTCTCGATCTCTGCCAGTGTGTCTATCTCGGCATCATCAAACACAACCCCACTGACGACTCCGGACTCCTTGCTATTTGGCCGAACAGGAACTGGCTTACAGTTCGCCTGCTCCTCGGCCACGAACCTGTGTGACGGGTCCTGGGCAGTCCTTGACATCGGAGTATTACTATTATTCGTCAAGTCAGTTTCATGTTCTGAATCAAGAAGTGGCCTCTGAGGCAGCTCTCCAGATTGATCCGAGTCGGCAAGCTTGACCCGCGACAGTTTAATAGTCAGCCTGGCGGACTCTTTTGCTGGAGAACTAACAATGCCATACGAGGCATTTTTGTCTGTCAGCTCATTTTCTTCTTTACTCCTTTCTTTCTGCTTTTTTTTGCGGTCAGCAGAGGTAAGGTGCAAGTCAGGTGCTGCAACTGGTGGCATATCAGGTGGAGGGGACTGCATGATAAGGGGAGGCCTGGACCCTGCTTAAACACAAATAAATCTCTTTAGTCTTTGCAAATAATGACTGAACAAAGGTGCATTCATTTTGAGTGCACCGAATAAAGATGAATGGGCTTGTTGCTAATGTAGCATACTTTTTGCGGCCTCCTCACTCCCAGCAGGGGAACACAAAGACTCGGGTGATTTAACTGGAAACGTGGCAGCCCTCATGGAGGGGTCGTTCTCCTGTTGGAACACGAGACATTTATCATCCCGTTAAACAGTCAGCACCTGCCAAGGTCCAGTTCAGGATATCTTGATCGTCTGCATTACCTCATCTCCCAGTCTGTGAGCCATGTTGATGTAGTCTTCATCTGAGCCTAGCCTCGCATTATGATTGGATGAAGTGCTTGATAGCTGACCTGAGACCTTGTCGTCATGGATATTTCTAACTAAAAGAGAGAGAGCAAAATAAAATATACAGTTAATTTGTGATGTGCCTCGCGTCTCCCTGAGATACAGAAATTATTTTACACCATAACAGCCGTTTTATTTACCATGTCAAGGTATGGAAGTCTCAAGATATCAACTGACAACTATTGCCACAGAAGTTTATACATGATGACGTTAAAGGATTAGTTACGCCATTTTGTCCAGCAAAGCGTATCTAAAACGCCAAGCAGGCGGTGACTTTTTAAAATGAAAACAAAGTGAGAGGAAATGCACATTAACCTTCAGCTATTAGCTTCATGTGCTGTGAACAAACAAAGTGTGATCCCCTAAAGCCACACCTTAAATATGTAGTGCACTGCATGTAGTCTCTTTACGCAGAATGATTTACAGACAAACAAATAAACATTGGTAATCCAAATGGAATGCATGCAATAATCTCTCCATAGTAGTTTTTTTGTTAAAAATTGTCCACCTTGTTTTGGTTTTCCACCAGCATAAATGCACACAAAATGACAACTTAACAATTCAAGGTTAATCCTCCTAATCAATAGTAATTCACTGATACAAACAGAAAGGTATGCCAAGCAGTTGAAGATACATTTTTCTTCACTTGAATATGTACTCACCCTGCTGTGTCTGTTGGTGCTGAGAGTAACTGGGGGGATTGTACTGCATGTAGTCTGCAGGACTCTGAGGGGTATAAGGACTGGGTATAGGGCTGTTCTGCTGGGGTAAGAACCGAGCACTTGATCCAGACTGTGGGGAGGCAAAACATCTGCGAAGGAGGTAGGAAGTCGTTTTAGTCGGAATACAACCCTTCTACATTTTCATCATCTGGCTGTAATAAACTGGCCCTGTCTTACCCAGACGGGCTTTGGGGGACAGAGGTTTGCTGATAGTTTGATCCTGGGCTCCCATGCACCTGATTTTGAGATAGTTTATACTGTTGCAACATTGGCTGCTGCATTACACCTAAGAGGTAAGGATAGGACAATCCACAAATAAGGTCATACAAAGAAGCTGAACACACACACACGACTTAAACTTTACCAAGTCTCGACCTCAAATGCAGACTGGACATTCATTGTGTAGCATTGGCCGGCTCAGACAACAATCTGACGATTATATGGCCGGGCTACAAAGACTCTCATGCAATTGTTTCAGAATTTGAGCTGGTCTTGGTTAAACGTTGTGAAGGAGGTTGGAAGGCAATATATCAAACATAGTGTCTAATAGCAGAATACGTTAGCACACCATTAACTTGTGTAAACACTTCGACTTTGCTATTGTAGAAGTATGCATATGCTTTTTAATAATTGTAACACTGAAAAAAGAACAGCTGCTCACAAAACTAGAAGTGTTCCTCCAACAGGTTAAAAGAAAAATATTGAAGCCTTTATCGAAATTAGAGATACAATTAATTTGTGTCATTAAGTATTTTTCTGTTGCCCATTTTTGTTCTATATTTTTCAAAAGAATGATAGACCATTACTTTAAATTCAGAACTAAAAAATGTTTTAAATTTAGGTGGTACAAATTACAGTAATAAACAGCTGGGTTCAGGTATAACAAAATAATAATGTTATTAGTTAAACCTGTGTTTTACTGTTTGAAAAGGTCTGCTGTGAAGACGTTCTATTCAAATTGAGTTTTCCGCCATTATTTGCATGACCCAGGAAATACTCAGGGGAAAATATAGTTAGAGTGAAAACCAGGACAACGGCCAGGAAAGAGCATGCAAAACATGTACTGAATTGGCATACTTTTGTCCCTGAAGATTTTGGGGTTTAAGGACAGCAGAGTTTGTAGAAGCATTGGCATGTCACCCTCAGGTTCATCGTTCCCCAAGTTGTCCTTCAACTCTCTAGAAAGCAAGCAAAAGAACAGTGCACAGTCATATTCCGGGCAACAGTTGCCCTGGTACGGCAGTGAGTGTAATGTGATCACTGCAATTGAACTGTCAATGCCTCACTAGTGTGGCGGCTGTAGCTACCAGCCGTACCTTCGACCAGGCATATCGGTTATTTCAACAGCAGGAAGACACAAAGACACTTTTTGGGCGTAATTTACTTATCTCGATCACATACCCGCAGTCGGGTGAAATTTTATAACGATTAAGGTTGACGTAAATTGTTCACAGCTTTCTAAACATCCTTCTGTAGTCAACCATCTTGCTGGCAAAAGACCGAGCTGCTGCATCACACCTGTCTAGTTGATGGGCCTGGATAATTGGACTGCGCCATTCTACTACAGCCAGAGGGGTGTTCTCGGGGGGGCCTCTTCCTCTCCACCACATAGGTTTAAGAGGCGGAATGTCTACCCCTATAATTAACTATGGACCGGGCAGCACATCACATATAATCCTACAGATAGCAAAGGAGGGGGCTGTGTCTCTTTGTGTTAAAGAGCATCAACTATGTTGCTATATGTTCTCTATTTGTTCCACCTGTGTCTGCTCTCCCGATTCTATGCGTAACCTAGTCCTTCACGCACTGTTAAAGTAAACAATGAAACGCTAACATTTACGCAAACACTATTAACAACAAATTTAGCTCAACACCGATTTCTTCTCCAAATCAAAAACACATTTTAAGTTTTCTCACACACTTTTATAAATACAGTGTAATAGCTTCTCCCGAGCGTCACTCAAGAATTTAAAATGATCGTAAAGCTGTTGAAAGTGCAGCGAGTGGTACTCACATGTGTTCAGTGGACACTTGGTTAAGGCTGTGTGCCAGTTGAGTCACCAGATTTTCGTCCCGACACACCAGCAGGTTGCTGACCTCTTCAGAGATCCTTCCATTGTAGAGCAGACTCTTAGCAGTGGTGGCAGGGAGAGGAGACGGCAAGGGCAGCTGGTTCAACACTAAAAGGACGGTGATGGGCAAACAAGTTAGGTGGGAAATAAAAGGGAAGTAGGAAAGGGAAAAGAAAACAGTTTGGGGAAAGGATTTGTATATGTATTGTAAAAATATCTCACTTTATTTGGTGGTAGTGCCAAATGCCAATGAAACAATCAAGAGTTTTCAGACAATGTCTATTTTAGATATGTCAACTGACATTTACATTTGTATTTTGGGGTAAACATTTGAAGGCTTACGAATAAATGAAGAAGTGGAACTGACACATAAATGTACTGTCTTTCTTTTCATCCATCCAGGTCCATCGAACTCATTTACATTTTAAATCATATCTTTGCACTAGAGCCGAGTAGTGAGAAGCCAGCAAACTCCACATTAAAGTAGAAGCACTAAAACACTACTCAAGATATAGCATTTCATTAGTTGCGCATTCTTTAAACTTACCACAAAAGCACTAACTTGAATTTAAGAGTTTAGGCTGTGTGAACAGCATTAGAGAGAGATGATGTTGCACTTACAGTCTGTCAGGCTAGCAATTCCAGCAAGAGTAGTGATGGGAACATGAGGCATATCACCATTCATGCTGAAGATGAGGTCAAAAGGTCGTGGCAATGCACAGGCTGCTCAATATCACCAATCTCTTCCTATTTCTCACATCTCCAAAATGCTGCAGAAACAAAACGAAGAAAGTAGCAAAAAACCCTTTTAGAGAACAGTAACTGTTAAAAAAAAGTATGGATGTCATTACATAAAACATTGTTCATGGTAGGATTGAAAACAAGCCAGTTGTTTTCCGTGTAAATACATTGCGGGATGGGGATACATAGTGGTGTCAGCTCATGAGTGTGCATTATTACACTGGCAGCATAAATGCACCTCAGACGCAGACAGCTCATGCAGATGTTAAAGTGGACGTCTGTTTCCTCGACAATGAGTGTTTGCCTCTTGTTGACAAAAGATAGGAGCCCCCTTGGTGGCTAGGCTCACGGATAAGGCTCGGTTTAGGTTTATGTACGGCTAAACACCGGCCTTGCAGCGAGCCTGGGAATGCTCTTACAAGTTATTGATACATATCAGTTCCTGGTGCCTCCAACCATCTTGTTTCCTTAAAGGTTATACGTACACAGCTTCCCTGTATGCATGTTTAGCTTGGACATTTCAACCTGCTAGACTCGAACGTGCCATTTTGCAGAGACGCGAGGCTACTACAGACAATACGGGCTCTCAAAGCGACGGAGAACGTCGAGCATTGCAAACAGACTCGAGCAGTGACGAACCTAGCTAGCTTTTTTTTTGTTGTTGATAGAATAGAGATTTAAAAAAAAGTTGCAACGTTTCGGTGTTTCTCTCTCTCCGTGTACGTATATCCAACCCTAAAGTCAGTATAGTTAACGTAACACCCGTCATTGTAGCCGAAACCCACACGCAAAACGCAATTCACAAAACATTGTAGTTAAAGCTCAAATTATTTCTTTTGTTACAATGTCAGCTAAGGTTTCCGGGGCTGTCCAACAGAAGGGACGTTAGCGTTAGCTTACACCAGATGGGACTTTACCATTATTCGTGTATTAGTGCCTCGGTGCTTTACATACTTGCCAAGACGACTAGTAGCGTGACGACGTCTGTGAAAGTGACTAAAATCAACTCAGGGATAGCCGGCTAGCAACAACTGGCGAGGTAGTTCGCTAGCGTATGCTAACTGGCAAGGTAACGTTACAGTAACTTGCCGAACGGTAAGCTAGCATCACCGGGAGTGATTGCACCGGAGTTAGCCTACTTTATGTCGCTCTTTTTTTATTATTATCGCATAGGTCGCGTGCGGGGTTTAGACGTTCACCTCGCACTTCCCGTGGCCTCCATCCACGCACCACCAGCTCACAAAGTGGACCTCGGACTTGCCTTAGGAAGCGTAACCCCGACCCGTCGCCAGGGAGGCAGGGGTACAAAGCGGAGACCCCATCAGAAATCAGAGATATAGCCCCGGCGCGATCCCCGTTAAACGGTTCCCAACGGCCGCCCGGTGGGTCTGACGAACCGGAAACACCCAGGGAGCCGGACAATTTGCCCGAACGGAGGTTGTTGTACTCGAATCCGGCTTATTTACCTTTGGATGTGATGAGAAAGAGAAGTGGTTGTGTTTAAAGGAGGAGGAGGGGGGAGGAGGAGGAGCAGGAGCAGGATGGCAGCTGGAGAAGAGTCTCTGGCTCCCTCTCCGTCCCACTGTTCAAACAGCTCCTCCGAGCACTAGCTTACACAACGGCGGTGATCCCCGTCGAGGGGACTGTGTGTGTGTGCGGGGGGGGGGCGCTTTCTTCTCTCTCACGGCGAACATGTCTGCCGGGATGGGGAGAGCATCCCCGTACAACCGGCCTCATCGGGGCGACTGTTTATCAGAAGCTGGTGGGAAGGTTCTGCGGGTACCGGTTGATTTTAATAGCATTCGAGGGACAGAGGGGGGAAAAGAGGGGGGGGGGTCCACATTGTCTATCCACCCCCTATCCCTCTATCTCTCTTTCAAAATGACGACCGGAAGAACCGGTAAAGAGGAATATGAATAACTCCCTCAACCGGCGAGGAGCTGCAGCTAATTAACGTCAACAATTAACAGCTTTTTGCTCACATTTCAAATTTATAGGAAATAATTCAGTCCAGTAATGATAAGCAAATCTTCTAATCTTCGTGTTTAGAAATCATTGGTCTATAATGTTTATATTTATAGTAAAGGGGAGCGTTTACTTACTGATAATCTGCCATTCACTTTTCTTTCCTACTTGACACAGAATAAACACATGAACAATAATAAATCAGTTTTCCACTCCCCGTCAATAACCCACTATTACCCAAAGCTGCAAAAGTGTCCTCCTCAGGGTGCCAACTTTCTTTTGTTGGGAACCATATTCTATACCATAAGTATTCTTAAGCTATAACACAAGCTATAACACAGCTATAACATGACCTAAGTGACCTCTTGAAATAGTATGACGTGTGTAAACGATGTAGAAAATGTATGTTAAAATGAGCCAAATATAGATTTCTGATCATGTTTGGGGCGGAGATGATTTGACAAAATGTAATCAAGTGTTTAAGTGTTATTGCACATACCATACAATTTAATAGAAATACCCTCAAGTAGTATCCTAGTTTATTCGTCTTTCATTTCACTGCAGGCCATTTAATAACTGTGATGTGGATGCGTAGAAACATGCAAGCCAATATAAAACAATCACTAACGTGTAGTATCTAACAGGCCAAAGTTTTGGCAAGGATGGCAAGAGTGATCAATACCGACTATTTCATAAACAGGTTTTAGTCTCCCTCTTGTGGAAAAAAATAAAAATATTTTTCAGAACTTGAAAAAGTGCCCTAATAAATGTTTGCACGTTAGAGGAATTTAATTGATTGGTCGATATTTTATTAATTTTTGGTTAACTAAAGCAAAGTTTTCTTTTCCTCCCGCCTGTGTGCCTCTCTGTCCAGCTCATCCTTTAGCAACTGTTTGGCATTTCAACACAACCTCTCTTTTGTTGCACAACTTGAATGTTGAAAACAAATCAAAGTCACAAGAACAATTTCTTGTCACTGAGAAGCAGCTGCTGTAATAACATAAACGGAAAAGTATTTTACCCAGACATTTAATTATATTTGAAGACTATTGTCAAAGTGATTTATTAGAAAGGAGCAAAGGCAGAATGAAAGACACTGAATCCACTTTAAACCAATAAAAAAAGATGCCTTCAGGCCTTCGTGCTACTTCAACTGCGCAGTAGGCCCACTTGATAAGGAGCTGACCTCATATTCCTTTTATCGTTATTTGTCCATATTTTATACATCCATAATGTTTCATATCAATATCAAACAACTTGCAGTATATATTATTGAATAATCAGTTGTATTATGATCACGGCCATAGATTTAATGTAGCTTCTATTTGCGAATAGCCACACGCACACACGCTCACATTCACATGAAAAGGCAGCAGCTGACGCCTGTAGTTTCACGAGTGAATAATAATGTTGCGTTTAAGACCGCGGGGTTTCACGGTAATTAGTCTGCTTCAATGGATTTAGCCATGAGCCTCTAACCCGTGACGGTCATGAGGGTTTGTGGTGCCCCTCTCCTCTCTCCGACATACCAAGGCCAGATCTTTGAGGAGTGAAGGAACACAGAGCTACAAGGACCAAGATACTCTCTGCAATCTAATTATCCAATTTGGTAAGATCATTATTTGTGGGATTTGTTCTTTTTGTCTTATTTTTTTGGCAGAAATACAGGCGTGGCCTACAGTATAATTGGTATGTGTTAAGAGTTACTTTTAATGGACATTGCTGTCAACTGAAGTCCAAATATGATCTCATCGGGCAGGACAAAAGATTATGTTGTGTGGTAAAATAAATGTCCGGGTATCGTTTGGTACACATCAGCCCAGCCATATGTTTTAATGCAATCCAAGTTTAGTCGCGACAATATTAAATATAGCTAATCTTCATTTGCAAAAACACAATAATGTATAAGTTTATGTGTTCACATATTTTTCTTAAGACTTAGCACTAGGAAAGAGAAACAGTGGAGGATAAGGACACACAAAGGCTCTGAGCAGCGAGGGCAGTGAATTACTGTGTGATAAAAAAGAAAAGTTAATGAGCAGATTATCCAGAATGTTACCAACAAATGATGGACTTTTTTTGTAACCAAAAGACATTGCAGTCTGGGCAGTGCGGTGGAGAAAACATACAGAAAATATATTATCATAAATATTTTCCACTTACTTCCTTACTTACTTTACTTCCTTGCTTTACTTTACTTACTTCCACTTACTTATTATAGTAAGTGGTTGAGGCTGAAACATGGTTTAAAGCTTTAAGATGGAGTAGGCTATGAAACACATTTTTTAATATGTAACCATAAATATTATATTTTTCATAATATTATTATTATATAGGTAGCAAATGTATTTCACAGTACAAAGCTGTAGATGCAGCCAAGTGTGCGAATAATGGCATATTTACAGGCAAAGGCATATTTAATGTTCAATACGGCATACTTTGGATTCCTAGTTTTCATCATCATAGGCCATTCTTTATCTGATGTAGAGGAAAAAAATAGATTGATACACAACAGTACACCCCGGTTAAGAAACTGGTCACTACCGTACAACTCGCTCAGTTACTAAAGTGTTTCTTTTGTTAACTTTCAGCTTAATGCCCTGTAACCGTACAGACGGGATGCCTCGTGGAGATTTCAACATTTATTTTGCCAGCAGCAGGCGAGGATACATCAGAGCTGAGGAGTAAGTGGATACATTTCTTTTTGAAATTCACGGCTCAAAGGCTTGATTATATCACATAGATTATACTGATCTTCCTGAATACATTTATTGTACATAGTTGTATTGCATTAAAATAAAATGTATCAACCACAGGGCAGTGGGCATAGTTCTGCTGGTGGTAATCCTGGCATCTCTCCTAATCCTGGGCTGCTGGTACTTCAAGAAGAGGAGTGGCTACAAAATCATCAGGGTGAGACCATCATACTTTCTTTCATTCAGTATTATCTGCCACATACTTAAAGTGAGGATTCATCTTTGTAAAACCAGGTTAAGGCTGATTCTGTGAAATACTATTCAAGCAATAAAGTGATTTCCTCTCATTTAATATGGATGAGTTGATGTTAAGTATCTGTGTTCAAATCTTCCCATCTGTACATCTGTTCTGTTTGATCAGTTTTCTTTCGATTTACCTCAACATAATCATCATGCATCTTTGTCTCCCAAAGCAGAGCCCTAGATCGGGAACACCGAGTCACACAGAAGGCCAGTACTCAGAGGCGGGACCTTCAGCGGATAACAAGATGGCTGCCACTGACTTCGGCAGCTTCCGACCCACGGTGAGGGACATGAAGCCACCCCATGACTCGCTTTACAGGCCTTCTATTGTCTCTCCATGTCCCCGAGCCCATTATTTTACTAGGTCAGGAAAACAGATGAACAATAACCACTAGCCATTCCCATAACAAGTACTAGTCACTGCATTTAACTGGTACCAAATAATTCTTAGCAAACCTCCAATAAACAATTCAGTATGAGGTAGTCATTAACTTTGTAGTCTGCAATACTATATTCTGTATAGCACACATGAAGCTGATGCAATGGATGGTAGATTAATGAGTCACAGCCCAGGGGAACATATTAAAAGTGTTCCACTACCAAGAGAGGCTTGTGTATCCATGTGTGCTGCAACAGTGGAGGAGAATCAGATCAGCACCATGTGTGTGAGGCATGATGTCCTTTTTACGATGACTAAAATGCACAAAAAAAAAAAAATCATTCGAACCGTGCAACATGCACTGTTGAATCCTTCAAGACAAAGACCAAAATTATTTAAACCCAGACTGGGCCTTAAGTAGCCAGATATGATACTCAATTTCATGTGTGTAAAAGGAATGTTCCGATTCAGCGAAACGATATGGCCTCGTCAGTGTGGAACTCAGTTTTTATTTGGATGTCTTTCTTGCTCTCTACTCCAGGTTGCCAATGCTCCTCCTGCCTACGATAAGATCTCCTCCGGGCCGCTGCCTCCCCCCTATTCGCCCTGAAGGACTTCTGCAGAAGATGGACAGATGCCTGAAGAAACAGAAACACTGAAGAACAAACTGTTCTGTTGTCCGATGATGAATAATCCAATGGTTTCTTATATGTCGTAGCTAAATATACCAATAGATGAAACTTTTCCATCTGTCACTTGGTAAGATTATTCACATGAACAAAACACAATGTATATACACTGGAAGTTGTTTCAGTCAACAAAAACATGATTTCAAAAGTCGTTGTATAAGGAAGCACCTGAAACACAAGTTGGGGACAGTCGCATCGTTTATTCCCATGCATGTCCACATTTTCTTTCAATGAAAATGTACCTAGTAAATATTTTTGAAAAATCTATATGGTAAAAATAAATAAATGCGACGTCAAAACATTTTATGAGAGCTCAAACATGTAGTACAAACACAATTATTACTTATATTTATAAAAAGTAAAATGTAGTTTTAAAACAGTTACTAGTTGAAAAAAAGAACATGGATCTGTATGTAGTTCTACGTCTCAAACAGACAAAGCAGAGCAAGTACTACCAATGAATAGTATCCCAATTCCTACTTCTTACAAGTATTTAATGATATGGAAAAGTATTTTAGAAATTTTGAGCTGAACTTCCTTCTTACCTACCATTGCATTCTAACCATTCGTTTAAACGTTTCATTACTGGCCACAAAAAAAAAAAAATCAAGTCAAGAATCTATCACATTCATCTGAGATTAACTTCAACAGTTGTCACTTGAGAAAAACCATCACAGTATACATTTCCAGTATGTCTGATTGGTTTCCCGATAAGATATAACCACGCTCAAAGGGTGTAACCCACTGCATCCTAAATGTAAGTTAGTAGTTCTTACTACAAGCAATGGAAATGAGCCCTGGATACAGTAAGCAGCCGAGTGGTCCCAGTCCTCACAGCCTTTGTTACTTGGTACACGTTCTGTCGGCCTGCGAAGGCTGTAAAGAGGAATCATGTTGGTGTAACGCTCCGCTGGGACTGTTGGGGAAAACTATTAGTGCATCCAGCGGTTTGGGGCAGGCCGCTGGATTGACCCGGCACTGAATTGCGTCCGAAACGGCGCCATCAGAGCCAACGAGCAGCTTGGACGCCGCGTCGGAATGCCCGCGTGGGGATGAGGTCTGCAGACAGTGCTTTCCAGGCGCTTGATTGATCATAACGACAGGCGGGTGGGACGCGTCGTTCGTCCTAGGTGACGCGAAGGCAACGCTGCTGCTGCTGCTGGAGGAAGGTGCCGTTTCAGCTGCGTTGAAAGTGCTTCCGATTGGCGGAACAGTAGCAACGGGCAGCGTCTGCATCCTTGACACTGCAGTTACAATCGTTGGGACCGCCACAGTGTGTTTTTGGACAGATGCAGCGTTTTGATGTGTCAAAGTGAGGGGTGGCATGACGGCGCTGGGCAGGGCGATAGCCAACGGGCTGGATAGAGCGGGCGAGGGCGATAGCGGTGCTGATGATCTGGACAAGGGGGGCGCTGCCGCTGGCGAAATGGTGGGTGAACATTTAGCCGGCGCGGCAGAGGTCACTGCCGGGGGGTCGAGGGCGGGTGCGCTGCTCGACAACCTTGGCGGGGACGCAAAGTTACAAGCCTGCGTAGCTGGCAGCCTGGGCAGAGCGGACACTACATTAGTTTTACTGGGAGACCACGTTGAGCACAGGCCCTGCGCTCCGGAAAGTCCGACAGGTGTGACATTTGGAGTGGTTGCTAGCAACGACGGACCTACGGCAGGTGTGCATGCTACAAAAGGAGAACTTATAACCGGCACCCCAGGCATCCTGGCCGGCGATTGGGGTAGAACTGGGGCTTGTGGGGCTACAGTGACGTGACTTGACCCTTGGGGAGGTACTGATGCACCAGCGCTGGTAGCACTGGCGATAGGCACTTGTTGTGGCGCAGGGCTAGAGATGATGAGGACGTGGCTGCCTGGAGCCAGACCCTGTGGCGGGACTACAAAACGCGCATTGTGGAGGACAATCTGCGTGCCAGCAGCCAGAGGCGTAGAGGTGTTGATGACTATTCTCTGCTGGACTGTCCCGGGAGCAGAAGTGGTGACATTGGTGGTTGCAGGGGAGATGGCTGTACGGGTTTTACTGAGAGCTAGTTGGGAGGGTGATAAAGAGGAAGTGACTTCCCCCCTGGTGCCGCTTTGGATATTTAAAGGATGATGGACGAGGGTGGGTGTGGAGCTCTGCGCTGGGCTGCTCTGCACAGTAGTGGTTCCCTGAGCAGGAGAGTTGCTGGACAGTATCCTCGAAGCCGAATTACAAAGTTCCTTGTTGATCACATTTCCTGCTCGCACAGGGACGGAAGCAGCAGACGTGGAAGTGCCTGGTTGGGAGATCGTGGAGAAGGAAGAGATACCTTTGAGCTGACAGCTGGTGATCAAAGAGTTAGAGGCAAGTTGGGAAGAACAGCATGTGATGGTATTTGAACTTGTAAGCGGGACCAGACCGGCGGTGGCGGCTGTATCGGAGGCTGACACAGGCGTGCTTTTGGAAGGAGAACGTGACAAGGCACCTATTGTCTGTCCAATGGTTGTGGTTGTCCCGGACAACTGGATTTGAGTGCCTGGAGACACACAAAAAAAGTTTCTCATTCAATAGCTCAATGTTGATACCAGGGCTGAATTTATGGTTTTAGTATTATCGCTGTCATACAATACAGTATTAAATGCTGTAGCCTTTAAAGACATTTTTGCTCTACATTCATCAAACTACGTCAAGAATCCTACCGGTACGAAAATGATAGCGTCTCACGCTGCAAAATGTACAAACACATGAAACGGCAGAGGAGATGAGTATACCTTACATCAAGGAAACCCACCTGAGGACAGCGTGATGTTCTTGAACTTGGACAATGCTTCTGCGCTGACGACAGGTTGGTCCGGGCTGAATCCCATCTTCAGAGTCTGACTGGATAATGAACTGGCAAGCAGCTGTCCACTGACCGCTGTCGCCTGTTTTGGAGTGCTTCCCACGGAGGTGGTGGATGCCGTTGCCGGTGGCTGGCTAAAAAACATAACTCTTGAACTAGGAAGGGATTTTGTGTAAGACGGTGGTCTCTTTGATGAGGCTACATTTGAAGCGGACGAAGAAGTGGGAGTAACAAGGATGAATTTAGTGACCTGGGATCTCTCCTCTGTACCGGTCTTGCCGATGCACTCTGCCAGTTTGGGAACACCCAAACTGCTCAGTGATGGGGCGACAGTGTTATTACCTAAAGGAGCTTGAAAACGAGAACAAGCGGTGTGCGCAAGCTGGCCGATATTTGTCGCATCTGTCGAAACGACAGAGGTGGTGGAGACTCGACTGTGTGTGGCCACAGTAGTGTCTGCAGCCCGGCTTCCTGGGCCTCTAACAGGCACGCTGCCAGAGACTGCAGCAAGCATTGGATTTGAGAGACTGGAAGGGGACTTTAACAGTGAAGGGAGCGGAGGCTGGGCCACAGAGATACCCGTCACTGCTGGGAAGTTGTAGGCGGAGGTCGGAGAGGAAGCAGAAGGAGAGACAGTCTGTGATGTCTTGGAGACGAGGAAGGCTTTCAGCTGAGGCGAGATGGTGATGACCGGACTGGCGGGCGAAGAACCAAGGGCATTCTGGTCTGAGGACGTCTGGACTTTGACGATGGCCGTGTTGCCTCCTCTGGTTGTTACCAGGATGGACTGCGAGTCACGGATACACACGGTCTTAAGCTCCTGCTTGGGGGCTGGAGATTTAACAGGCTCAGCGGGAACCGCACTGGGCGGGGGTTTGGCCGTGACACCCTGTGGTGTGCTAGCTTGGGGACTGCAGGCTTGTGGCCCCTTCAGGGCCCCGTGTTGCAGGCGAGGGGAAACAGACGGAGAGGTTGTCCTCACTGTCCTGGCGTCTTTTAGGGGGGCCACTTGCTGAACAGGGATTCTGTTTTCGGAAATAGTGAAGCCAGGCACATTGGTGGACATACAGAAGGGGCTGGCCACTTTGGAAGCTGGGAACGGGGGGACCTTAGACTGTGGATGTAGAGGAGGCCCATTTTCTTCAGGTTTGTGGACGAGAAGGTTGGAAGGCAGAATCACCAATTGCTGCATAACCTTCTCCCCGGTGTTCTGGTCCACGACGGGATGAACAGAAAACCTGACGGGGCTGCTGCTGCTGCTGTTTTTCCGAAGGAGACCAAGCCCCTCGGGTACTTTGTACACCATTTGGACGGGGTTATTTGTTACAGTTTTGGTAGTTTTTGTTTGAGGTGATTTAGGAGGGGCTGCTGTCCCTGTAGCCACCCCTGGCTGTCTCGGGACTTCCGTTTGTTGTCGTTGTCCTAGTGCCTGTGTTTGTTGGGAGTTCTGCTCGGGACTTGACGAAGAGTTTTGTGCTTTTGAAAGTTTCGGAGCATTCACTGTAGAGGTAGGCGGGGAGACCGAAGACCCTTTGCTCCGTCTATCTATGATGTTGATCCCTGTATAATCAGCAGGTCGTTTCATTAAGGTCACTTTATTCCCCACGCTCTTAGCTAGCAGGGTGGGGATGGGCGTGTAGCCCTTAGGTAGTCCAGTGGTGGGGTGGAGGATGGGGCTCCTGGGTGACAGGGGAGCCTGGGCGGTCACTTTGGCTGCCCACGCCAAGTCCAAATCCCTTGATTGATTTGATGGTCTCACTTCGTCAGGGTTCGACGTAATGTTACTGCTGCCGGTGGGACTTGTTTGCAGCAGACCGACGTGTTTCTCAAAGTTAACCAGAGGTGGTTTTATGTGGGTTTGAGCCTTATAGTTCACTGTTCTCTCTCCAGCAGACTCTCCAGCCACAAAATCTGTGGTGTTTCCTGGGAACACGACAGATAGAGAAGTCCGTTAGGGATGCGTTGATCGATTAGCCAGCAAAACAGTGTCAACACACACTGTGACATTTGTTTCAACTCCCCTAAAACATGTTTTTATCACTGCAATACAGCAAGCACCATTCCAATAGTGGATTTAGATTAAATGACTTTACCTCCACTCCAAAGACCTCTGGGAACCATGTGTTCCAGGTCCTCCTCCGCTGATCGCCCATAGCGGTCCGGGAATGAATACACCTCTTCTCCCAAACCCCTCTCTTCATCCTCTACGTCAGAGGAAGACGATGATGAAATACTCTCTTCACGCACAAAGTTATTGTATTCCGGATGCTTCTTGAAATCATCACACTCCTTCTTCAAACGAAGCCTGGTGTAGAAGCAAGAGAAGAGAAGAGGGTTGGTCTCCAGTCCAGCCACGATTTTATGACGCAAAGAGTTAATTAATCAAATATACAGTCAGTCGTGTGCATTGTGCTAGTCAGCTGAGCTCAAACTGCATTAGAATAAGAGTTTTTATCAGGACACTGTCCTGATAATAGCATGCAGGGTGAAATTTGATTTATAAATGAAAAACAGATGATGTTTTTTTCCAACTATTGTTCCAATGTCTAAATGAGCTGCACCTGTTCCTCTGGCAGGCCTTAACGAGTTTGGGTTCCCAGGGTGAAAGCTCATTCAGTAGTCTGATCAGAGTGCTGTGGAGGTCTTTCACTGCTTCCTTCCTATAATACCACCGACCCTGTCAATTCAAACATGCAAAGGAAACCGGAGTCAAGTCACCAACATGTGTGACGTTGTATTTTCCACCAACTAAAAAGAAGGCCCTGGGTTATGCGAGTAAATCCTCGAAGGGGAAACTATGGTTGCCACCTACCAATCTCTTTTTGATGCTCTCCAGGTCATTGAGCTCATCTTCTGTCTTGTTGATCAGCTTCCGTAAGTCCTCAAGACTGGTGCATACCAACTGAAAAGGAAAAGCAAGACACAGCGAGCCATTTTATTCAAGAGAGAGAGAAAAAGAGGTGCGGCTTGTTGTAAAGTGAAAGGTATTTGCGAATGCATGGTAATGATTAATGATACAGATTTAAAAGAAAATATGCTGCCAACAAAAAGTCTGGACATGTAAGCGCGAGTGTGACTACCTTAAATGACGGCTCAACTGAAGTTCCATCATCTTTAATTTCCTTTGAAGATTCAAGCTTTCTTCCTGTCAACCAGATATAATCATTGAACCGACGTGTTATTATTGAAAAACATATTAAAGCAAATTATAAAAATAACCCATGTGGCATTGTGGCTCCAAGTTCCAAGAAACATTGGTCAACATTGAGCTTTTCCGCACCTGTTTTATGTTTTTTCTTATCTTTTCTCTTGAATGTTCCTGTAACTCTCCGCACTGCAGACTTGGTAGTCTCAGCCGAGGGCGACCTCAGCCCTTCAACGTGCTGGAGCGGATTGCCCTTTCCTCTCCCCCTCTCGCGCTTTTTCTTCCGCTTCTTTGGGGGGGGGCAGATTTTGTCATTCAGACCCTCTTCACTCGAGTTCTGAGAACTCTCAGAAGACAACCGTGTTGCTTGCCCCGATGTGCCACAGCAGCTTTCATGCTCAACATTTTTGCTTTTACAACAATCCAAACCGGGAGACGTTTGATTTGGTTGACTGGGACTTCCTCCCTCCATTTGGACTGGTTTGTTTGGAGAGGCGAGATTCACTAAGCGAGCAGGTGATCTGCCCGTGTAGCTGTGCTCTCCAACACTCAGACAGGGCTCCTGTGTCTCCGCTTTAATGGTGCGCATTGAGCTCGGCGAGAAGCCCTTATCCCGCTTTAAAGGGAGTCGCTTGGATTGATGCTCCAACTCTACAGTCTCTTCTTTCAAATTCAGTTCCCCGTCACTTCCGCCGACAGCACTAGTGTATGAAAAGGAGTTAGTGTGTATTTTTTCACACAAGTCTCCATCAGAGGACCCGGATTCAGACTCCTCCTCCTTCTTAAGTGACCATGATTTCTCAACTTCCATTTTTTCCCCTTTGACACCCCCAAGTGTCTCTTCTCTCCCCGTCCCAAAACCATCAGTCTCTCCTGTGTCCATTGAGACTTCACAACACCCTCTGGCCCTCATGACCCCCTCTTCCTTCGTTCCATCAGACTCGTCGCCCTCGGTCCCTGGCTCTATATCAACTCTTTTCACCCACACAGAGGGGAAAGGGAAAACCGGGGGTGAGCCGGGGCTCTGGCAGTAGATTCTCAGGTCTGCCCCACAAAAATGCGGGAAGTGTATGTAGCAATTCTCCATGCCGTCATAGCCTAAAATGGACTCCCTACATTCATGGATGGGTTGGGCCAGGAGGGCATCCTGCACATATTTCTGCGTCTGATACACATGATCGCACAGCCCCTTCAGAAGCCATACGCGCTGGTAGAAGGGCAGCAAATGAAAGGGTTTCTCCTCCAAGGGACTCGCCTCCCCGAGAATACGGAAAAACTGGTGGCAGAGTCCCAGCTGCTCGGCCCGACCCGGCTGATCATGCGAGGCACCAACAGCTCGATACCACCCCATGACTCGCTGCCTGAGTTCTGATTCCCAGCGGCGATAAAGCAGCACAGGCCGGCGGTGCAGAGTGGCCCTCCGCTGGGACGGGGACAGCAGGGAAGACATGATTTTGGACAGGAGGAGGCTGCAGCGGGGCATCAGCAAACAACGCTCAAGATCAAAAAATACAATCTCTGGGAGGTTAAGCGCAGTCTGGGCAAGACAAAGGAAGTGCCCTATAGCGGGGAGTTCCCAAAGTGTGTCCACGGTGTGAGGGGCGGCCTGTGACAGCAAAGTCTGTTCCCACTCTTCCACCTCTTTGGCTGACATTTCCTCTGCTTCTTTCTTCTCAAGCTCACGTTGCCTGAAAAGACAGAAAGCATGTATTCTCGGCCAGGTTTATGACAGGAAATTTGAAATCACTCTCAAATATTCACGCACCTCTTCTCCTCTTTTGCCCTCTGCTGTTCTTCCAGCCGTAAGGCCTGAACCATGATGGACTCATGCCCACCGACAGTGATGGTAGTCAGGCTACGAGGGGCCAGCCTCCTCCTCGTTGACGTCCCCCCCGAACCCCGTTCCTCCTCTGCACCAAAACGTCCTTTGGAGGTCACTGTCAAAGTTGTCTTCTCTCGCAGCGTCCTGGTTCAACAGACACAGACAAAAACATTGAACTGGTTTTAACTTCGCCTGACATGATTGTTGGAAGTAATGCATTTGGAATTAGCTTGTGGCCACTGTCGTATGCTACTCAACAAATGTCCTTTCTTGCATTAACAAAAAACAGGCGCATTATATTGCCATTTAGAAATACTAGACGGCAATAGGGTAATTATATTTTACTGTGTATATCCAGCCATCCATTGTCAAACTGCTTATCCTGCACACAGGGTCGCGGGAGGGCTGGAGTCTATCCCAGCCAACGTCGGGCGAGATACTGTGTATGTGTAATATATATTTAAAAAATGTAAATCTACAAAATTGCAGACATGAAAATGAAAACACATTTTTGGCCCTCAATTATTGTGGCCGTATGATGGGTTTGAACACTTGTCAGCTAATCAATCTATTTCAACAGTTTAATATATTACATCATGCACATAGTTTACCTGGAGAGCAAAGTAAGCTTCTGCTCCAGCATGATTTCCAGCTTTTGAGCCTGTTTGGAGATCCAGTGGTCCACTCCATGGTAGCGATAACTGTTCTCCAACATCAGCCTGAAGTCCGCAACAAACTCTGTTATGGTGTCATACTCCTGGTTCATAAACTTCTCCTCCATCCTTCGCAAGCACATCGACTGCCTGAGTTGTGCCTGACCCAAACCACGTACCCCTCCAATACCATGCTGGGCCTCCTGGTGGCAGACAGGATGGAGGAAGGGGCTGGTGATCCCTTTGTGCTTGTCCGAGAGAAAGCCTGTGAATATCCTATAAGCTTGTTGGACCTCATAGTTCATATCGTCCTCAAAACTATTGCTGTTGGTGGAAATACACACCTCGGGCAGAGAGAGGTCACTGTTTGAAAACTCAGACATGCCTTCGTTGCTAAGTGCAAGCCTGTCGCCCTCAGCGGTGACATTTCCACTGTTGCCAGGGCAATATAATGCTACCATAGTCTCAACTTCACAAGTGCCATTAGTGAGCCCATCATCGGTCACGATACGGTCGGTGTCCTCAGTGCCGCTGTTTACCCATTTGGATTGGGAAGACATCACGTTGGAGCCGGACCGCTCGGGTGGAAAGTCGTGGTCGGTCACGATCAGATCTTGGTTGTGGAAAGGAGGTTGGTTACGTGCTGTGGCGATTTGGTCGGTCACATCCAACTGATCCATGGTGCAGGCACCTGAAGTGGATAACAGGGGTTACATCTATGACGAACCGCGATGTTGCAAAGATTAATTCGACAAAGAAAAACAAAAGTACAATCAGTTCAACAGCATTTCTATTGCGAGGTCCAAAATACATGACGTCATGGAAAGCGAAGGTTCATTCTAGTATTGGTTAAGATTGCTAGGGCAAGTTTGCTGACATTACAGTTCCTGTCATGGCAGGTGCTCCAGGTGATAATCTGAACACTGTTATGTTTATAACAATGCAATTGGGTCCGGTTACAAGAAGTTAAATTATCTTTCTCTACTCGCCTAACCGTCGCAAACTTTTAATTATTCCTGTGATCAATGTGTAGCTAGCTTGAAAGCTATTAGCCAGCCAGCTAACGCCAGTTAAAACAACAATAAGTAAACAAACTGTATTCTGCTGGCTGATAGAGGTCGGCAGTTTGCCCCTCTGTCTCCTATCACGTAAACGAAGACCAGCACTAACAAGAGGCAGAACACCGGGCTACTTAAACCACCTACCCCGACGTTTCTGTGCCTCTCCAGACCTCTCTCGCCTTTAGCGAGTTTAGCAGCAACGGCGGCTTGCTAGCTGAGTTAGCTTGCTATTGTCTCCAATCTGGGGCCTGCAATTGCTGCGTTCGCTGTCCATAGTGAAAAAATTCCAGCAAATAAATGTCTAGCAGACAAAAAGTTCTGCAGTCCTCTCATGTCGTCGGCGCACGGAGTTTCGTCAGTGACAGCAAAGTAGCTAGAGGGGCATTAGCCGGAGTAACACTAGCTGATTGTCCGACAATGCATAGCAGTTCATTATCATCACTGACGTTAGCCCATCCAGCTAAACAGCCGCGGTTTCAAGCTGACAGTCACTTTATAACAAGTAACGTAAAACAAAACAGGTGCACTTTGAGTGCGAGTTTCCGCCGTGTGTCCGATATCTTCTGAACTCCTGTAGGCTTTGGGGGTGAAAAAGAAGAACCTGGTAAACGACTTCTACTGCCTGGCTGGCTTCAAGACCGCGCACTTCACTTCCACCCTGCGTGGAAGCAATGCAAATGTGCGCAGCTTGACGTAGCGAGGGGGTTTGCGTGTCACACTAAATTGTTATTTAGTTTCCCCCTTTCTATTGATGGGCACATACTCACTGTTACCCGTACACTGTAATTCTTACCATTGTCGGGATTGTGTCACCCCTCATTATCACCGACAAAGAGCCTCCCGACACGGCCCTAATTCGAAAACAATCACTCATTATCGACAAACCCACTGTGCACAAGGAGTTAGCGGCATGCGATTGTAAACTGTTATTCATAACTTGAGCTAAACGATATGTTTAAATTCGCTGCAGAAGACAGTCTCCTCCAAGCACAGCGTAAAATGCATGACTCCGATCTAACCGCTAGATGTCGGTAGTCATCTTTGCACGCCGTACGACGATGGTGTTGCTGTGTTTTTTGCTGCCCCTTGTCTTGCCTTTCAGGTAGCTCTTGGCTACAGGTTTTCTTTTTTCATCTCCCTCTAAAAAAAGGTCCATCATCACATGGGTATTTATACAATGGTTCTTTCTGGACTAGATTGTTTGTAAATCGAATCGCTGGAGGCTGAATGTGTACACCGCTTGAACACGTTGACTGCCCGACAGACAACGACCGGGGCAAGAAAATCCCAAATGTTACCTTTCTGGCCGCTGTATGTAGACCTCGAGCGAAGGAGGCAGAGAATTTGATTTGTCAATCAACATTTTTTTTAACAACAGCCTCCCTGTAGAAATAAATGGTATCACATTGTGTTAATACCACTGCAATTTTTTATAAAATGTACAAAACACAGCCTATGATTCCGAAAGAACAAATTGGCCCATCAAGGAGGTGTCCAGCCGGGACGATTGTTAATTAAGCACTTATGCCACGAGAAACACGTTCTTTACAGTGATTTCAGATGAGCTATAGGAAGTATTGTCAAGCAAGGGGTTTCAGTCCAAAATAGGCATTTCTTCCCGATGAGCATTGCACTAGTGTGCATGAATACTATGAGGGATGTAGAGCCAAACTAGCCAAACTAGTACTGTAGGGATAGACTTGCACCGGCTTAGTTTGAGGCTTTGATTTAATTTGGGAAAGTCCGATTTTGGAGGCAAACTTATATTTATATATGTTATATTTAACAAACGGTGGACCACAAGCCGAAAAAGGCGGCCTACTGCAATGGGATTGCTTTATATTTTGAATTCCTGTGATTTTGTTATAGAATACAGGAATATGCATTGAGGTCCATGACAGATGACCCCGATAGAGGCTCCTTTTTTGCACAGTATGGAAACCTTAATTACCACAATTGATGAATGTGTTTACTTCAAGTTCAAGTTGCTGCACTGTAAACCCAAGGCAACATATCAAAAGTACTCATTATGCTGAAGAACGGAAAATCAAAAGTATTTTCTTTTGTATTATTAAAAAGTTTGCTTGTTATTTAATTGTAAGCAAAGTAAACCAGAAAACGTAGTGGTGTCAACGTACAGTAGCATCATTGGAATGAATGGGTCCTGATTTGAAAAGAATTGAGCCTAATGCATTGACAGAAAGAACACGGGATTCATAAATAATCACTGGTCCTTACGTCTTGCACACACATAATCATGAGATTTATACTAGCTGCCCACAACCCTTCCGCAAAGGCTCGAGACTGTGTGCATTTCATTTATTTTTCACAATAAAGAGAGAGCTGCGCCTTTAACTGCGAGCTGGGCTCGCTTGAACGTTATTTCGCGAGATTTGCTTGGCGCCGCGACCTCATGTGAGACACCTCCTGCCCGAAGCCAGTCCGACGTTACCTCTGCAGAGGAAAAACGCAATGGATCCCTGAATATTTTCTCAATTCTACCCGATTACACCCCCACCCCCTCCCCTTCCCTCCCTCCTCTCCCCAGGGGGAAAAACAGCACCCGTGTCCGCAGCGCTGCTTCATCTGCTATTTTATTTTGAGGCTCAAACAGGGCGGCGCGACGATGTGGATCCAGGTTCGCACCATAGACGGGAAGGAGACGCGAACCGTTGAGGACCTTTCTCGATTGACCAAAATTGAGTCCCTGCGTTTGAAAATACAGGAGATCTTCAGCGTGAGCCCGCATCAGCAGCGCCTGTTCTATCGCGGGAAGCAGGTAAGCGCGACGTTCTGCGTCCCCGCCGTCATGCAACAATCTGTTTCGGGGTTGCTTTTTTTTCTCTTCTCTGTAGTTATTGTTGTTGTTGTTGCTGCTGCTCTTGCAGCGTTTCGGTGCTGCTGCGGTGAGAATGAGCGGTCCTCCGGTTTTGGAGCCTTTTCGGACCCGTGCGCGAGCTTCCTGTTTTGATAGGAATTCGCCAATGGTTCTTGCGCAAGAGCCCGGGGTGCGCGGTGTGCCAGCCCCCCCCCCGCCGCCCCCCCAAAAACCCCCAAACCCCCCCTACCACAACAGTGATATCACATGGACGTGTGGTGATGTAATAGAGCCGTACTGCGTTGTTTTTTTCGGAGGGCTCTCGCGCGGTGGAAACGCGCGCATGCAACAAATGTCTCAGCCGCGTAGACATGTTTGTTTACATCGCCTCGACAGCGCGGCGCAAACAACCGACGCGCGTCACTCACCGACGAGCCCCCGTTAAACCGCATTAACGGGCAGCATCGTCCACACCGTCCATACATACCCATATATATATATATATACATATAGGAAAATCGCGTTATTTATTTTGCCACTCGAGTCATGTGTGCGTGCTCGGTGTTATGATGATGTTAATGGTAATTGGAGAGAGGAGGGGTCACGTGGCTCCACGTGCCCTGACGTCTGAAAGCAAGTGTGTTGTTTACCTGCGGTAGGAACCACCCACAAAGAGATACCTGTCCTCTGCTATTCTGACAGTTCACCTGTGCCCACGCTGCACAACACACACACTGAGAAGGATGAGTGGCATGCGTATTCAACCCTAACCCCCTTTTTTACTTCAGTTACATATAAGTCAGATGTTCACTATTTATTGATTGTTAATTTCGAACCATAATAACAATGTAATAGTTATATAGATACCGGAGAATTGATATCTTGCACAAGTCCGTCATCACTCCGTTTCAGTTTAGATGTCTTTTTTAGATAGTTCTACTTAACTGAATTTAATGTGGTTTGGGTTTACTGCACCTGTCTGATTGCATCAGTAGTAGTAAATATCAAGAGCCCCTTGTTTCTCCATATAATCGTTTCATGAGAAATTTAAGATTTTGTTTTAATTGTGATACGTTTATTATTTAAGAAACTACTGGAATTCCAATTTGTTACGCAGCAAAATCTGAAAAAGTTGTAATGGGATCAGCAGGAATTGGATAATTTAACATGTGGTTTGGAATACTGTTGTAAATGGCATATGCTATTATTTACGATATGTAGTATCAATATCCTTGTAATGTGTAAATTATAATGCACACTATTGGTTTCGGTCAAGTACCCATCGCCACTTTCTAATTACATTAACTTATAATGTATCAGTCAGGATTTTATTTTCAGTTGTAAATCATCAGTGTTGGTAGACTTATAGGTTTATTATAATTTAAACACACGTGTCACTCTACGTCCTACAATAGGTGTCTGATTGCAGCGGGGAAAATAACTGTTCTTTGGGAAAAGTATGATATGCCAGCGTCCCTCTCAGTCAGTGTTGCGGTTCGATTGGAAATTCTATACCTTTTAAAATCATGTGTTTGGAATGTGATGATTCATTTATTACAGACTGATGATTCACACTGTGAACAGATGTCAGTGTGCTTAGTCTCTCTCTCTCTCTTTCTCATGGTGCTTGACGGAAGCTTAATTTTTATTAAATGCCAGCAGCTGGGGAAGAGAAGGGTATGAAAACTGTAATCTGTTATCCCGACACACACACGAGTTTTGTGTGTGCGCATCATGGCGGATTGTCACATGCAGCGTGCATTGCAGCCTCGGAGCCTGTGGTTTATTTCCTGCACCATTAACATGTTTAACATGACAAGAGTTCTTTCTAAATAGTAGTCTGATTTTTTCGCCATACGTCCGCTATTCATGTTCTGTTAGTTCAACTATGTGAAGTATTAAACAATATATATATATATATATATATATATATGAGGATGGACAGACCCACCGTACCATGATGTGTAAAATGTGTGAAGGGTTAGTAAAAGCCTTCAATGTACCAGGTGTTCAGTAAAAAGCAGAAACACTGCCGACAGGAATCTGGTGCCATGGTTTATTTAGTATTAAAGCATAGCATCACAAGGCTGTAATATTAAATATTAACACAGTGTGACTCAGCCAGGCACACACCTCTACCGACTATACCTGTACTAGTTAGCACTTTTTTTTAGCCCTTAAGATGGCACTTACTTATAGCATTTTGTAGTTTGGCTCTCTTGTTCTGGGTCTGTACCGTCTTGTGAGTCGCTTCGGATAAAAGCTTAATGTAAAATGTAAATAAGCCCCCAGGAAGGAAACGGCCCACGTGACGTGGTGATCTCTCACTGTTTACATTGAGTCACACTTTCCTTCATTCATGTGTCGGGCAGGATTATAGGCCAAGATATTCCGTAATAACGGGTCTTGTGCGTGCTGAAGTTATCTAACCTACTTCCTGCTGTGCAACCAAGTCACATTCAAGAGCGTTGCATTTTGAGGCACACCGACCACAATGAGTTGACTCATCCCGCGTAATGGAGAGGAAGTCATTTCTTAGAGTGATTTCGTTTTTAATTCATGAATGCTAATGAATTACTTTGGTCCACTTCATGTTTTTTTTTTTACTTTGCAAACTTAATAATCACAAACCAATATTTGTGTTGGATGCATTTTCCCACATTTTTACTAGTCGTAGACAAATATTGGCAATTGTTCTGAGCAAAGTCAACACAAACGTGGGACTCAACAACAGTACAGACGAAGTCCGACTGCTCATTAGCAATAGTAGTCCAAACGTGACCTTTGCTTGATTACTAAGGCAGGTGATGAATTATCTGTTATGCATGCGGGAGCTGGCATTTCCTGTTGGAGCTGTGGTTGCATAGGCCCGGGCCTGTGCAGTAAATCCTGCACCTCCTTCATCTCACAGGAGAATAAGTGGGTAGGGTCAATCCGGGGGGATTTCCATATGTCAGCCAATGCGTGGAATGAGCAGGACACACGCGTCGTGCTCTCCACCCGCTCACATGCGCGGCCCTGTTGGGATTCTGACTTGTTGCAGAATAACTAATTCCTTTCCAAAATGGCGTCTTGTTTTTCCCTCCAGCTCACTGCGCACGCTGCCGCTCCGGTTCAAAGTCACGCTCGCCCTTGACTCAGAAGCGTCTCGGGCCAGCAGCAGCCGCACAACTTTTTAGTGTTTGTTTTTTCACGGGGGTTCTTTGCAATTTGCCCGTGCCCTCCTCGCTGTGTCTCCGTTTCACTTCCGAGCGAGCGTCTCTCATATCACGGGCGTTTGCGCGGGGACACGCACGCGCGCACATAAATACACGAGCACGCCACGCACCCTCACCCACACCGTCTACTCTTCTCGTAGCCCTTTTGGCTCAACGCCCACGATCACTTTTGTGGCAGACTTCTCATTTACTAATTTTAAAGAAAAAAGCTTTGGCTTCGATTGAGAGCTCCACTTGTATTGCGTCTGTGTGCTTCACATATGAGGCTGTAGCTCACTGTGTGTGTGTGTGTGTGTGTGTGTGTTTTTCCTGCTGGGCCAGCAACATGTTTAAATGGTCGGGCTGTCCTCCGCCGTTAGCTGTTGTCTATTGTTGAGCTGTAGGAAAGCTTTATTGGTTTGCCTCCTTTCGCGCAGGCAGTCGCTGTGACCTAGTTAGATATTGCTGCACTTTGATTATGCTTCGCATTGATGTTGCGGGCTCCTCGAATGACGGCTTTTCTTCGGGCACTGCCAAGCTGTAGAATTTTCCCGAGAATTTGAGGGAAAGTGGAGTTGGCTGCAGCCATGCATGCACCCAGTCACACCCTTCTTCGACAGATCGGCCGGACAAAGAGCAAAGACAAAGGGAGGAGGCTCGAAACCTCGACTACGACTGCGAGCTTTCTAACACTCCCACATGTTTGGTTTTTTTTTGCAGCAGCAGCACCGCCATCTCATAAACGTCTGCATGGTGGTCAAATTTCCAACCTGTTCACTGTGAGCTCACACGTCTGCATTGAGATGAGTCGTTTTCCCCTTTGCAGTGTTTACATAGGTCAGGTTACTGCAGGACAGTCCAGGCTTGCATACCCAGTTGTCTCATTTATTTATTTGGGGTTTCAATAGTGGCACTTGTTTGATGGTAGTAAACATAAAACAATTACATTTTTGGTAATTTCATATCCAAATCCAAAACACAGGATTTCTACTGCAAAAAGAGTCAGTCATGACATTTTTTTTTGTCTCTATGCCAAAACTAGGTAAGAAAGTTAGGTCAAAGTTGTTTGGTTAAAAAAAGGCCGGGCTTACAGTGGCTGCAAACGGAAGCAAAAAGAAATCATAGTCACCGTTTCCAGGTCATTTGTGCAGATTACCGGTGAAAAGTTTACTCCCCATGTCATTGTTTTTTTTTTTGGTGAGGGGGGGGGGGGGGGTCCCGAGCTATTTCGCTCAGTCTTGCTGCAGAGACGATGAGGAAATCGTGTAGGAGTGAGGGGTCCGGATGGCCCGCCCGAGCAAAAGAGGCTCATTTCTGTTCTACGAGTCGCGTGCTGTCGAGCAGCAGCGGCGAGGCTCCGGCTCGGGCCTTTCGCCGCAGTTAAGCCTCCCCCAGAACCGGGCACCAATATTAAATGGGCCACCCTGATGTCTTTGTGATTTTAAAAGTGATGGCTAAATGTGTTCCCTCAAGCCACAGATATGTAGGTGTTGCTTAGTTAGTTTCATTTCAGAATGACTTCTGCACTAAGAGCGTTTGCAGCAGTCAGCCATGATCCTCTATGATACAATAATAAACTGAACGTAATATTATAGCCAAATGTCCCCCCACCTGCAGCCTCTGCTCTATGATGTGTATTATTGGCTGTAGTGTTATCATGAAAACACCTTTCTAATAACGCAGGTTTTTAAAGTCCTCAGCGGCCTCAGGCCTTTGTCGGCCTTTGTCTCTTTGTTTGACGTTCTTTCTGTCAGTAACGCTCGGTTCCCGTTACAAAAAAAGAAGAAAAAAAAACGCCTGTCGAAACAGAGAAATTAGAGGTGTTCATTTTATTTCACTCAACAATGTGACACACGCACCGTTGCCATGCGTTGTGATCTGTTTCAGCCGCTCGACAAAGCCTCGAGTTAATTAGCCTCAAGTTAATAGTCCGCGCTCCGCGTCTGGCTTCGCGGGGACGCACGCGTGCTCGGGGTCGCTCTCCTGGAACGCACATTTCACCGAGTCTCACAGACGAAGGTACCGGAATGTTTTTTTTTTTTTTTTCCCCTTCTGATTCATTTGCATTATTTATGACCTGAGGAGAAAATGTCGTCTCCTCGGATGCCGCCTCGTCCTGCAGAAAGTCAACAAGGCGGCGTTCTCGTCCAAGTCGCCGTGACCCGCGCGAACGCATCAAGCATTCCTTTCCGACATCGCCGGTTCAGATGGCGCTTCTTTGTTCGGGGGATTATTCAGCCGCTTGTTACTGATGTCAGGGCTGTCGCACCTCGCGGCGAGAGGCTGATCACACAAAGAAGGTGCCGGGGTGGAGGTGGGTGGGGAGGAAGGGGGGGGCACGGCTTTGGTGTCGTTTTTGTGGATCGGTGCGGTGAGCGTAACTCTACTGTATGTTCCCTCCATCCGATCGCCACCTCCTCATCAGCGAGGTCGGGTGGTCTGCCGGTGTGTCCGTTTGCCGCGGGCTTCTTAACGCCGTGTCAAGTAGCAAAAGAGAGAGACAGAGCGCGAGAGAGGGAGAGAGGGAACAATTACTGAGGCTAAATCAGAAACAGTTCAGACAAAGAAACGCTGAGATAGGGCGCCACAGACAAACAGACAGGTGAGTACACAGCCACCACTGTGTTCGCACTGCTGCTCCTCTGATCTGAATTTCACGAGACTATTAACAAAAAAACAAAAAAAAAAACAGGAGGGGATGGGGAAATTGCGCTCGCACTCCCTCTTTCGCTTTTTACACAACGGGAGACGGGGAAGGCAGCGGGAGCGGCGGCCATGCTCGCCTCTCTCTCCGGCACAATGGCCTCGTGGGGGTTTGGGCGGGCTGAAATGAATCGCTGGCGTCTGTAATGAGTTGGCGGGCCCCGCCATGAGCCCCGCTCCTCGGGCGGCGGCCGCAGCGCGTGCTCAACGGCGGTTCGGTGGCGGTAGAATAATGAAGGTGGGTTTTTTTCCCCCTGACGGGCCCTGGTGCGGGAACGCTTTCCTGATTGCCGTCCGCCGCCGCCTGACAGGGTCTCGCTCGTGGTGGTGGTGGTGGTGGTGTCGACGGAGATTGTATATACGATTCAGGTTCATGGGGGTGGTGGTGCTTTCTTTTGGTTGTCATAGCAACCCGGTCATTTCTTCTTCTCCCCCCCCTCCCTCCCAAAGCTACATCTCCTATCACTTCAATTCATGCATTTAAAAAAAAAAAATCTTGTGGAAAATCCAGTGCGGGATGCATACGAGCGGAGCAGCAGATCAGCATCCATTATTATCAGAGTGGAAACGTAAACCAACACAAATGTAGGTTGATCAGTAGTAACAGCTTACCAATCATGAGTGACAATTGCCCCCCCCCCCCCCCCCCCTTTTCCGTTTTTTTCCCCCTCTAATTGTAATCACTTTGGCTCTCCAGGCAACTGTCTTTTTGGGGGGGGGTGGGGGGGGGGGGGGTTTGCCCCGGACTCGCGAAGCAACGTCCTTAAACGCCGCTGCTGCATTTCGAGGCAGGAGGATTTATTGAAGTGTGTGTTTTGATGTGGAGGAGCAATGCATAAGTGTTTTTTTCTCGTGCCGCGCTCAATGTTTTCTTCTGTGTTCTTTGTTTGTCCTTGACAAGCAGCCGGGCGTATTCGTCTGAGGGCAAACTGGTGTTCATTTCATACCACATAAGTGTCTATTACTAGGAGAGAAAATTGGGAGTATTGTTAATGAGGGATGTCTTGATGAGCATTTGTGCAATCGTCCAAACCCAGCACCCGTGGGCAAGTGAAAGCCTCGGTAAGCTGACTAGAAAAAGGGGAGAGCCGGTTGAAGGCCGTGTATTAGGCTACGGTCATTACATACAATTTGTCTTTTTGCATCTGTGCGGCTGAGTGACGATCCATTCACCTCAGCTGCTTTTCTTTTTTTTTATATCTCCTCTCTCCTCAGATGGAAGATGGCCAGACGCTGTTCGACTACAACGTGGGACTCAATGACATCGTCCAGCTGCTGATTCGCTCACAGACCGACGCTCCGGACAGCCCCGCCGCCAAGGACTCCTCTGTGGCCTGTGGCTCAGGCCCCCCCTCCTCTGACCCCAGGTCAGAAAGCCACAATTCCCCGGCTCCCGCCTCCCCCGTTGCTATGGAAACCGCCACCAATACAGACAATGACAGCGGCAGCGTTGCTCCCAGCGCTGTAAACGAAAACAAGCCGGACACCAGCACTACCAGTAACTCCGCCAGTTCCAAGAATGGGTTTAAGTCCTCCAGTCCGCCCGCGGACACTCAGCCGCCCACGTCCAGCAGAAACGCACTCGTCGACCCGGGAATTGGTGTGTACAAGGTGAGGATGAGGCCGTTGATATTTGGGAAGGGTTGGCAAGGTCTCGCATTGAAAGTGGTGCGACACAGCGTTTAACACCCTAAAAGACAGATCCTTTTTCTTTCATTATGTTCTCCTCCCCTGCTGATGAAAAAGCCAAACCATCCTGTGAAGCCGTAGTCCTGCTAATTTATGTATTAGATGTGTTATTTGGGCAATTTAGCTTAATTTAGTACATAGTGTTTTACACTATATTCTGCTTTAATAGGTCTGTATTTAACACAAATAGTGTTATTTTGAACATAACAAAAAAAGGAAAAACATCCCCTCAATTTAAGCTTCCGTCGTGGGTTTGGTGATTTTCTCTTCCTTCTTCTTTTTTTTTTTTTTACGAGTGTAGTCTTGCGATGCGGCACCTCAGACTGTTAAGTATTCCAGCCAAATAAAATCTTCCATTCTCCCTAAACTGCTCTGTGTTTTGGGTAGATCGGGTCAGATACCCCACATTCCTTTAATTTATGAGCGCTAATGAAATCTCTGCCATGGAGTAGCAGACACACTCAAATAGGAGACAGGAATTTACAGTCGACTGCAGTCAAAACCCAAATATTGATGAGTCTCCTCTATTCTACTGTGAGTCACCCACATGACTGCGAATTATATGACTCAGACTGGATATTTCATTTTATGCCAAAAGACCAGCACGTACAAAAATCAATACTGTAGCAAAAGTAGATGACTTGAAAATTGCGCAGCTTCACTGGATGTGAAGGTCACGGGCCGCTGAAGGCTTCACACATGCGCCAACGACTCTGACATATTTCATGTGGTCGTCACACAAGGGCCCGCGTGGGGCCGTGGATGACACTTATAACAAGAATCTGTCCATTCAGTTCCAGGATGCTTTTGGAAATAGATTGCAAATAGGCTAACTAAATCAGTGTGCAGAGATTACACTACACAAGTACGCATGTTGTGGACTGTTTCCATCTCCCACAGTCTGAAAATGTATTATCATGCAGCATTGACACCTATAAGAATTAGCAGGAAGAAAGCCTTTTAAAAATCCCGTCTTTGTGTCTTCCCAGATTAATGAGCTGGTGGACTGCAGGGACGTCAGCATCGGGGCCTGGTTCGAGGCCTGCCTCGAAAATGTGACGCGCGCTCCCAAAGGACAGATAATGCCCACCAAGGGCAAGGTGGGTCGCCCCCCGAAAAGGACTAATGGAAAGCTGGAGGCCGATCAGGGGCCGGCCCACAGCCAGGGCCAAACCACGGACGGTACCCGGAATAACGTCGGGTTGAGCTCCGAGAGTAACGGAGCCTCCACCTCTCAGATGGACTCAACAGCGGCTACGGAGAGCAAGGAGAGAGAAGAGGATGTCGTTTACCACATTAAATATGAAGAGTAAGTGACGGCGTGTTTTGCCGGGGGATTTCGCCCGCTGCAACCGAGCGGATTCTGGTTGCCGTGTTGACAAACGCATCATTGCGGGTTGTTATTTTCTTTTATTAACATTGCACAGTTAAATCTTTAGCAGACATCCGCACAGCAATATTTAGGTCCGCTGAAGAAAAAAAAAAAAAAGAGAAAAGAATTCTAAAAGTTTTGGTTGAAATGTGCAGTGCTGTGGCTCTAATTGGATGTGCAAGTGAGTCTCTTATTTGCATGAAGCAGAAAATAGGGTTTACTTCTTGCCAGTTATGCCAATGCTAAAAAAAAATAGATAAAAAAAATGTCCAACAAACATACATGCAAAGTCTGTGTGTGTGTGTGGCTGCAAGCATCACTAACAGTGGTTCGGCCCGTCGGGAGCTGCAGGCTCGGCTTTCTCCTGGCGGTTCAGGGGATGAGGAGAGGCTTCTTCTCTCTCTCTCTCTCTCTCTCTCTCTCTCTCTCTCTTTTTAGCAGTTAGTGCTACAATTTGGACTCAATCTCTTGCACTCTTCTTTCCCTGCAAATTCATTCAGAAGACGATGTTTCCATGGTAACTCGTGAGTTCTCGGGAGCAATACTTCTTAGCTTGCCTCCTTCGGCTTTGTCTGTAATTGCTGTGAACATCCCACCGGTGAGACATAGCCTCCGCGCAGCGTCTACCGCGGTGTGTGTCTCTCTGTGCCGCGCGCGTGTATGCGTCCGTTATGGATGTTTTTCCAGAGAAGCGGCATCAAGCTTAGTCGAGCAGTAGATGCGTGTGTTTCCCTGTCAGGAGACACCTTTCCCATTCGACACTCTGCCAAATCCCTGTTGTTCGGATTGCTTCATCACAATCAACAGGGCAGTGGCGATCGTTCACGGCACAATCTTAACACAGATCGAAATATGCACCATTTTGTCTGCCACTTTCTACTTAAATTCAGCAGCTGAAAACCATAAATGGGTTTTTCCGCTTATTGAGATTTGTTGTTTTCGGGCCAACCTTCCTCGTTGGCTTCGTTCGACAGCTGACAGTGAAGCGGCAGAGTGAGACGTGAACGACAACAAAGGTTCCAGGCTAGTTTTAAACAGGGTGCAACAGGAATATGCGATTTGCATCTTTACCAAACACAACGCCCAGTTTTGTCTGCTTCAGAGAAGCCGCTGCCACAAATGCAAGTAGTAGTTGTCGGTATTCTGTCTTTAGTGTGGCTTTGCTCTATACACTCTTTTGCTTTCTTGCTAGACGCGTAGTTTCCCTCGTCTGGTTTCTTCCATCATTTCGTTTGCCAGAGAAAACACACGAACCTGCCCCACAAATTGAACTGCCATGTTTTTGCATGAGGTTGGTCTGCACAGCATTTCTACAGAATACGGGATCTGTTGTTGTGTGTGTGTGTTCATTTGCGGATAGAAAATAAATCTGTCTGGCTAAAAAGCAGCACTTCCTGCAACTTAATTACAGACATTTAAATAATAAAGTAGAGATTAAATCATTTTTCTATGGCAGGATTCCTTCGGGGAGGATTGAGCAATAGGGAAAATGTCTATATAAAGCCACATCACTCAATCCTTGTGCAGCCACGAGACAACAGGATTATCATTCATCAATTAGCATTGTCAGAATGTCTGTGTTGAAAAAGGCCTTTTTTCCAAAACAATCTCTGCACATCAAATCCAGATTTTTTTTAACTGCTCGACAGTAATCTGTGTGTTTTTTTGGGAAGGTTTTGCTTAAGTCTTTCTTAGATGGGCTCAGCCTCCTAATTGTCCAGGATCAACGTGTATGCAATGGAAGAGATCTTCGCAGCATCTAAAGCTGTGGCTGTCGGCCCGCCCGTATCTGAGGATGACTGCCATCAGGCTGAGATTATTTTTTTGAGCATTTAGGAAGTAACAAAGAAATGAAATTAAGTTAGTAGTTAGTATTTTCAGTACACTTTCTATCATCGTATTATTGTTAAGTGTATTAAATACTAACTTGCCATTTAATACCACCACCGTTAATACCATTAACTTGAATTGGTATTATTATATAGTAACCAAAGAGCTGGAATATACAGCACTATTACTATGGAACAGCACAGGTGTGATTAATTTAGCGGCTTCAGTTCCACGGTCTGCTGACTAAGCCATCGTTAATGTTATTAATAACACCTGTTCGGTGCGACTTGCCTCTTTTCAAACACGTCTTTTTCCCTTTGTTGTTTAATCACCATGCAATTCTAACATTTTTTAAAAATTATACACATACTGGCTTTATTAACCAAATTTGAGAAATATTGCCTCCCAAAATCTTTCTATACGTAAAATTACGTAGTTTTGCTTGTAAAGAGAAAATACAGAGCTATTATGTTCTATTTGCCATTAAGTTATTAAATCTGTGATGTCTCTGATAGTCTGTACACGGCATCAACAAACCACAAGGGCCACAAACCAGATAATCAAGCCTCCTTTGTCACACTGAGACTATGTTCTTTTGTAAGTGCTGTGTGTCGATCAGCAGCGACAGAGCAAGCGGTGCTCTGCATGTGTTGCTGTGGAGGCGTTGAAAGTACCAAAAACCAAAGTGAGGCAGGCTGGATGTGGGTTTCGTGGCTATCTAGAATAATGGGATTTGGGTTGTAAATCAAGCAATTGTCCAACTTGTCTTTTACTCTTATTAGCGATGTTCTGAAGTCTCTCACATTGCTGGACTTTAAAATGTCTCATCTTACTCAAGTAATTTAAATACAAGTTGATAAAAAGTCGCCGCTTCACATCATTGCCTCAATTACTAACAAAGGATGAGGTTAAGAGAGACCGCAGTCCTTTTACCTCACTACTGTTGGAAGCAATTATATCTAGCTTGTTTTAGTGTCAGAGTATTTCTAACTCGGCGGCTTATCAGTAATTGAGGTTTTCATACCAGAAGGGACAGCGAGGGCTCCTCTGTAGATAATTCATGCGCTCACTACTGACTGAACGCGTTCCTACGTTGTAGTCACCCTCGGCATTGAGGACAGTGTTGACGTGTTGTTATTGTGCAGCGGCTGAATGTCTTTCTTCCCTCCTCCCGCGTCGGCAGGGACATTTTCGCGCTTAATGCTGGAGGCTGGGTTTATCCACTGGGACAGCGTAGGCGGACAGTCCACCTGACTGTGTGGAGGTTTAACACATCGATGCTTCAATGATAGAATGTGTTCACTTGCACTCAGGTTTTCACTCTGTGAATATTTTCCAAATAAAGCACTGGATCAATGTGTGTCAGAATACGCCTTCTTATTCTTAATGAATATAATTATGTTAAGAATAATTTTGTACGGATACAAACCTTATTTTGCTTATTAATGCAACTTTAAATTCATAGGAGGAGCAATGTGGGAATTTTCTTCATTCAAAACCTACATTTTCTTGCTTTAACATTTTAGCATGTGAGAATTCTCCAGAAAGGGTTTAAGTGACATTCAGGTCAGATGGGATAAATGGCGCGGCCGACACACCACACCACTTAGATTATGTTGACCTTGAAAGCTTTCTCAGTTGCGAATAGTAGAATAGAAGGTACTGATCTCTAGTTGTTCCATTCTTCTAGCAGCTGTACATCTCTGGGCTGGACTCAGCTTGAGTTTCCAGTTAAATTTCATCCCAAAAGCTGTAGCTGTAGTCATTGTTTTCAAGCAATATTTCAGTTAAGTACGACTCAGTAAGTCTGTCTTCAGATAGGTAATATTTATATATAAGGAATCTTAAGTGGTTCTATAATTATAGGTGTAATACTACAACGTTTGTACATGTTTTGTGATGCAGGAAAGAACCACTTAGCCTGGGTTTTCTTAAGCATGTATCACGTTGCAGGGCCTCTGTTTAATTGAGCCGAGACTGTGAGCGGGCAGTAATGTTCCCCCATTAAGATGATTGTAATGCATCCATTATCCGATTCTGTTGCGTTTTACATGTGCATGAAGGGAATTTAATCCCGCTTTACAATCGCAGTCGGTGTAGGTCAAAGTGTCCGTCCCTCAACGTCCTCACCGACATAATTAAATGTTATCATCTATTTAACGACACGGCAAGATGTTCCGGCTTGCGCGATTTGAGTTCACCCGGTTTATTAATTCATCGTCCGTTGGTGGACGCTCGCGGGTCTGACGCAGCGCGAGTACAGCGAGCGGGCCGCCTGCTCCGTGTTCCCCTTCTGTTCATGCTGGCTCCCTTTGTGTGCTCCCTTTGAGTTGATATTCCTCTGCTGTGCGTGCACGTGCGTGTGTGTGTGTGTGTGTGTGTGTGTGTGTATACATTTGTGCATGTTGCCGTGTGTCTGTGTGTGCGTTTGTGACAACCTCCCTCCCCATCCCCCATCACCCACACCCTAACCCAAAACCTCAGTAATCCCTTGGGCCTAAAAAAGGAAATCCCTGCACTGTGCCCCAGCCGCCTCTTCCGGGGAGCCAGTAGTTGTGCGCTGCTCTTACAGTCCGTCTCCGCGGGGCCTCTTCTGCTCATCTACAATGGCTTAAGATATGCAGCCTAGTCTTGTCCGACGAAGCATAAGTGGTGCATAATTGGACAGGATAGAATCATTGGCTCCGCGCGGTCGGTCTGAGAAAGTGCCCATTTTAGCCGTTAGCACAGCAACTGCTCGCCCATGCGCGTTATTCTCTCCTTAACCCGTCACTTCCAGCTGTGTGAGGTGGACGAGCGGTTGTGTGCTGAACGTCACGCTAACGCATTGTTCCTCTGTAAGCGTAATTCCAGTTATTGGCGAGCAAAGCGAGATTTTAATTCATCTCTGAGTCAGGCCCGATCCTCACAGTTAATGATGATTGGCAGGCAGGGGACCTTTGCAATTAACCTTGTACGTCCACTCCCGAGTTTGCTGGACAAGAAGACACATTTCACTCTTGTGCCAATTGTCTTTATAGGAACAGAATGTGCTACGATTCTCCTGACGGACAGCCAACATTTCACAGTCAGAAACATTGTCGGTTGTCCTGCCGTAGTTCTGAATTCTAATTCGTACCATTGTGATGTCTGTGTGGTTTAATATGAAGCTAGCTAGCTTAGCTTAGCACAGACAAACACGGGGGAAAAGGCTAGCAACAAAATCTGCCTTCTGAAGAAGGTGTAAAACCACCACATTGTGGATTACCCAGGGTGTTATGGGCCAGACTATTGGACCGGCTCGTAAGTGCAGTGACTTTCTAAATCTCCTTTTGAGTAAAATAATATTGGCCTTTAATTTCCGTTTTTAAATTTTTTTATTTGGCATTTGGCTTTGTTCAAAATCCAAATGTATTACATTTTTTTCTCCTTTGTGCCTGTGTGGACTTGCATCCAGAGGCTTATACCGCTTATCATTGGAACAGTATGTGAATTAATGCATTGAGCTGCTGAGCTTCTATTCACTTCTTTTTTGTCCCCAAGGTTATACTCTTTCACACTTAGAATATGATAAATGTGCTCAGTGGTAAGTCAAGCCGTAGCTTTTGTATAAAGAAGTGAACACTTTCAATTCCGAGCTGCATGTGGGCTAAGTGGAAAAATGTGCATGCGCACGCATTCAGTTCCTCTGAAAAGAAACTTACCACGTGTCGGTAATCGTTAACCTCCAAACGATGAGACTATAAGACGGAAATGTGAAAATCAAGGTGATGCCGGCGGGCCCGGCGATTTCAAACACCGCAACTCCCCCTCTCCCCCTCTCCCGCTCTCACCTCCTCTCCCCCGCTCCTCCTCCTCCAGCTACCCAGAGAACGGTGTGGTGGAGATGCGACCGGTGGACGTGAGGCCGCGTGCGAGGACCCTCCTGCGGTGGGACCAGCTCCAGGTGGGCGCGCGCGTGATGGTCAACTACAACATGGAGACGCCGGATGAGAGGGGCTTCTGGTTCGACGGCGAGGTTCAGACCGTCAACCAAGCCTCCCGCACCAACAGAGAGCTGAGAGTCAAGATCCTCCTGGGGTGAGCGTCGCTCTTCTCAGGCTTCTTTTTGTTGCTTAGCAAGATGAAGTGTGATGCGTGTTCTTTGTGGGACTTTCTCGTCTTTTTTTTAAATCTTCTCTGGTTCTTTTTTCTCACATCTTTTCACACACGACCATCCAGGGGTGCCGGAGACGTGATCGGTGATTGTAAAGTTCAGTTTCTGGATGAAATCTACCAGGTGGAGACACCAGGAGCTCGGCCGCTCTCGGCTTCGGATGGACAGTTCAAACGTATGTACACGCTCGAGCGGGCAAAACACGTCCGTGTCTATTTTAGTGCGACATTCTTCACGACGCGCCGTGCCCTTTTTCTTTTAAGTCCATGTTCCAGCGTGCGCGCGTGTCTGAATGTCACCTTCTTCCAGGCAAGAGCGGGCCGGAGTGTAAGCACTGCAAGGCTGACCCCGAGGCGGAGTGCCGCTTCTGCTCCTGCTGTGTGTGCGGCGGGAAGCAAGACGCTCACATGCAGCTGCTGTGCGACGAGTGTAACATGGCGTTCCACATCTACTGCCTCAACCCGCCGCTGGCCACCATCCCGGATGACGAGGACTGGTGAGAGAGAGAGAGAGCGGGTTTAGCTCAGCAATTAGCCACGGCACCAGGCGCTTCACTTGTCTATTTGAGAAGGTGGATGACTCCTTTTCTGCATGAGCTCAAGTGCAGTAATTAATAAGGGACTGGGGTTGGAATCTTGAGAATGATATAATGCGGGTGTGAGCTTATATAATGTGTCTCTCTCAAACAGAAAACTATTTTTGGAAAGCTTCTTCATGAGGAAGATCCTACCTTCTGTGGCAGAAAGACAAAACATTGTGTTTGTGTTTGTTGAATCGGAATATTCCATTATGTGCAACATACCGGTTTAGGGATCTTTGCATTCTGGCTAATACGGGGAAAAGCTTTGTTTTGGGTCCTATCAAACTGTCTCACTCACACACACGAACCTCCACGAGTCCACAGAAATAACATTCTCTCATTCCGTCAGGTACTGTCCCACCTGTAAGAACGACACCAACGAGGTTGTAAAAGCAGGAGAGAAGCTCAAAGCCAGCAAGAAGAAGGCCAAGATGCCCTCGGCCACTACCGAGAGTCAAAGGGACTGGGGAAAGGTGAGACCCAAGGGCCCCTAAAACACACACACACACACACACACTGACAGCGACTCTTTGAGGAAGGCCTGTGTCCACGGGGCAAATTATATGTGTATTGATGGATTGAACAAACGGTAGAATAAACAGGTCGGACTTAAATTAAATATATAGCTCTTTAATACACACCGATTCATGCATTATTAATGCATCACACATTTTACTACGCATTTACTACTGCAAACGGGTTTGTTCCTTCAGCGTATCTTTTATGTGTAAGTCAGTAATCTGCTTGTTGCGTTGTTCTTGAGGTGAATGGTTTCTTTCATGTGAAGCCTTTTGTTTGCAGCTCTTTGTTGCTGTGATAAATATTGCCTGAGTGCACCACAGCTTTTCATCTCAAATCAAACAATCTGATTATGTTCCTGTCAACGCTACTTTATATCTACATGGAGTTAAACCAGGCTCCCGCAGGTGATTAGCAACGTTGGTCTGACCGTCGGTCATGTCTCTTTATGCAAATGCCTACATATACATACATATATAAATATGAATGGGTTATTGCGTATAGATGAGCACTTTGTACAGCCCTCTTTCTCTATTGTGTTCGCGTTAACATTTAGGCTTTTGACCTTACGAAATCTCCAACCGTCTCATGTTAATTACTGAGGGACACGGCTGATTTGAAAAGCATTTTTTTTCCCCTCAGCATAGTGTTAAGCCTCGTCCAGAATCTCCTCAGACTCTCATGGCAACGCATTGAGATTTAGCGTGGCTCGATTCCATCCGGGCCCGGCTGTCTCCCCGGCGCTCTGCTCCATGGTGTAATGTGAACAATGCCATTAGGCATGACTTAGCCACTTTCCTGGAACTGCCGACGGAAAATAACTTGTTTCGTTAGCAGAATGCTCCCCTCCTCTGTGGACTAATTGAAAACAGCCCCGCTTGTGTATTTTGAGCACATTTAAGTGCTCTGAGTCACACAGCATTTATTCTTGCCTTTCTCTTTATTGCAATTTTATAACCCTTAAAGTAAAATACTGTTCTTTGTCTTTTGAAAGCGTGTGTACCTCCTAAGAGGGATTCTGCTGACTTCTGAAAGTAAAACTCATCAGCCACTGAAACGATCTTTAAATGAACCTAAAGACATTGGCACTGATGGACTTTGATTGCATTAATGCGCATGCTGCTCACAGTCTTTCTCGATGTGTTTGCAGGGTATGGCCTGTGTGGGGCGGACCAAGGAGTGCACAATTGTTCCCTCAAACCACTATGGACCCATACCCGGTGTTCCTGTTGGCACCACGTGGAAATTCAGAGTTCAGGTTAGTGCATCACAATATCATAGATATTTATTTCATATTTGATATACAGTGTGCGTCTATATATCTATATATATATATATAAAGATATATATATATGTATATGAGGGGTTTAGGTCTTCCAGGTCTCATCCTATACTTTACCGTTTGGTATTAAGACATTAAGGATTACATTGTCGTGTATTTCTCTCGTGTGATACTTCAGGTGAGTGAGGCAGGCGTTCACAGGCCGCATGTTGGTGGTATCCACGGCCGCAGCAACGACGGCTCCTATTCGCTGGTGTTGGCCGGGGGCTTTGAGGACGAAGTGGTGAGCTGTTTTTTGCGTTTTACAAAATGTTCATTTGATCTTCATTGTGCGAGAAGTGGGTGAGAATTTCACATAATCACTTTGTCCTGGTCACCACGACCTTTCTGCAGGACCGGGGGGATGAGTTCACTTACACGGGCAGCGGGGGTCGTGACCTCTCAGGAAACAAACGGATCGGAGAGCACTCTTTTGACCAGACACTGACGCACATGAACAGGTACAACGCTTTGTGTTTAAGATAAGAAGGCTAGAATAGCAGTATTGAAACCAATCGTTCCTAATCATGTCCATAACTCTCTACAGGGCGCTGGCCTTAAACTGCGATGCACCGCTAAATGACAAAGACGGCGCAGAGTCCAGGAACTGGCGGGCCGGAAAGCCGGTGAGAGTGGTGCGCAGTTCCAAAGGGCGACGCATCAGCAAATACGCCCCCGAGGAGGGAAACCGCTACGATGGTATTTACAAGGTACGCCCAAGCATCTTACTGTTTGTTCTTCCAAGCCACTTAAGCATGCAAAGAAAAGCGTTGGCCGGCACCATCGTTAGCGCGACATGTCAGGAATGCAGGCAAGCGTGTTTCATCTCATTCTGGTCTGCGCGTGGCCACAGGTCGTTAAGTACTGGCCAGAGATCGGCAAGTGTGGTTACCTGGTGTGGAGGTACCTACTCCGACGGGACGATCTGGAACCGGCCCCCTGGACACCCGAAGGACTGGAGAGGATAAAGAAACTGGGCCTTTCAGTTCAGGTTCGACCGCAAGCGCATCTGTACATGTGCATCAGCTAATGACATGTGGTTTATTTTATCCATTTTTTAAGTTTTATTACGTCTTACCGCTGTCTGCAGTATCCGCCCGGCTACCTGGCGGCCATGGCTAACAAAACCAAGAAGGAGGCCTGCGCCAGACCTGGCCGCGGCGGCCGGGGTAAGCACTACCCCGGCAGGGGGAGGCCGCGGAGGCGCAAGATCGAGGAGAAAGAAGAGAACGAGGACGAGGAGGACGAAGAAGAGCAGCCGATGGCAAGCGTGGAAGAAGAGGAGCCACAGAGCAACGGAGAGCAGAAGACCACCAGAGAAAGAGGTGGGTGATTTCACAGATGAATCTCAGAGCAGAAGTTAACTTCTTTTAGGATGCTTTGGAAATATTTGATATCCACCAGCGTTTTATGGTCCCCAAGCATGCACTGTTGTAAAAGTGGGCTTTTATGCTCAGTCTCACTTGTGTGGATCACATCGCACTAGTTCTCAGGTCGTAACACTGGCTTCCTGTCAAACAAAGAATTTACTTTGAAGTTCTGTTGTTGCTTTATGAAGATGATTTAGGGCCAAAATGCATGTCCTGACCTGCTGCCACCTTACAAATGATGCCGACACCTCAGGTCTCAAGAAGCAGCGTTCAGTTTTTCTGCTCCACGTATCTGAAACAAACTCCAGGAAAGCTGCAGGTTTGATGAGACTCTCGGCTGCTTCAAATTAAGACTTTTCTGTTTGCCGCTGCCTTAAATTAAACCAGATTTTACGGGGAAGTGGCGAATTTCACAAAATGTACAGCAACTTTTATTCTTGTCTGTGTTTGCTCAATTGTTTTTAGACTTTTGCCCAATATTATAATGGTTTCATGTAAAGCCCTTTAAATGTGTTTGCCTCGCGTGTCTTCAGCGGAGTCGTCACCAGCGGCAGAGCCTCCCTCCAAAAAGGTGAAGATGGAGGAGACTTTCCAGCTGTCAGAGCAGCAGCAGCAGTTGATCCGCGAGGACACGGCCAACAAGAAACTCTGGGATGAAGCCATGGGATACCTTAAAGAGGGACCGGTATGAATCCCTGTCGTGCAATCTAGACACCCAAACACATCTCAGGCTCATCAGGTTCACCTTCACCTTCCTGGAAGGTCGTCCGACTGAAATCAGATGTAGTCCATCTGTCTTTGTAGGTGTGGTTTTGAATGTTAATCAATTTGTGTTTATTAATAGAAAGGGAACATTTTCAGAGAGGTGATGCGTCCCAAAGGTATGCGAACAAGTCCCTTCCGCAATTGTAATGTGTCTGTCCCGTCTGTCTCCGTGTGCACCCGAAGAACTTCCTGCAGAAGATGGAGCCCATCTTCATGTGCGTGTGCTGCCAGGAGCTGGCCTTCCAACCCATCACCACCGCCTGCTCACACAACGTTTGCAAGGTGCGTACCGACCGAATGCCATCGTGAACCGATCGCCGCCGCCGCCCATGGCCTCCGGGTGTGACCTTTCTCCTGCCGTCCTCTCCCCTCAGACTTGTCTACAGCGGTCCTTCCGAGCCCAGGTGTACACCTGCCCCGCCTGCCGCCACGACTTGGGCAAAGACTACGTCATGTCCCAGAACGCGACGCTCCAGGTGCTGCTCGACCAGTTCTACCCCGGCTACAGCAAGGGCCGGTGAGGTCGGGAAACCCCGTTTCTTAAGTAGTTCCGTGCACCCGTGTCGAGTACCTAGGACTCCACTTTAAAATGCATCGCGCACACATACTGTACTTACCCACGGGCCAACGTGTATTGCATATACAGCCATTCATGTATACAATCATTCTTACACAAACAACCTCAGTAGGGACTGACCTCATCTGTTCAACCTAGACTGTCTCCATTAACATCACCAGCCGGAAATTCAAATAGAGACTTTCTTTTTTTTTTACCCTCGCTACTCCTGCCTCAACAAACGCACACGAAACGCACAAAAGGAGCCTCGGTTCACACGCACTCGACACCTCACGTTAGGCCTCCACTGTGTTCGTCACTGGTTCTATCAATCGGACATAGAGCCCATTATTTGAGGGGAAATTCCTCCTTGGGAATATCATGAAATCCGCCATCAGACTCCTGCCAACCTAAGATCTTTTTTTTTGTACCCCTGTATGCGTTCACACCAAAAGAAATCCTGAGATCTTACTCAGCTGGTGAATAAAGGTGCCAGTTTGAAACAGTGATTCAGACACAGCAAGACAGTACCCCCCCCCCTGTTACAACATTCAGAACATTCATCCGAGGGGGGGTCGGCCTGTCAAGGCACGGTCAAATTAGGACGGATTTTGACTTTGGCGCACTTGATCAATAGCGTGACTCATGTTAGCATGTAAGCGTGATGGAAACACGCCAGTGTGTCTCTAATGTCATGATTTGTTTTTCGCCAGTCCACCTGTAGGACGAGAGTGCCTTGCAGCACAGACTATCAAAAACTGTTAAGTAGCAGAAGTTGGCATCTGATACCCCAATGTTGCTAACTTATTATTTTAGTCAGAAATCTACTGATTTAAAATTGTAATTGTAGTTTTTCTTTTTTTTTATTCAGGAAAAGTTATTGTATAGTTGCCTATGTTTAGATTACATTTAATAGTTGAGATCTTATTTTGTTAGATGGGAAATACGGTTAGCGTTCCTCAAAGTTCAGCATCACAAAGGTTTTTTTCTCACTGAAAATCCGGCAAAATGTAAACTATACCCATCCTAACATGGCCCAGGTTTTGAATAGTGCATGGGGGAGAGTTCACGGGCGGATGTGAGAAGGACACAGACGTTTGTCAATACACTATTGAATGTTTCACCAGGGACCGTGTGTCAGTAAAAACATGTGAATGTACAAGTTTGAATTAAGTCCATCGCTGCCAATAGTCCGAGCTTTGAATCTTAAAATCCAGAAAATAAGCAAAACTTTGAGAGAGTAGATCCTGTTGATAACTGGTGAATACGTAGATCTTTAAATACGTTAAAAAAAAAAGCGGGAACAGAATTCATGACACAGAATAAGGTGTGCTGGATAAGGCAGAACGTGTTAAAATGGAGAAACATGTACGAGTAACATGTCAAATAAGTGTGGCCCGAGATAGTGATGTTGTTTTTTTAATGATTTTATGAGTTTCCTGCCCACGATAGTTGGACAGAGGTGAATGTTTTCTCATGTAAATCACCAGTAAACCAGATGAAAAGAGCAAGAACGCGGTGGATTGGTGGTAAAAACCGAAACACCAATAAGAGGAACTCATTTGTTCCTCTATCAGATGCCACATGAAAATACAAATGAGGATAGAATGGCAGCTATGAATAGCTCTTAAACACTACTTATGCTCAACCTTTCTTATGTCTTACCATTCAGAGGATTCCAACGCATCCTCCCCCCCCCCCCCTTCCTACATCATAGGAATAGCAAGAAAGACCAGTCGGTTACAACCCTACAGAATACGACATATGTTCATTCCAATTTCTCTCAACGCTTCCTTCATAGATCCTTGCGTCTCCGTAGTCGCACACGCAGTCACATCTAACAACGTGACGTGGCACCCACACGTGTGCTCGGTTGTCCTCACGTTTTCACCGTTCAACACCGATGCATATATTATAGATACTGTATATCACGCAGCCCGAGTTAAAAATGGGCTTTTCCGTCTTGAGCGGCCGACAGACATTTACATCTTTTTTTTTTTTTCTTTTTTTTGTGCTGATGTGGTACTGAAATGATCCTGGTTGGCAGGTCTGATGGCGCCTAATGCAGAACGTAGCAGCACGCTCTCTGCACCCAATTCCACATGACGCACCTGGAAGAGTTTCGACACGTGAGTCGGGAAAACGTAGCCATCGTCCCGTTGCCATCGTCCCGCGCACCTGTACCTTTTTGAGGGCGTGGCCATGTTTTAGGCGTAGAGCTGAGACTGCTGGCGCACGCATCAGCCGCTGACATTCAGGCCCGGCTGACATCGGCCAGCTGTTTGTTCGTGTGTGGTGACGTCCCCGTTTCTGTTCAGTCGGTCGGGATTTAGTTCTTTTTTTGTCGACAACTTGCAAAGTACAAACGCTTCTATGGTCTTCTAAAGCTAACTGTGATGTGCATTACTTCCACTGTGGCTCAATCTTGTTCCGAGATGATTTTAATAGCCCTTGTTTCTTTCTCCGCTGTGACCCCCGTCTCCCCGTCCCCTCTCTGCCCTCCGTGAACCTACAGTACTAACACTTTTTAGACGTCTTGTGGACGCTTGGCTTTAGTGCTGTGTTGTTTTTTTATTTTTATTGCACTCTATTGAAGAAAAACGTTTGAAAAGTTGCATTTAATTTTTCTTAGAATGCTTACTATTATCTATGTCTGTATGCCATTTTTCTACCATTTTAGTTGCTTCTCTTTCTATTCTAATCATTAGTCATTTTTATGTGGCGACCTCAAACAATAGCTGCATTTGCCGGTCTGAGGAGTTTCATTGCTTCATATTGTGATCTGAAATTTTATACATGTCATAATAATACTTGATATGTACCTATTAAATATTTGGATTCCAAAAAAGAAAGACTTTTTTTCGTCTTGTATTTTACAGATTTCATGAGTTTTTCCAGTATAAAATGTGAATGTGCGAAAGAAAATACACCTTTAGGTTATTCAGAACTTATCTGAAGTGGTCAAGCCTACAAATTGTTTTGCAAAGATTGTATTCACAGCTTTCTGAAATAGGCCAAATAATCGTTTTTTGATATGAGATGAACAGTATAATTAACCTGAAAACCATTAGAAATGTTTTTCTGTTTTAATTAGCAACATCTTTACATAATATTTTTCACCAAACTGCTGGAGGCAGATGTTTGTTTTGTTACCTTTGACTTTTCTTTTTCTTTTCTTGATACTCATGGTGATACCGTATTTGTGTTTTTCTATAAGGTCCTTCCATTGTAATATTGAAAGGAAAGTTCATTTAAAAAGCTTTTTAAGCCTTAAATAAAAATCGAATCATTTCCTTGAGACATATCGTAGTGGAAAACAAAGCAGACGACAGAAAGCCTTCCCACAGTATTACAAATGAATTACAAAATTATTGTAATTTCAGTCATTTATAAATGAACATGAAAATACAAATCCTTGGCGGGTTAATTCTAATTCTCTACTTTGTTTCAGGCTCCTGGTAATGTTCATTCAGACTCAATGTGTCAGGACTTAAATACAACAAAGCCGTCGTTACTGTTCGCAGCAACAAAATGTGCTTTTCCCAAAAAGTCAAAATGGCTGCTGTGAAGAAGAGAATTCTGCCTAATCGAGAGAACCAGGTGTTGCTTCTGTCTTCATTAAAGGCTCTCCTCCCCCACACAGGTGTTCCGAGTAAGGCTTCATGACTGGACCGGTGAACCGCAGCCATGTTGGAAATAACAAGAGGTCACCATACTGTTGTAATATACTGATTTGATATCATCCTGCTCTAAAAGGTTCATCGGAAGCGAACACACACACACACACAAAGAGAAAGCTGATTTCAGGCTTCCTGCGGCCGTGACTCTACAATTGTAACAGATACAAGGAGGAGGCAGTTTTACCGGCGGTGTAGTGGTCATGTGCGGTTCAGTGTCCTGTGGAGCCCCCCGGTGGTGGAAGAGCACAGGACAGGCAGCATGACGGACTGCTGCTGATATAAACCGACCTGATTATCAGTTTGTAGACTGAGCAGCACAGAATACGTGTAGGGTGATTCGTAGAGTCGCAGTAGGATGTAGAACGAGCTTTGTAGAAAGGTGGATAACAGATCATGTGATGTGGGGTTCCACACAAAGAAATTATTTAATTTAAAAAATATTAAATCTGCTCTGGGCCTGATTAAGTTCTTTGTTTCGGATTAGAGACACTTGGGTTTAAATTAATTTGTGAACAAATACCAAGTAAACAGGTTTGTTTTGTTTTATTATCACAGAAGCACAACAGGTACCACTATGCAGGTGAACAACAAACTCAACACTATGACAAAAAAAAAAAAAAAAGTTTAAGGAATGCTAATAAAAACAAATCCAATCATATCACAACAGTTCTTCAACCTCCAAAACCAAAACACTACGATAGTCAGATATACATGGCAGAAAAAAAGCAAAAGCACTTTGGATTGTTTACTTTCCTTACACGTTGTACCAATACACTCATCGTAGGATCTCGACGCGCCGACAGCATTCATCTTTTCACTCGAAAGGATTTCACTACAGCTATGAAGTACCAATTATTGGGGCTGTCACTCAAAATCCAATTGCTTTTAAGAGGATATTAGTGCTACTACTAAAATGTGTTAATTCAGAAAAGGCATTATTTAGCCAAATAAAGGAAAGCTGGAGTACCCGAGTGTAAACCTGATGACCTTTTTATTGTACATTCAAGAAATGAAGAATCCACCACCACAATCAAGAAAATAGAATTACCAATGAACCTAATTAATCGCTATGACAACTCAAATGTGAATGTAACAACATAGTTTGCGTCCTTCTATAGTTGACAACATTGATTAATCTTCAAGGAAAACGGTATAATTAAATGGAGATGCACGTGGTACATATTCCCTTGATCAAAAAGCATGGGGGAGATGAACACTTGCATGAGCTACTGCCGAGGGTTTAACACGGACAGGGATATTTATGATATGCTTGGATGGGGAAAAAAACAGGGATATGGGAAGTAAGCGGGGGGAGGAGGGGCTATCAAAAGGGCTACTCCTCGTCCGAGGAGTCCCTGTCAAAATTGTAGGCCATGAAGAATACATCGGGTCGAGGCGGGACGAGGGCGTGGCCCGGTTTCACAATCTCAAAGCCGAGGAAACTGAACGTACGTACCAGTTTAGCTGTGAGAATGAGAACAGTTATTAAAGGTCACAAAACAGGAAGCAAAAGAGAAAAGAATCCCAGTCGTTCTGAACAATAAGCGGCATGCTGGGAAAACTTACCACGATCATCTCTGTTCTTGTAGAAGCAGACAAACACGCTGACTACTTTCAGATGTTCTTCAGCGTATTCCAGGAGAGCCGCAAAACTAGACGGGAGAACGGAGGCGTTAGGAAGCAGAAAACAAACTCTGAACGAGTTCCAACGTCTACAAGACATTTGTTTTACTCCTAATTTGAGAGCTCGGGTGGGCCTCACCTCTCCTTGCTGCCCTCAGGAAGAGGGTCCAGAGGAATCTCCACATAGAGCGCGCTGCCGCTTAGGACAGCATCCCACTGTATTGTCCTGGTCAGGGTGGGACAACTTTGGAAGTGGAGTATTCCAGGGCGACCATTCCCCGCCGGCTCCTCCGTCACAATCAATTTTCGATCCTGGAAACAAAAACGCCCGTTACACATCTGGAGACAGCAGCGGGCAACGTCAAATGGGTCAGCGATGCGTTGACGGGGCGTTTCCCTTCCCGCGTGCAGCATCATTTACCTCGTGTGGCTTTTCGGCACTAACACAGTGAGAGAGAGTGTGTGTGTGTGGGGGGGGGGGAAGCTTACTGAGTGGAGCTGCCGAGCTGAAGGAGTGTGATCCCGTGTGCCATTCCCTCGCCCACCTGGGATCTTCAGGGGTGGGAGAGGGGCATCAGGAGCACCACAGAGGCCCCGGGCCGCGGGTACTAGTACAGTGCAGGGACAACCTGGGGGAGAGGACACAATCCCAACTCAATCACAGGAAATCCTTGGCCACTTACGGTGATTTTTTTCAGGGTTTTTTTTCTCTGCGAAAGTGTTGATAATGCATAGTCATCGAACTATATCCTCAAAGAAAAGTCAGTCATAGATTGAAAATGTAGAGTTTGCCATTGTGAAGCAAGAAGAATAAATATATTTTCACACACGAAATAGAGTGCACATACGTATGCGAATGACTGGCTGTAGCCATTAGCAATAAATTATGATTTCCCAATACTGACATCAAGTTTTTTCTTTAAAAGCTGCATTAATCAAGCAACCGCTACTAAAGGTTGAAGTGCTCAATTTACAACAAACTGCTTACAGTAAATGTTCCTCAAAACTATAGCAGTTTGTTTACAGCGCTGTTACCAAAGTTTCTATGCGGGGTGCGACGATGCATCCGGATGTGGTGGAAGAGCGACCGACCCAAAAGTATTCGCTGCTAAAACCACAAACCCTGACTCTCATACTTAAATGTCTTTATGTGATGAGTTCAAATCAAGCAGCCTAAATCAAGATGTTAGTTGATCCGTTCAAATCTACCGCAACCTCCACAAATGAAATCTATTTTGGGAGACATTTAAACAAATTGTTGGGTAAACATACTTTTCTGTGCCCTAAATAATAACGGTGCTGACTAAGCCAAGCGAAAAGGGCAGATTTTCACAAAAACACAAGTTGATCCCAGTTGGATTTACATTTACCTTTCCCCAAAACACAGGGTCATTAAATTGCTTGTGAAATAAGCCCCAAATGCTGACGTTTAAAACTGAAAAGATAAAAACTAGGAAATGTTGGCAGTTTTACAACAGAATATAAATAAAATCAGGTTGTCACTGATTAAATAGCATAACTGGTTTGACAGATTATTTCAGATAATTTGTTTTGACCACGAAATGTTCAATATAAAATAATGAATTAACTTAATAAAACAATATTTGATTAGCTGTCCTGGACGTTTGGGCTTCATCAAAACAACTGGGCAGCAAATAAATAGGTCAGATGACGCTCGCACTACACAACCTTCAGGCTTGTATTTGGGCCTTCTGGGACATTTAACATAACGGCGAAGTCTCCCACCAGCTGTTCAGCGAGCTGCGCGAAAATCTAGTTAAGAAGGGACGCAAAACACAAATAGGAATAAACATTGAAAACGTAAATAGCCCCATAAAAACAATCTGTTCCATCCGTAGGTTTAGTCATCTTATGTCGCGCTGCCTCCTCGAAGCTGCTGCGGGAAACTGACAGTTGCGTAACGATCAACCTCGCTGCTGTCAGCTGACGAGATCGTCGTGTGCTCACCTGATGGGGGGGGGGGGGGGGGGGCTTTTCCCAAAAGTATTTAAGTTAAATAACGTGAGCCATGGTTTAGTTCTTTTGCGTGATCAATAACCCACTTGTTCATGTGGAAGACGGTTTGGTGTTTTAATATGCTAATGTTAGCTAACGTGAGAGAAATTCTTGTTAAAACGACGGTGTAATAATTAACGTTAAATCTATTGTTGGAATTAGCTCTACGAATTAAAAAGGTTAAGCCTTGGATGCGATTCATTCAAGACGTATTTCATCGACTACATTAAAATTGTGGACGCTAGCTGGTTAGCTATCCGGTGAGGCTAACTACAGTGACGTACCAGAGGTTCCTTAAGGTTCCTAGCTAACGTCAGCTAATGCTGCTAATGTCGTCTCTTGTACCAACAAATTATTTTTTTGAACATGACAGTTTTTAAAACAGAAATTCAAGAATCGCTACGGTCATACGTAAGCACGGGACATTGTATATAGGGGGGTTTAAGAAGCAGAACATCCATTAAAATGTAAATACGTTTCACTTCCGTTTTTTATCTGTTGCTATGCTAGCTTAGCCACCCCTCCCCCACATCACGGATAGCAGTCGGCTAGGCGAGATATTTTCTTTCATCGTGCAACAGTTACTTACTTCCCAATTATGTCACAGATACCATTACTCAAATCCGCCATTGTGGTTAAAGACTGTTGTTTTCCTTCTTTCTCGCGAGCAAAGCAATGACTGTTTAGGATCCGCTGGAGGTTGGATTTTACCATCCGGCCTCGGGTAGAGACACGACGGGCTTACTGCTCTCAGCAATCCCCAGCAAGGTAATGAACGGGCGGAGAGTCGGTGCAGGGAGTTCATACAAAAAACAGGAGTCAAGTCACCCGTAGTGAAGGGTACGTGTTTCCGGTTTGATTGTTTTGTTGACTTCAAAATACTACTCAGATGAATCGCCTCATAAAAGCCTCATATCGATAACATTGGGAACGTTTATATTAAATATATGAGTTAAATCTAAATATAAAGTGAACGGAATGTAAACTACCCCAGGTTTATACAACTTCATAACGCTCATAGACGTATATCAAATGTATTGTTTGTGTGGTTTTATGTGTTAGCATATTGTGGTGTTTCTCACTTGATGTGATTATACAATTAATGTTAATTGTATATCTGCAAAAATACACACAACCCTTGCACATTGTACAAATATATATTGATGTTAGATATGAACTGGAAGCTATTCTGGATACTAAAATAGTGCAGGAAACAATATACACTATATTCCCCCCTCAAACGTAACAAGAAATCACTTTTATTTTGAATAATGAAAGTTGAGCTTATATTTAGCTTTACTACCTGCTAGCATGCTAGCGCTAACCAGAACGCTAACTACGGAGGCTGTTACTCTAACTTCACTTTGGACATTTTTACTGGCCTTACCTATGACCACAGTTAGAAAAACACACAAAAACCATAGGATACTATATATATATAGTGCCGTCACGTAACTATATTTATAATGGATACACTGTCGGCGCAATTAAGTAGCGCTGTTACGTGGTGTTCGCGGCCGTTAGCGGCTGTGTTTACATGCGGGCATCTAATGGAAAAGTACCGAGAAAAACAAAGACACTAAAGACATGTTATTGACACGTGACTACGGTCCCCTCGGGCCATTAGGAGACTCTCCCAGGAATGTGTTAATTTGTGTGTACTGCAGTGGTGGAATTACATTAAGTGCATTGTTAAGTACCAATTGTCCTAGATTAAAATTTGAGTTCAGGTATTTGTAATACACTCGACTATTCCCATTATGGACAACTTATGTTTGCGTGATATATTTCTAAGGGATGTATTGTACTTATTAGCAAATTTATCCGACAGCTATATTACTAATTTGCAAAGTATTTTGAGGATTTTACAGTCAAAACATCGTATTATATAGTATTATATTATTATTATCAATATTTTGCTTTTTTGCTATATATATATATATATATATATATATATATATATATATATATATATATATATTATCATGTTATCAATGCTTCTGCATTCATCGTAATCATCGTGTATTCTTCCTTTACTTAATTATCAGATTATATCATTTTTTAGATTATTTTATTTCATTTTCTTGCAATTAAATGACCGGACGATTATAAGATGTAACATTTTCAAACTACTTCGCAGAGGTTTAACAAACAAATGAAAAAGAATGGTAATATGGAGAAAAGTCAGCATGCAATGACTTTAAAAACAGTGAGGTGTCTATCATATATGTACAGAAAAATGTACAAAAAGTACCGAAAAAAAGTCGTCTGCCATTCCTATGTTGTCAACACGATGGCGACAAAGCAGCAGCAGAACTTCAATAACCCCATGTGCAATTATTACATCATTATTATCAGGCAGCAATAATATCCTGCTCTGTAATTACCGTAATAAACAATGTTGACGTCTATGTTTAGAACTATTTATTTATCTCCTCAAATATTGCATTAAAAAGTGCAATACGTATTACTGCTTTTATCTCCCCCATATTACATTCCCAACACAGCTCAATCAAATATTTGTGACACCTGATTGCTTTCTAACATTAGAGTGGCGTCAGTATTCAAGGCTCCGGGCAGAAGAATGGCTGAAAAAACATCTGATAGAAGAAGTCATCGTGCAGCATTAAATTCTGTGTCACGATGACGATATTGTTGCTGTTACATATGCTATATAATATACTCTGGGCCATTTTTTGTTTCCAGAGGAGCGTACACAAACGACCCAATTCAGGGGGCTTATCGATTATCGTATCGTTGAGGAAGTGGTGAGGTCATTGAGTTCATTTTAAAGGACCAGTTTGACATTTTACCCTCTATAAAACTATATCATTAAGAGCTCCGACCGCTACGAAGCGACTGTGGTCGAACTCTAGGCAACAAAACAAATGCTAACCTAATATCTAGGGAATCACATCTATTGTTCGGGGGGGCATGCGAGTGTGAACAATATCTCTACTCCTCTCGCCTCTTATTTTTCCTCGCGCCTCTGCTCTCCTCCCCGCCCCCTCGCTCAGGTTTGTCCCTCCGTGCGACCCGTCGATCAGTCAGCGGCCAAGAGAAGAAAAAAAGGAAAAGAGGGCAAAAAGGCGAAGCCTGAAAGCGCGACGCGTGCAGCCGATGTACCGCTCCGTTCAAACATGGAGAGCGACACCGCGGTCAGGAGAATAAAACCCTTCGCGACGCAGAGCTACTCGGCGCCAGATAACGACGGTTCCCGAGACCGGTGCGCCGACAACGGCTACAGCGGCGACCCGAAGAGGAAGCCCGAAGTGAGCCTGTACCTGCTGCGGGAAGGACTGGCGGCTTCTCTGGTCACCGTGTTTATTTTGGTGCTGTGGGGACTCGTTCAACTGTCTTTACAGCAGCTCGTCATCGGAAAGCCGAGCGGCGAGTTCAACGCCGTGAGAGCCAGGTGAGCCCCCCCCCCTCATACACCCCCACAGACCCCGCCGCTTGCCGTTTCTCTCGCCTCTTTTAAATGTTGGCTAACGGTCCCGAGGCAGCACAGCGCCCGCTAACCTTTCCTCCAGTTTCGCCAACGGACCCGCCTAGAAAACCACTACCGGGTGTCTCGTCCACCTGTTCACCTCCACCTGTCACCCGTCACCTCCACCTGCGAGGTGTAACCTGCGACGCGGGAAAGGTGCGCGGTGTCAAAACGTCCCGTGACTCCCGAGATTGTTGTAATCTTCCCAGGTAGTTTTTTTTACGTAAAGAGGAAATCTCTTTGGCAAGTTCCTGTGGGGAAACGTGTCACCGCCTCACACATTTAAGACATTACAAAGGGATTTCATTATTTAAACAGATCCGAGGAATCCGATTGGAGTCATCTGACTTCACATCACTTCTGTTTCTCCTCGTATCATCTGCTCGGTCGTGGGAGAAAACTTCCAAATGCTCATGACATTTTGTGGGTTTTTTCCCCCAACAGCCCTGAAGGATCAGTCTATTCATATCATCTACACCACAACAGTTTTTTTGGGGGGGACAATTTTGAATATCATCTATTTTGTCGGTTGATTTTACAACTTCACACATGTTGATTTTGAAAAAGGTCGCCCTGTTTGGGTTTTTTTAGCAGCCAAAAAGCCTTCAGCCATGTGTTCATACCAAGACAAGTGCAGCATTCTTCTTCTCTCAGACTTTCAGACTATATGGAGCTGAGCCTGCGGGCCTGCGGGGCTCCTGCTGAGCCCTTCAAAGGGCCGGACCGCTCCGGGAATTGCCATCAATTTGACGTGGGGCCCTGCTGTGTAAATGAGCCAGGCACGCTGCGTTGGACAGATTAGAGCTCCGCTGGTCACAATTGTGGCTTTCACGAGTCCGCGGCCAGCCAATGGAGATTATGGGTTATGAGCTGTTGTAAAAAAAAAAAAAAAAAATGGAATGAAAGCAGCGACAGTTCGGGCATTGTTGATGTCATTCAGTACCGCGCAAGAACACAGTGTGTCACGTACGACCTTTTGGATAACAAAAAAAAACAAACACCCTCTGCATTTGATTCAACCTCGTCAGCAATTCTGCTGGTGTGGGGAGCAGAGCCGACGTCGACCTCTACCGAGACATCTGCTTCTCCACGGAGAAGTATGAAAGGCATCAGGGTTTTTTTTTTCCTGCCATATGAGTTGCTCGGATTAATATCCGGTTTCACCTTATTGCAGAAACATGGCACATTGTGAGCTGACTGGGTCAGGGCACTGGTCCAAACTCAACAGAGTTCACCTCTGGTCCAACACCTTAATTTGTTGATCTCTCATCTATCTATCAAGTGTGGAAAAATACCTACAATAAATAAATGACATATTAAGATTTTTTTGGTTTTTTGGGCCAGCAATAAAATTCTGATTAAGATCTGCTTATGAACCAGTAATAGGACCATGTTTAAATGAGCATTTAAAACAATTAAATAAACATTCAAGTCCATAGAGATATCTCAACTATGTGTGCGTACACACACACAAACGGTCTCTAACAGAAACGCATAACCACAGCTTATTATCAAGACGTGCTACGGCGTTCTGAACATCATTGCCTTATCTTTCCTCTTCCCCCTCAATCCAGACGGCACTTGGAGGAGATCACCAGCGTGGGCCCCCGTCCCGTGGGCAGCCCCGAGAACGAAGTCCTGACGGTGGACTATTTGTTGGAGCAGATCGAGACCATCCGGGTGGAGTCGGCGGCGGGGCCCCATCAGCTCGCGGTGGACGTGCAGCGGCCCACCGGCACCTTCTCCATCGACTTTCTAGGGGGCTTCACCAGCTACTATGACCGGGTCACCAACATCGCCGTCAGGCTGGAGCCCAAAGGGGGAGCGCAGCACCTCATGCTCGCCAACTGCCACTTTGACACGGTGGCCAACAGTCCAGGTACGGCGACGGATCCGTCCGCTTAGAGTAAACGGAAGAGAAAATACAGTGGAGCAATAAACTCAGAGAGAAAAACAAACAAAGAACGCCTCGCACATATTAACTTACTTTATATAAAAAGTCAGCACGGCCAACTGATTCTCCCTGCCAAATTGCCAAATTACTTCGAATGAACTCCCTTCTCTTTCTAGTCTAAAGCACGCAGGTGAAGTACTCGGCCTTTGATTTGTAGTCTCTCTCTTCTAAACCTTCACAGAGCTTTTGGGGGACGGGGGGGGCTAATATCTAGCCGGGCACAATTGGCATCGGCGGAAGCATGAATGGTACCCAGACCGACAGCTTCACATTCAGTCCCGAAAGCTGGAGCACATGACCACCCGCTAATAAAATATTGTTTTATTAAGTTAATTTATTATTTTATATGGGATCACCCCGTCTCCCCCCCCCCCCTCCCTCGTCCCCCTACTTGTCACATTAACGTCACGTAAATTGTGTCGACCAGTCTAATCTTTCTGCATCACGTGCCCGGTTCACATGCTCTTTTTTTCCCCCTTTTCTTCTCATTATTTCCCCCCTTTTTTCCTTTTGTGCTCTCGCCATAATGCAAGCGGCCGGGCTTCTGGGCCGGTACCAACCGGCCACATTCTTCTCATGCTTGCACCCCGAGCCTCCTCCCCTCCGTTCTCGCGTGTCCCGGTTTTTGTTATTCTGATCACATGCATGCGTTTTAGTCTCCACCTCGGGACACTTAGGTGATCTGTTTCAGTTTAAACCAGGACCATCTTGTGTTTCCTGAAACGAATGTGAAAAGCAAGACCGAGTGGGGTTTTGAGTGTTTTTGACAAACACACACTGGTTCCCTTGTTTTTAGGTGCCAGTGATGACGCAGTGAGCTGTGCAGTCATGCTGGAGGTCCTACATTCGTTGGCCAATCAATCTACTCCTCTTCTTCATGGAGTGGTCTTCCTCTTTAACGGGGCAGAGGAAAATATTCTCCAGGTAAACGGAAGTTTTACACTTTTGGTTTGTACCGTCATTTTATTTCTAACATTACATTTTCTTATTTCCACTGTTGTGTTCTTACTTTGTCTTTTTGTTTTAATGCTTCTCCCCATCAGGCCAGTCACGGTTTCATTACTCAGCATCCGTGGGCCAAGCAGGTGCGAGCCTTTATTAACTTGGAGGCTGCAGGTGTTGGCGGCAAGGAGGTTGTTTTTCAGACAGGTACTTTACCCCAAAGGAATGTTCTCCTTTATTCTTCTTTTCCTGGTTTCTTCTGCATGTTTGTTTTGCACTTGCAATGCATTTTCTTTTTAGCCGCAATGATTAAACCATTAGTTGCCAACAATATAAATTGATTGAATTGATGTGTTTTCATATGTTGAAAGTTTGGGTTTATTCACCATATCTATGTACTTTAAACTGAAAATATTTGATTTGTGGACAAATCACGTTTGAAGGTGTTTTTTTGTTTTTCCAAAACACAGAGCTACATTTTTCTTTTTATATCAAACAACTAATTCAGTAATCAAGAAAAACATTTGTCTCTGATTATTTTAGCGCTCCAACTATGGGAGGCTGTCTCTACCTCTTTATTAAATAATTACCGCTTATTTGAGGTGCCTGTAAGAAAATATGTATACAAAAGACATAATTTGATGCAAGTTTGAGGCACAACTGGTATGTGTTGTTGTACATTTAAATGGCTCAACGGCCTGACGGCAACAAAACCACAAAAAAGCTTAAAGGCAAGACGATATGCGGAATGTCCTGAGGGTCTTTTCCTCCTGTTCCCCCAAAGGTCCAGAGAACCCGTGGCTGGTCCAGGCCTACGTCCATGCAGCCAAACACCCCTTTGCCTCCGTCGTTGGCCAAGAGGTCTTTCAGAGTGGCATCATCCCGTCTGACACCGACTTCCGCATCTACAGAGACTTTGGTAACATCCCAGGTAATGCAGCACAAGCCGCTGAATAGTCTTAGGAAGCGCATAAAAGCTTAAGTATTTTTTTTTGTACCCTTCCTGTCGATCTTATTTTGTGAACACATGTTTCATTCTTCTCTGAAGGAATTGATCTGGCTTTCATTGAAAACGGTTTCATCTATCACACCAAGCACGACACTTCCGACAGGATCCTGACCGACTCGATACAGAGAGCCGGTAAGCAGCACGCGCCCGCGCTGATGTGTCACGGACGCAAACCCGCTGTCCTCCACTTTCAGACTGGTCAACAATCTGCTTGACGTCATTACTTCCCCCGAGAACTAAGAAAACGCATACACGCACGCAACGCCGCCTCAGCCTTTCGCTGTGTTGCTGTTGTTTTTGCTTCACTTGGCAGAGAATCCAATCATTCAGCATCTAAAACCTGAGGCAGTTGGCATCTTTTACTCCCTCGGGAGCTGGCGGACACCCGCTCCTCTTACTGCGCTGCGCAGTGACTCACGGTCGAGGGCATGAATTATTAGGGAGAGAAAGGGAGTTTTCAGGGGTAGGTAGAAGGTATTTTTAGAGTGCCGAAAAGGAAGCAGGGCATTTGGGTGAGGTCAAGGGTAGATGCTGCACAGGGAGGTACAACCGTAGCTCTGCCACTTTTCAACAAATTGGGGGGGGATCTGCAAGGCTAGCATTGCTCTATTGTAGATGCATTGTTTTCCTAAAACGAAACCTGGTTTGTAAAGATATTATTATGTAGATCTGTAAACAACGGCGTGGCAAAATGTGTTACTGTTGAATAAAATGATTATCTGAAGTAACAGTGAAATTCAGAGAGGAAAGTTGTAGGTAAATCATTCAGCGGATGGGCTTGGCAGTGCAGCGAACCCGACACAAGTAGATGTTGTACACTCGGTTGTTTACACTTTGCATTGTGGATTCAGGCCGACGAACAATGGAGCTCTGTCTGTGTGTGTGTCTGTGTCTATGTGTGTGTGTGTGTGTGTGTGTGTGTGTGTGTGTGTGTGTGTGTGTGCCCTGTGCAATCTGCACTACAAAGAGCCACTCAGATAAAAGAAACTTGGCCTTGTGTAGCAGTGGCCCACGCAGCGACATGCTTCTAGCCATGAAGTCCACTATTTCACCCTTATACTGCAGTATAACTGTCGTATAACAATGACGGGCCATTTAAGCCATAAATCGCTTAACACACACACACACACACACACACATTACTATACTCTTTGGCATAGTAGTGTTTCGGTCATAGATTGAATTTCCTCTCACATTCTCTCTCCCTGTAATACTCATCTAACAGACAAGTGAGTTTGGGCGTGATATTGAAGTATGAAGGCCAGGAACGCCAATCGATTTTTGTTATTCTCTAGTTTTTCCCCTTTCCATGAATTCCATACAGTCCCAGTTTTGAATGGAGGGAACCCGCTTTATCGTGTCCCCCCCCCCGTCGGCTTTGAACCGTCTCTCCTTGATGCTCACTTCCTGTTTCCAGGCGACAACATCCTGGCGGTGCTGAGGCACCTGGTGATGTCCGAGAAGCTGGCAGACTCCTCCGAGTATCGCCATGGCAACATGGTCTTCTTTGACCTGCTGGGGGTGGTTGTGGTGGCCTACCCGGCCCGCGTCGGCACCATCCTCAATTACATGGTAGCCGCAGCGAGCTTCCTCTATCTGGCCAAGAAAGCCTCACAACCAGGCAACGGGGGTAAGTCGCCTTACCGCCTCAGGCGTGTTGCAAGTCGTGGCTTCTGCCACCGCCGGGTGCTCGTGTTGTGTGTTTGCTGCTTCCGTGGCTTTGTTCAAATGTTTCCCCTGCAAACCGTGAAGTGAATTTCGCCTCGTACAAACTTCCAACAGAGTTTCACGATCTCTCCCTTGTGTCCCTGTAAGGTGGGCGGTACGTTCGAGACCTGGCCTGCGCCACGGGCGTGGCGCTCCTGAGTTGGTTCGTCACGCTGATGTCGGTGCTGATTGTCGCGCTGCTCGTCACTCTGCTGGGCCGCTCAATGTTTTGGTACAACCACTTCTACGCCTCAATCTGCCTGTATGGGACTGCTGCCTCGGGCAAGATAATCCTCATTCACACGCTGGCCAAGAACTTGTACTACGGAGTAAGTGTTCTTTTAATGTGGGGGAGGCCTTTTAAAGGGGCAGTTTGACATTCCACCCACCGGCACCCCGGGATGTGTTGCTTCCTCCGGATCTTATGCTAAACTAACTACCCTTTTTATTCCAGCTCCATAAAGAAGGGTCAGAAATAAGATGAAAACGTTTTTAGATTGATATTTAATGATCGTTATTGTTGAATGAAACATGCTTTTCCTCTCGAGCGCTCAACTCTTAACTTCTTTCCTCTATTAGATTTGAATGTATGTGTTTGAAGGCACTATTACCTTCAGCCTAATATCTCATATTGACTCACCAAGCTCCGATTTAATGGGGAAGCCAAACAGTTCCCCTTTCCTGTGATTTCAGAAGAGCAACTGATTATACAAGTGTGCAAGTGTCAGACCAGCCGTCGCCTCTCAGAATGATCACCCACCACATAGTGACTGATGCTGTGACCAACTGACATGTCGTGCTGCGGGTGTCTCATTTATAAATCTATATGTTCTTCCCATGTGCCCCTGGTTCACAGTCACTGTTCTGATTTCACCACAGTAACTGAAGCAGTTAACACCCCAAATGAGTTCCTCCTGTATTGATAGATGTGTTCCCTTTTTTTTCGTTCTGTTTCAAAAACGGTCAACGGTTTAAAGTTCCTGTTGTAGGAACGTGGGAAGTCGTATTGACGACTCTTTGACCCTGTACGTGGTTCTCACTGGCAGGGATTTCAGATGTAACGCACTGTTCTTTGCGGCGCATTGCATCCAAGCAACGTACAGCCTAAAATTAAAAAAAAGTCTCATGCGTATATGTGTATTTCCCCCCGCAGGGAGTCCGTTTGGTGGGGCTGGGGGATCTCTACTTTGACGTGAGCTTGTTGCTGTGGTGCTGCAGCCTGGTGTGGCTCACCCAGCAGGGCCTGTGTTCCGCCTATGTGCCCATGCTAATGGTGGCCTTCCCTCTGCTCACCAAGCTGCTGCTGGCCAAGGAATTCAAACACAGAGGTGAACTCTGCACTCGCTTTACAGTGACTGTTGTAGATACTCTGATGTATTATTAGTAGCTGGCATCCGGAACATTGATTTATCTCAAGATCGATATGTTCTTTTTTGAACATTGACTACTTCATTAACGTCATGCATGCGTCATCACGTCGGCGCTCGTTGACAGCGTCTGAGGGAGATTCTGATCCCGGATCCGTGACTCCTCCATCTCTCTGCAGGAGCCTCGATGAAGTACAGCGTGCTCTATTTGTTGGGCCTGACGTTGCCGTACGTCCACTTCATGTTCCTCATCTGGGTGGTGTTTGAGATTTTCACTCCCATCATGGGGCGCAGCGGAACCGAGATCCCCCCCGAGGTGGTGATGGCCACCCTGGTCACCCTGGCAACCATCTTCATCTCCTCCTTTTTTGTGAGTATTCCCACTCAACGCACAGCGAAGGATATCCATTTGCATTTGATGTTTTTGTCATCACCTTGGAGTCACGTCGGCGACATTGGTGGTTGTTTACACGGGAGAGAATACACGTAACTAAACCGCTTCATTGTGTTCCAGCAGCAACCTTTTGTTTGAGCAGTTTATTGACATTAGTTGTTTGACTTCAGATAAGCAAACCCAACAGGCAGACGACTGACACAGGCAGTTAAACTAAACGTTAACCTTCAGATGGTGGCTTAGTATTCTTAATAGAGTGTTTTTAATGAATAAAAAGTAGTATTTAAAAGTATTTCCCAGTTCACTGAAAGTGTTCCTACATCTGTTGTGATTTGACAAAGACTGCAGTGTGGATTGTCGCTCCACACGGGTAACCTGTTCTATTTCTCCGTCTCAGCTGCATTTCATCTACTTGGCGCGGAGCACGAAGTGGATCCTGGCCGGTCTGGGCTCGGTCTTCGTCTTCACGTTCCTGTTGATGTCCTGTGGCCTCCTCTTCCCTTACTCCGGCAGTGCGGACAGCCCGCGGCCAAAACGAGTCTTCCTGCAGGTTCCACACTGTTTTTACTAATAAACACTAAACACATAAACACTTTCAACACGGCTCCTTTTGAAAAGTCATCATTTTCAGTCTGTCCCCGGGTGAGCGTCCCTGTTTGCATGATCCAAATCTCCTAGATGAGATACAAAAGCCCACATGTTTTTTTTGTGAGTAGATCAATGTACTCTGATTCCAATCCTCCACCTGCTGACCTGTAAACTACACGCCTCCACTTACATAACGGCAGAACAAGGCGGGTTGAAGCAAAGCGAGTTCTTACAGCAAAGTAAATGAAGGAACCGTCCCCCGCGCCCTCCTGCAGCATACGACGCGGACGTTCCACAATCTCCGGGGCCAGGTGGAGAGCCAGGACTCGGGTCTGTGGATCAACAGCTTCGACTACACGGGCATCCAGCACATCACGCCCCTCATCCCCGAGATCAACGACAGCGTCCGCACCAGCTGCAGAGAGGACCGACCGTTCTGCGGTTACCCCTGGTTTCTGCCCGTGAAGTTCCTCAGCAAGTCAGTGACGCGGAGTTGACGGCGTTTCTTTGACCGCTCTCTATTTTTCTTTCTTGCATGATGTAATTGTCCTCGTGTGTTTAAATGCGTCATATTTCTTATGCTCTTGCTCATCCCAAGTGTTTTGTGGTGTGTCGGCAGGAAGAACTGGTACCTCCCCGCGCCGGAAGTGTCTCCCAGCGCACCGGTCGAGTTCAGCCTGCTGTCCAGAGAGGAGACCAGCTGGGGGACGATCAAGATGACCTTCAGTGTGAAAGGTCAGGAGCACTTTATGTGGCCAAATCAATACAAAGCCCCAAAAAAAACTGCGCTACTTTTTAGGACTTGCCGACAGAGATAAAACATCAAATTGCGGTCCAGACAAGTCTTGGATGATGTCAGAAGCACATTTACTGACTGGGCAGAACGAGCTCGCTGGGTATGATGAATATACGCGCTGACAGATCAGTTTGAATGGAGAGGTTTCATCTGCGCTGAGGTCAAGTCTGTAGTGAGATTTAGAAACGTTAAACCAACTTACTGAACGTTCAGGATTGATGTTGCCAATATTGGTTGACCAAATATTCTCACCTCACCATGATCCCATCAGACCTGCAGGGCTCTAACAATTTGTTATAGAAATCCAGATATTTGAGTTTTTCTGAGGACTTCAGCGACATCTCAATTGAAACTTGCAAATATAAAATGCTTGAGCGCTGCAGAACGACTGCATGGAAGTGCAGCACTCGGCTCTAATAAACATTTATGCCTTCTAGTGTATCCTTTTTGTTTTAAACAATGGCTTCACTCATTAAAGTAGCCATTTTGTACGTGTGCAGGTCCCTGCCACATGTCCCTCTACCTGATGCCTCACCGAGGAGCCAGTCTCTCCACCTGGTCCTTCGGGGACGGCACCCCTCAGTTCGACCTGAGCGGGGAATATTTTGTCTTCTATTCCCACGGCCTCGACGCCCCCACGTGGATCTTCTGGTTTGAAATCCAGGTACCGTCTGCAGCTCGCGCTTATTATCAACGTCTCACACTGCTGCTCTGTTTTGTATTTATTATGTTTTTGGGCTGTAAGTTCATCCAAATGTCTCAGGAAGGGCGAGAGGGAACTTGACATCTAGCAATAAACATTTTTATGGGTTACCAAATGATGTTATACTGTAACTAGTTATGTCATACTATGCAATGACATTTTCTAAGAAATATGATACAATGACATTTTCATGGCATGCAATACTTACTGTTACTTTTAAGCCATATTTTTGACATTATATTTTCATACTTTACTGGGACATTTATAACATTTTAATGACAGTCATGATCATTTTGTGACCTAGTGTCCTCCTATTTTTATGGCATACTCTACTATAACATTATTTAATTTTTTTTGATCCACTATACGATATATATTTCTTGCCGTACTGTGTTGTAAATTCTATAAATAGCTGTTTTTCCTGTTCCTGGGATTTACTATTATTATCCGTTTATCACCTCAGTCCGTGATGTCTGTAGGAGTTCAGCTCCAGATTCCATATGAAAACTCTTTTAATCTGTATTAACAATTCCATGAGTTTCCAACTGCATGACCTTTTTTCTTTTTTCTTTAAAAAAAAAAAAATCTGTTGCCTAATCTAAAGCACATGCAGCTTAATCCGGCTAAAGACGAGGTCATTTTTTTCTCAGGGGCTTGCAAAAATGCCCGGTCTGGTTCTGCGCCCCCACCCCCTCCCCCCCACACTCCCACTCCCACGTTTAACTCTATGCTTTTCTTCGAAACTCCTTGTGCTCTTTTCCTCCGTCAGCCTCCCAGGGACCCGGACCCGTCGGGCCCCGAGGGGATGATCTCCGTCGCCATCTCCACCCACTATTTCTTTGGGCGAGACAGTAGGACTGCTCAGCTGGAGGAAGTCCTCCGCAGGTTCCCCACGTGGTCTTTCCCTTCATCTTGGGTCAGTACCTACGACATGTACCGATACTGAGGAATGCCGCGCAGCCACAGGAAAGCCGAGGGGGCGCCGGAGGGGTTTGCAGCCCCCCCTCCCTCCCCTCCCCGCCTCCCCTCTGTGAGAAGGACTGATAAAGATTTTCAAGGAACAATACAGCGGACGAGCCTTGACGCCTTTCCCTCTCTCCCCCCCCCATCCTTCCAACCGGGCCGAGAGTCGGCTTAGTAGCTCCCCGAGCAGGAGGACGCGGTGAGACACGCCGCCGACTAACTGTGTGAAGTCTGTTTTTTAAACTTTTTTATTTACTGAGGCTTAACAACATCTAACCCCCCCCCCCCTCACTTTCTCTCCTCCTTCCTCTTTCTCTCTTTCTGAATAATGTTGCTCATCTACTTCCCCTGAACGCACCACCACTATCCGCACTGCAGGTGTAGTAACACACTGACGGGTCCGTTCCAAAGGGGGGGGGGTTATTGTCCGACTTTATCTGGAAACTTTGACACTTTTAACACTCACGCGCCCTGGTTTTGTTGTGTAAACGATTCCTCAATAACACCACTCGGTAGTTTCCCCCTCTGCCCTTGAGCTGTCGGAGAATCTGCCACGCCGAGAAAGAAACAGGCCGGCTAAATAAATAAAATAAAAACCTCAACGTGACCTTGTCTGAGGCGCCTTCGCTTTCCTGAGCGTCTTTGTGCCGAGGGGCAAGTTTTTTTTTTTTCCACCTGATGGAAATTTGCTGTTAGACAAACGTGTAACGACTTCGTGCTCGATCAGACTCGCGGGGCAACGAGGACTTGTGGCGCTGCAAATGCATCGTGATGTCAGATCATTAACCAAGCCTTGTGGGCAACTTGGAGGGGGGGGGCGAGGAAACCAGCAATACAACTCCACACACTCATTAACAGCGTCCGTGCCGGTCAGCTTGGGGCCGGATATTTTAACTACTGTAAAAGGATTCGTAGTTCGTTCAGGACTTGACCTCTGCTACGTGCCAAGAGCGGTTTCCAACAGCACCGATGAACGTATTTAAATGTTCAAATGATTAACCGAAGGACAAGAACTGACCTGTAAAATAAAAGTCTTTAAATACAGATCAAAGATTCGTAAAAATGACCTCTGCTTCGGGCGCAGGTTGAAGCATGACGGCTGTTGGACATTCTGCAGGGAAGTTGTAGTCATCTGCTGTATTTCCTCTCCCCTTCTAGTCGACGTAGCGAGGAATACTTGCGCATTGGTGCTGCTGTTTACTCATTTTGGGGTGTGTTGCTAATATTTCTTAGACATCCCTACTTTTTTTTTCTCCTCCCCTGGACCACGAGCACAATCCAGTTAACGTATGCCCTCCTTTAGAGTCCACTTCACACAGTCGACCCCGCAGACGCTCGGCTAACGAGGCCTTCCGACCGCTTTCAGTCACCACTACCTCCACAACAACCTAAAAGTCGGCTACGGCTGCGAACGCGTTCGTAAAAACTAGTTTGAATGTTATTCTGGGAAAGTTTTAAAGCACCGTCCCGTTCGCCCGTGCCTCTGCTGACTAAGTAGCTCTGACGGTTCCCTTCATATTGGAATGGCCCAAAAAAAAAGCTGTCTCCTCGGATCAGCTGAGCAAACTCGTCTTTTCGTCCACTCTGTAACCCCAGATGCCAGCCGGGGCCTTTTAACGTTGCGCTCCCTAAAGACGCACAACGTGTTTACTGTGGTGCACACAAACGTCTCGGTGGTCTCGACGGCGTCGGGGTACAAAGTGCAACAGGAAATCCATCCCGGCCTTTACGACAACACTTGAAAAACCGGTCGCCCTACTATGCTCCTTTTTTTTCTTAAACGTTCAACCAAAAGTCCTTAAAGAAGCCGACTGCATCTGCTGAGGAGGACGGTGGGACACGATTGAAAGCTGCGCAGCATGTGGGGGTTTTTGTATGTAGATGTCTCCTCAGTGCACAAACACTGAGACTGGTTTAAATCTGTTTCTTTGTAGGTGCTCCAATTGATATGCAGAGTGTTTATGGGAGAAACGTCTGTGAAGTGAAGTGGCAGTGTTTCGTTTTTAGACTCTGCAGGAAAGCGTAGAATACAAGTTAAAAAAATAAAAAAAGCTTTTTTACATTTCCAACCACGTAACAGTGTGTTGTTTATGGTTATGACAAATTGGGTCGACCATCGAAGAACAAAGGGTGTGATTGTTTCATTCTAAAGCACCAACATGGGAGCAGCTGCTTTGAATGTGACCACGGGAAAGAAAGGAAGGAAGGAGGAAAGAAACTCGTTTTAATTGTTTGCGAAAGAATCTGTGTTGATGTAACCGAAGTGAAGACTAAGCGCTGTGCAGTGTGTATTTGTTCTGTGTGTGTACACACACACTGATCGGAGCTTTATCTTCAACTCATGTTTACTCAAGTTTTCATATCAGCTTGAGAAATAAGCAGTTTAACTGAAATCTGTTCTGGGATACAAATTGAAATGTCTTAACGCCTGTTGTTCAAGTCCGTTCTCTTTTTTTTAAAAAGATGTTCAATTTGTTAACACTGTTATTGTTGCCTGAACGGTTTGTAGTCCGAAATCTCCACCCATGACTTAACAGTTCGGTTTTTGTTCTGGAAGTCAAATTAAGAGGTGACTGAAATGTAATTGTTTTGATTCGTCACTTAAAACATGTTCAACCGCTGTTTTGCTTTTTAAAAATTGCATATTTGTCCTGTCAATATGAATCAAGTGATTGATGTGGTGACAGGGTATCCATGTGTTGAATGGATGGGATGATTCAACATTATGCATAAAGAAGCTTGAATTAAATTGGCACTTGTACAGCAATTAATGTTTATTACGTTAGCATTGTTCTTCTATTTACAACACGTGTCACTTTGCTTTGTGTACACAAACTGTAGTTCCAATGAGAAATACAGGCCAACTTACATTTTAAAAAATAATTTATTGGTCTTTATATACAAGGAAAAAAAAAAGTAGAAAAAAAACACCATGAGTAGAAAAGGCGAATGTACATTATCTTTACACTGCATGGAGCATGTTTCGTCTGCCATCCCAGAAATAACTGTACTCAGGAAAGGCAAAAAAAAACCTCTCCACGCGTACCCAGGTGGGAGGGCGCGCAACATCAAGTACCACAAGACGCGCCCGGCCCGGCCGACTGGGGAAGGAAAAAAAAGATCTGAAATATTCATTTCCGTAGGAAATTGTCTCGTGATTACGTGGTTTTGAGCGGCGGCGGTCGTGTTTCTGCAGAGAGGGATGCGGCGCCGGTTTGAAACTGAAGGCCTCTTTGGTTCGTCGTGGATTAAAGCTTGCGGCTGTCTGCAACGGGATTCATGACGAGTGGCGATGTTTTTTTTGCCCTTTTCTCAAATCAGAGTGTCTTTTACACACCGACAGAGCGGAATCAATAAAACACGATTTGGTCTATCATGAAAAGTAAAAGCAAACCGCTGAGGGGGGAAAGTAGTGAACAAGAGAATATAAAGCTGAGTAACTTTTCAATACATTGCACAATATAATACTGACACATCTGTGATGAACCGTTTAGTGCTTGCAGAGAGCCAATACACAAGTTTGATTAACTAAAAGGGGGGAAAAGTCATAAAAAACAACTGAGAATCAATTCATTAATTACAACTCTGTTATGACGCCAATAAATAATAGTAATAACATACTATAAAATCTATTTGCATGTGATCAAAGTCACCAAACATCAACACATTGCCAATACAATATGGTACACATGTTCACACAGAAAGACACCAATGGGTTCTCGGTGCTGCGATATGCATTTTGAGCTGGATTAAATAACCCTCATCAAGTGATGGGGGGTCAATTCACATAACGAGCGATCCATTACACAGCCAGAGCCACGAACCGATCAATCTCACTTTAAAAACAGACGTAATGTTTACATCAGAGATCAGCTGATGCTGTTATGATCCGGGATGGCGACGTCATCTTATAACACACTAATAGCAACATGCAAAGCTGATGATAGGAAACACATTTCTTATCTCCCGGATGGAGACTAGAACCCAAATGTGTGTTTTAAAAGCTGGATATAAAGTATCCCGATTTGGTTTTTAACAGCGCCTTCACTGCACTACAGCACGGCCTTAAGTCTGCTCACCACGGGGAGGCTGAACACGGCTCTGCTTGCTGCCTAAAGACCCTAAAGAACCAGGACCACGTGAAGAAGATCAGCTTCTGGCTCAGTCTCCTTCCACAAAGTCACGCAAAAGGAAAACAAACAGAGTTACTGTTGATCAGCGGTAGGAAATTAGTTTGCACTCACAACAGTGGATTATTCTCAGAGGTCATTTTCTTAGAAATCTTAAGGTCGTCACTTCTCATGAACTACATAGAATTCATACCATTGTTCTTTTTTCACAGGGAGACTCGAGGGGACAAGGTCTAATTGATACAAAAATAATGTTATCTTGTACACTGTTACATTATTGAAAGAGGTATCACAAAAATATTTTGAAATCATATTGAGGTATGAAAGTATGAAACAACTCTTGTGCACACAAACAGACACGATTGAGAGCCTCTTGTAAATGTGACTCAAACTTTGTTCTTCATTTCGCTAAGCGATGTAGCGTGATGCTGATGCAAATACACTCCGTTTTTCCTTGTTGTCTTTGAACCGATTCATGCGCCGTTTGCATTGAACCAAAGGAAAGATTTGAGGTGTCGGCCTGGACAAAGAGAGAGAGAAAACAGAAAACCACATTCCAAAGTCTCCGGTTGCACTCGGAGAAGTGCGAGGCAAAAGCTACGCGCATAAAACATCGGTCTTGGAATTAAAACAAAAAATAATAAACAAAACATCTGGAGCTTTCCTTGGGCTGGTCTACAACTTCCAAACACCCCGACGTGACACGTCACCGCACAAAGTGACTCAGGTGGCCTGATACAGAGAAGAAGCATCACACCGGATGCTGTCACTGGCCGTGTGCGCGTGTGTGTGTGTGTGTGTGTGTGTGTCACACACTGTTGGTAGCTCGGACAAAACAAGGGGCGAATCTGAAGGGAGGATAATACTGACCAATCGAAGAACCTGTAGGAGAGGTACTTTCTATACACACACACACAAACGCACAACGCACGCACGCGAGCACGCACGCACGCACACGCACGCACACACACATGCACGCACAGGCTCCCACAGCGACACACAATAATGTTTATTTTGGGCCCGTATCTGGCCCGGCTTCCTCCTCCTCCTCCTCCTCCTCTTCCTCTCTCCATCGAGTTCAAAGGTTCGAGTCCAGAGGAGGCTCCGGGGCTTCAGGACAAGGTGCAGTCGTAGGCGCCCTCGTCCTCCCCCTGCTCCTCGGTCTGTTCGGGAGGACCGTCCTCGCAGGGGGGACGGGGGAAACTTCCGGCGGGTTCGAGGGAGGGCGGGGCCAGGCCCGGCGGAGCCGCCGCCCCTCGGCCGTCCTCCGTTCGGGGCGCCGCCGCGCTTCCCGGCCCCTCGGAGGCGCCGAGCTTGGAGCTCTGGGCGCCGGGCTGGAAGGCCTCGGCCTGCACCTGCTCAGCCGCCGCGTCCATCAGGTCCTGGAGCTGCGGCTGGATCAGGTTCAGGAAGGGTTTGTATCCGAGGCTGTGGAATGAGAAGAGCAGGTGGTCAAGCTCTGTGTGATGATGTCATTTCATGTGAATTCGATCCCCTGTGTTACAGATGCTTTTGGCATGCGTGTGACGATAGATGCCTAAACAAAGAATGTCAAACAAATTAAAAATGTACTAAAAGAAATCAGGGTACAGTGTGAAATTAGGAAATGTCATAACACAGAAAAATGTACTTTATGTAATAAAAATCCTGTCATGCCATGTCAAAAGTATTTATAGAAAGGTCATTGTAAAGTATGTAAAAAGAAAAGTAATTTCATGCATTTATGGTTTTAAGCAGTAAGACGATTGGAAAATGAATCCTTGACTTGTGGACAAAACATGTTTATAGAAGTAACAGCTGCCTTTTTAAAATCAGCTTATCCTTCATTCCCAGTAATTTAAAGAGATTCCTTTTCGGCGTAATTATATATGAATATATAAATATGTTTAGTGAAGGATGTACAGACAGATGGACAAAAGAACAACCCAAAGATAAACTCAATTTGCCAACGCAGACGCAAACAACGCACACAGACACAACGCAACATTCTGAGCTCCACCCACCAGTCGGCGGAGACCCACGCGTCGACAGCCAATAAGCCGCCGCGGACACTCTGCACGGTCTCCGGCGGAACCTCCGGGCTGTCCAGGAAGCCGATCACCTGCTTGATGACGTTGACGTCCCGTAGGATCAGACCGATCACCACACACCACTCCAGACAGCCGGCCTCCATGAACACGTGAAGGAGATACCTGAAGGGAACAGAGAGGTTCAGCCGTCAGGCTCAACGCTTCCCCACTGAATCAAATCCTCAAAGCGAGGCCCGGCGGTGCCGTCTCACCTGAGCTGCACCTGGGACTTGTGCGGGCCCTTGTTGGCCAGCTGCATGGAGATGTGCTCCAACTCGGCCTGACTCAGGCTCAGGGTGGAGGAGTTCTCGTCGACCATCGTCCAGTCGCCGTCCACCACCGAGCTGGTCTCCGTCAAGTCGGTGGCGGAGCCGACGCTGTACTCTTCCACTGGCGGGACGGGAGAGAAAGAGGCGGAGAGATGAGACGGGGAGGGACAGAGACTAGATGGTTAGGCGGGGGGGGGTGTGGAGGGGTGGGTGTTACCTTTGTTGGTGAGCAGCGAGAGGAAGGCGTCGTGTGTCTGCGGCGAGTGTCGGTTGGAATGAGCCGACGAGGCGGCGTCCATGTCTTTGGACGTCTGCCCGAGGCCGTCCAGCCACGTGTGGCTGGTGGAGGCCGCCTGGGGGGGGGCCGTGTCCATGGCGCTGTTCAACAGGCTGTCGGCCGACTGCGACTTCAACAGCCGCGTGCTCAGCACTTAAAGGGGAGAAAGCGGAAGGTCAAGTCCACGTGTTGATGTCGAGAAGGTGTGTATATCATGTATAACACTCATGATAGTAAAGTCCTGCGTTGCACGCATCCGAGCTGTCACTCACCCGTGCGGCAGCGTCCGTTCTTCAGAGGCGAGCTGATGCTCCCCCCAGGGACCACAGGGAAGGGCCAGAGAAAGTCCTTATGGAGCCTCTTCAGCGCGGAGACAAAGTCCTCGACGCGAGCCACCCGGTTCCGTTCGCGGCACAGCCAGCCGATGAGTTCGAAGCCCAGCTGTGCGGAGAAGCAGCCGAGGTCGCGGAGGCGCACCTGCTCCAGGAGGTGGCGGGCGTGGCGCCACAGCATCATGTCGATGTACATGTTCTCGGCACACTCTGCGTCCCGGCTGACAGGGATCAACACAGGAGGGTGGAGGGACGGAGAGAGGAAACGTGGAAACATTTTAGATGTTAAGGTAGGGACATTTTCATGAAAACATAATCCAAGCTGCCGTGTGCGTAGATGTGGAGGAGGTTCATACCCTTTAACACAAGGTCCAGAAGGCATACTGAAGGTCTTCTGCAAGTTGAACTTGCCCGTGGCGATGCCGTCTGCCGACTGTGACAAACTGATGCTGCGATTTCTGAAGAACTCGAATCCACCAGTTGAGCTGGGTTCCTGAGGAGATACACAGTTCAATGTTTCCTCTTTTCAGCAGGCGTTGCCAACTGAGAGCTTCACCAAGCTACCTCTGGTTAAGAGTCTAAGGTTTGTCAGTACAAAGCATGATAAAGCGCTCAACATTACAAAACGACAAAAGACCATCATGGATGAAGTCTTGATCTACATAAACATGGACATGATGAACAGCTGCAAGTATCAATCAGATGACTGTCACCTTTCTGTAGATAAAATAATCCCTACAAATATTGATTTTGTTTAAGTTCTCTACCTGAGTGGTGGGCGTTGGGGGCGGAGTCTCCATCTCCCCAGAGCCAATGGCTTTAAGGAATCGGATCATGTGCCGGCAAAGGTCCCACTTGCCATGCTCAAGCGCCGTGTTGAAGAGTAGAGTGGCGTGTTGTCTGCTCACCGCGGGAACCTCCATGTTCTTCACAGAGAGGGACGGAACAAAAGAAAAGGATGTCCACCAAGCAACGGCTGCCTAATATGAGGAAAAGTGCACGAGTGCGTGTCGTGTCGCTACCTGCAGTATGATCAGATACGAAGCTGCTGTGTCCAGGTCTTGAGCCATGAGACACTCCTCAAACAGATCCTTGGGGTTTCCCACGGCGGCGAACAGGTAGTTCCACAGGGCGTACTCCGTCTTCCTGGCGCAGTGAACGATGGTCTGGAGGAAGAGGGGGAACTCTGTGATGAACTTGGCCACGGTGGGCAGCAGAGGGTCGGGGATGGGCTCCCGCGACGTCGCCTCTTCCTCCAGCACGACGTGCACCATCAGCTCCATGACGTGAGGGAAGTAGGGGAGGGAGGCGCACGACTGGGCCAGCATCAGCGCCTGCGGGGGAGAGGACGCTTGTGAAGTGGAACGAAAGGACATTTGGTGCGGACAAATCACCGCACTAAAGTATAAGCAAATCCACACACACACACACACACACACACACACACACACCTGTTCACCCAAGTTGCGAACCAGCAGCTGCCGGAGGATGTGATGGAGGTAGATTTGGGAGGTCCTCTCCACAGTGCAGTATGGGAACAGCGCCTCCAGCGGCTCAGAGGACCCCTGCAGGCCGTCATAGAGCACGCTCTCGTTGGTCGCCCCGAGGACTAGGGCGTCCTCGAACAGCACGGCCAGAGGGTAGATGTTGATGTGGAAGGGCAGCATGATGCGCCTGGAGAGGAATGAGTGTGGCTTGCGATGGTCCCGGGGGAACAGCGGCAGCCAGACTTTCATGCCGGCCTCGCCGCAGGACAACCACAGGGCCTCCAGCAGGTGGCGCTTCTTCCTGTTGGAGCGACAGGTGGTCCACACATTCTCCACACATTGGGCCAGCACCACAGGGGGGCAAAATGGTAGCTAGGGGAGAGAGAGAAAAAGAAAAAAAGTTTCATAGGGATTTAATAATAACAGTGTAACACAACACACACTTATGTTGTGTAGTAAAAAGGCTACCGATCTGATAAAACTGGCACCTTTACTAAAGGTCATAAGGCCAGCATCCCTGACCTGGGCAACGTGCATACAGTGGTAAAATGTTACAACAATGCTATTTGTAAAAACTGAAGAACACATTATATAAGAACTCATTTACCCTGTATTATGTGCAGAGAAACCCTGTAGAACGACTGCCCGGCTTATTGTTTGGACTCACCAGCTTCTTGTTGTTAGCGGGCGTCTCCTTCTCCCGTACCTGCGGCCCTGAGCGGTCCCTCTGCAGCATGATCAGCTGGCCAGCCAGATTCAACATGATGCTCTCTGCCATGCAGGCCTGAGATGGACATACACATAATAAAACATTAACGCAACCGGCAACTAAAGACAGAGTGTGCGTGCGTGCGTGTGTGTGTGTTACTGTGTTACCTGCTGCGGGGCTTTCAATGTGATGCCAGTTTCTGTGCGCACAGAGGTGAGTGTGACGGACACCACGAGGGCCGGGTGAGGGATGTAGCGAGACATTGACACCTCCTGCAACAACTCCACGCTGGCTGTTGGGTGTGGACTAAACAGGAGTAAACAAACATACGTGTATATGTATATATTCCATGTAAATCCACGGAGCCTTACGTTACTGACAAAGTTTAAAAGGTTCAGGGACTGGCCCCTAAATCTGTTCATTAAAACAAACAATGTAGCCCCCCGGTTCTGTCAGTGCTTTTAATAAAAGCTTCTTTCTCAAGGTAAAAGCTAGCTGAGGAGAACTACTACCCAATGCTATTACGACTGCTAGGGATTTCCCTGACGTGGGAGTGTGAGTAAGGAAGAAAGTGTGCTGAATGTGGAGAACAGTATCAGATTTAGACGCTTAGAGTGGACGTGTAGTGCGTGTGCACCTGTTCCCCACCTGTCGTTCCTCCTCTCCAAGCTGTAGAGGCAGATGGAGCAGTCAGCTCTGAACAGGATGACCATGTCTCTGAAGACGTTGAGCAACAGAGTGTCGGAGTGCAGCTTGGTGACGGATGCAAAGGCATTGTCCAGGTTGGATGAGCGTTGATAGAGCCTCAACTGGGATCCACAGAGAGAGAGAGAGAGAGCCCAGGGACGTGTTGCAATGAGACGAGCGAGAATCACGGGAGAGGAATAATGGAAGATATGAGGAGTGGTGCCTCAGCCTTACCTGCTCTTGCTGGTCAGTAAAATTGTAACAGGCAACCACCACAAAGTCCTTCCACCAAGCCAGGCCTCCCGTCACCGTCATGTTCTGCTCCTGCAGAGACGCAAACAGGCATTCACCTCGTCAGAAACAATAGACTAACAAAGCTTGCCCCATTAAAATACTGGACAGCACATTTGAAATCGTACTATTTATTATCTAAAGTTATTTATTACCAAAATGTATTACATCTTTTTTTTTCTTCCACTATAGAATGTCACAAACCTGAGTGACGTTCCCAAACAGCTTCCATTTCCTTGTGCATAAGGAGTAGTGTGCAAGGCCCCGCCTCCCCGCTACAGCCATGCACTGGCCTGCCGTGTCTATGGCTGCAAACTGCGCACACACACACACACACCAATAGAAAGTCATCTATTTATACTTCTTACAGACACGAATACGCACATACAAAACTAAACAGTTTTATAGACATTCGTACTAACTGAAGAGTCATCTTTGTGGATGATTTAGAATCTATCAGACAAAAAACAGCATTTGTAGACTCACAATAGCTACTTTTTCTGACCAAAGCCAAGCTCTCCGAGAAGAGAAGGAAACCATGTGTCACTAAATCTAACGAGTAGATTTTCTCAAGTTACCAAACTTGTACAATGATGATTCTGCGTATGTACACACCCATTTGAACACAGCTCAATTACTCTTTGTACACGTAACTGCTTTGTAAACTCAGCAGCTGCTCAGTCTGAGCGAAGATGGGCGTGGTCACACTTACCCGAATAGGCCAGTTGCTCTCTAGGTATGTGCTGTGAATCTAGAAGAATACAAAAATGATATAAGGAATACACGATCATCCACTACAGTTCATATCCATGGACGTTAAAAGTGGCGCATTTGTTGAATAGAGCTCCCTGTTGATGTGACCGGCATGAAGCTCGCCCACTTTTTATGTCATCTTTTATGATGCAGAAAACAGTACTAAGGAGATGTTTGTGTTTAATATTCATTGCAGCTCACGCTTGCAGGAAATTAAAATGCCAGATTTATTAATTACAAACATAATCACAGCCTTCTAATGCTACACGATGGCCGGAGGCTGCAGCAAAATACAAGAGGCTACTAAGTAATATTTGAAAACTCTCGTCACGGTTGAATTACCTGGACCACGTGCCAGTGCTTGTGTCCCAGTAAAGTGCTGAGTCCCTGAGAGAGAGGGGAGTCGGGTTCGGAGGGGTGGTGCAGCGGGCTGCCGTCGTGCGGGTTCAAGTGTGGGTGTGTGTGCGGTTCGGAGGTGCTGTGGACCTGCGAGAGGTCACCACAGGTCAGGTAGAGGCGGTCTTCACCGTGGAGCAACACCTGCTCTTGATTACTCTGTACAGACAAATAAAAGGAATGTTCAGTGTGTGTATTTGAGTATGTGTGTATTCACAAACCTGTACAGTAGGTTTTTTTTCCCGCTCACCGTGCAGGGGTTGACGGTCAGGGCACTCTTGATGAATTGGAACTGCAGGATGCCGGCCTGCAGGGAGGGCTGAGGAGGTGAGGCCATCTCCTCCTCCTTCTCCTCCTCCTCCTCCACCTGCTGCTGCTCCTCCTCCTCCTCCTTCCCTTGCCTCTCCTGTTTGTTAGGGAGCACCCATAGGTGGTAGCCCTCTGCTCCCCAGCTCTGGAAAAGGTGGAGTGGAAGGCAGTTATTATGTACACAATGTGAACAAACACACCTTTTACAACTAATAGTGTAACTTCCGATAAGTAGAGAAGATGCAAAACAAAGCATAACAGTGTAATTTATGTAATTGGAATAGATTTAGCTGTTTCCTCAGCCGGTGTGCTGCCTCTGTTCCACTTCAATGAATAGCAATTTGCAGCATTCTGTTGCTGAACACTATTACAAACACTATTGTAACATGTGCGCTTTTAATATTGCCAACTGATTTTTTAATATTCAGATGTCATATAAATCCACTTGCCATAGAGCTGATTTTAACAGGGTCCTTCTTGGTACCATCAGAACGATACCTGCCGGTAGTAACAAACATGCAGACATATAAAAACAAGAAAAATGTTGATATGATGCTCCAATAAATAAAGTGTGAAGTTTGTTGTGTGTGTGTGTGTGTGTGTGTGTGTGTGTGTTTCCACCTACGCAAAGTCCTCTCCCAGAGTGCAGATGAGGTGAGCTCCAAAGACACTCCACAACGACAGGCCGCCACACTCCCATGTAACCATGGCAACACTGTAGTCAGGTGACCAGCAGATTAGCTTGACCGGGCCCGTCTTGTTGTAGACGTCTGAACAGGCAAAATGCAAAGAGGTTAGAGCTTTAGGTGTAGTTTTAGCATATTTAACAATGAATCCCATTATACACGGCTCTTATTCATAGAAAGATAATCTATGAAAATTATTACCACAACTGACTTGTTTGAATAAAAGCTGCTTGATAATGCAGAGTGATATTATCGTCATCCGGAAAGTCAGGCTTTTGGACTAAATAAATACAAAATACATTTTATTGGGATTATCACTATTTGAGTACCGGTACACAACATATGTTTTGTTTTTCAAATTCTGCAGACAGTGGTGTTGGAAATAAAATAATTGTGTGAGCAGTCTTGGTGTGTTTGAGAAGCGTTCAAATAATAGGGCAAAGATTTGGATTTTACAGAGAGCACAGAAACCAAGTTTCTGCAGGGACATTTAAGATTTTTCAGAGCTTCTCAACACATGTATGCACTTTAATACCTGCTACGCAGTAATCTGGCCAAATTATAAATGTACAATGCCAAACCAGTAGGGGCCATTTGACCTAGGATTAATTATAATTACATTACATGTTTGCAGTACTTCCACAGAATTAGCAACAGAAAATGGATGAATGGAAAATCAATTAAAAGTGTTCTCTTAAAGGAACACTGAGCAACACTGACCTTTCCCCAAACTTTGTCTACAGGCAAAAGAAAATATTTAAGAAGTTTGAAGAGTTTTTAACACTTTCTCAGGGCTTTTTTTTTTAGGAAACTCAATCTACGCATGTTTTTAAAACATATTCTGGAAGCTCATTCGCTGGCAGAATGGCGGTTCCCCCACTAGAGGGAGCTATGGCTTTACATCCCATTATAGGGACTGAAACAGATGTAAACCACATGTAACCCACGGGGGAAACACAGGCATGTGCACCCAAGAGACACAGCTGAAGGAATGCTAGTTCTCTCACAGAGGAATGTGTGCAGAGACAGACGAACGGAGAGAGACCCACACACACACAAACACAGAGAGAGAGAGAGAAAAAGAGCGAGAGACACACACACACACACACACACACACACAGAAAGAGAAAGAGAGAGAGAAAGAGCAAGAGAGAGACACTTTGGCAGGGAAAGAGATGTGGTAGCGCACCTGGGAAGTGTTTCGGGGTGAGCTCCAGTTTGTGAGAGAGCTGCATGGATCCCGTCGTGCTGTCTATCATGTACACCAGCACTGAGCCGCTGTAATAAAAACAAGGACACTTTGTCAGAACCTGTCGCCATGAAGAACACAGCCTGTGCAATGCAGTAACACACAATCAGAACGAATTCATTGCACCTACACATGTATGAACGCACACACATGTATGTATGAATATGCGTGTATACGCATAAACAAAAAAGGTCATTAGGAACAACGTTTAAGGGGTTGTTGCAGTGAGGCAGAAAACACAGAAAGCAATGAAGGAGAGTGGGGGGGGGGGGGGGGGGGGGTCCATTGGACCTGACGGATCGCACAATCCATTGAAAGTTTCTAACAAGCACACACGAGGTGGGCCTCTGCAAACACGCACTGACAGCTTTTCACACTGTACACACACACCACATGGACAACAACCCATCACTGTTTGGTAGAGATTTGGGCCGAGACAGCCACGGATGCGTACCTGGCACAGCCAAAGGCCATCAGTCTGTACTTGTTGTTGACGGCCACACAGGTGCCATCGTTCACATCTGCTGCCCAGACGCCCTGCAGCTGCTGGACACACACATGCAAAACATTTAGGAATCACCAATAACTGAATGTGCGTAATGATGTCAGTTGCAGGTCAGCGAAGTTCCTGTGCGGTTGCTTTGAAACGCATCACTCCCACATCATGCGTGGTCACGATTCTAATAGAACATTTATATCTGGACATACAGTTTAAAACCTGCAAGGATGGAGAAGTGGCCACAAGTTCTGTATTGAATGTATATCATATGATTGAGATGGTTAATAAGAAAAAACTGTCCTGCCATTATGTGTGTGTCTCTTCTTTGGGAATACAGTGGTTACTGGTGATTGTGTATCAATGTATAGGTATGTATAGGTTTTATTTAACACTGAAAGAGAATATTTTGGTCACTTTGCCTTCATGTATCTGCTTCTTATAGTTTTAGCTTCTATATTTGTTCCTTACACCCAAATGTATTTCTTTCACACAGATACGTCATAATATGGATAGTGAGATGCTATTTTCTATTAAAAAGCCACGCAAAGGATCCAACTTATTTGCAGAAACAAAAGGCCTGGTTATCTCCACAAAACGGACAAATCTGTGTACAAATCAGAGACTTTCCTGGTTAAAATGGGTTGGTGATTGTTCTCCCGTCGTAGGGTCAGATTACGCCATATGCATATTGATGGTATTAGCTGTAGAACGGATGGCTTTCTGCAAGGCTTTCGTCAGCATTTCAACTCAATAGCTATTTATCACTTGCTAGAGAGTGTCTGTGTTTGAGCATCCTCACATCCGTGGTGATGGTGTTGCTGAGCGGTGTGATGAAGCCCAGGCGTCCGTCACTCAGCACCGCAGCAAAGCCGTCCAGGGTTACACAATACTCCATACAACAGATGTGCACTCCTTCCAGGTCTAGAGAGGGACCACCTACAAACACACAACGACACATATTGGTTGAACTACTCTATACGACTGTGGACTGAATGTGGACCTGAAGTAAAAACATTAAACCAGACAGAATCTTATATTTATGTGACGGGAATGGGACCGCGTGCAAGGCTCTCTTCTAACCTCGAGCCGACTGCAGGTCTAGCGAGAAGGGGATTGTGGTGAGGCAGACGGCCTTGCGTCCGTTGCTGCCCAGCCCGTCCCAGTGCAGCACGTGGAGATAGCCGTCTGCGGTGCAGACCAGCAGGTCCTCCTGAAGGGACTGCAGACTGATGGGACGGAGAAGGAGAAACAACAACAAGCACACCGCGTTTAGCTTTCAGTTCCAACAGACAGGAAAGGAACTGTGGAGGAGGAGGAGGAGGCGGTCGGATGAAAACAGGCAGGGACGAGATAACAAACAGCACTGTTAGAAGACAGTGGACCAGTCATCCTCCAGCTGTGCAAGGAAACCTTTAAGGGGCAGCTGTGATGACGCCACATAGCTGCCCATGCCAACTGTCACTGCCTTCAAATACACAAGAGAGTATGTGTGTGTGTGTGTGTGTGTGTGTGTGTGTAGCACTTCATTGTCTATCAAAAAAAAAAGTATGACAGGTCCAAGACTGCGGATGACACAATGGGACTATCGAAAGGAGAAAAGCGGGTGTCAGAGAGAAAGAAACAAGAGGAAGTCAAGGGTTTCCAACGCGGAGGACTTCAACTGAGGAGGAGGCGACAACTCTTGCAGTAGTTTCACAGCAGGAGACACCCACTCATCTCCTGCACCATCAAGCTGTTCCTTTGAAAAGGGCCAAGGCTCTCATTCAGAGGACTGCTCTGTAATCTCTGCCAAGTGCACACACTGGAGATGTGACAGCTGAACACGAGGACATGAAAGAAAAAGACAACGACGAAAGTAACAAAAATATGGGCAAAAAGCAGGCTGAGCAGAAAAGCTCTAGTCACGCGGGAGACAGAGATGTCAAGTTGGCGCTTATATAACAGACTCAGTTTCTCCTTGCCTTTGGTTATTTCTTCTCAACAAGATAAGAATAATTTGGGGACATTTGAAAACCTAATTTAAGCCACCGTAGGCTTCAAAAGGTTGCAATGAACAAGGCCCTCTTTTCTCAGTTTAAAATAACGACATTCAAATGAAATGATAAACTCAAACTCAACTTAAACTCAGAATGTTAGAACAGACCAAGGCTTCATACAGCTGATCATATGGGGCTGATCAACCCATGGGGCTGATTTGAACCAGTTCCCTTGCAGGAAACACTGAACTGCATCCAGGACACACTGAACCCGGAGAGAACATGCAAACGCCCCCCATAGAGCCTGGGAATCACACCCTTTTCTCACTCCATCTCTGCAGATTCAAGCCATTTCCTCCGCAGGCCTTTGTGTTTTCAACTAACGGAGTGGAGGAGGCCGGCTCCTCGCCGCACCCCGGCCGCCTCTCACTGCCAATGTCAACGTAACACGATAGGAAGAAGATCATTTTTCAAGGTCTCACCCCGAGCCAAACACCCTTCACAGATGCACAAAGACCGAAGTGCTTTTTTACAGCATTAAATACGCAGGAACTTCTTTAATTATCCACTAGTGAGCCGCGAGAGCAAAAACATCTGTTGCTTCAGTCATGGCGTCAGTGTTTTTAGAATATGCAAAATCTATAAATCCATCTCTGAAGCTTTGCACAAGGGGAGCTCACAAAAGAAATGTGATTTACAGAGCTCGCGCTTAGTTTACAGATAGAGCTCTCATAAAGAGACCCAGTGAGCAGCAGTTATTCTGGCGGATCCAGTGTGTGTAGGTCTTTGTGAATGTGAGCTGCCGTCTGTATGAGGGAGAGGCAGATGTGGAGACACAACGGGGAGAAGGACACACACACACACACACACACACACACACAGTGAAAAAGAGAGCGAGAGCATGAGGCTTCCTCCTACCTGGTTATAGGGGCCTCCAGATCCACAGGCTTCTTCATCTCCAAAGACAAAGCGGGGGCACACTGCTCCTCCTTGTAACCCGGGGTAACCCTCACACGAGGACTTCCTCTGTTCAAACACACAAATACACAGATTTGTTTTTCTGATGTGACAGAAAAAAAGAAAGAAAACAAATGTTTAAATTCCTCCAAAACAAATCATAGCTAAAAATGAACAGTGAATATGCTCAGACTTGCCTGACCTCTGCTTGCATGCTTTCCAAGAACGATACACATCTACACACACACACACACACACACACACACACTGTAGACACAACCGGTCTTGCCACACCACATACACACATTAAATGGACACTTCATACACAGCACGCTATGGGTTTAGAAAAGGAAGAGACCCTGCTATGCAAATACTTGTGTGTACTTTTGGTCAAAGGCTGTTTGTGAGTCCTAACGAGAGGAGTGCGTCACCCCGGCCCGTCAAAGCACCTTCTTCTGGCCAGGTGGCCTAATGGTCGCTTCGAGAAAACCGTGATAGCTGCAGCAGTTAGCAGTAAAACGTCGCTGCCCTATGAACTGCAGCGGAATTATCTGTTTCACGTATTTGGTTGAGAGTAAACACGACATTACAACACCACCAGGATTTAGTACTTAAGCCCTGTTGTATTCCCAGCTGCCAACCAGGCGTACTGCAGCCGGAGGACAATCACGGAAAAGGCAGCTGACGCGTGTTTGTAGAAAATCATTTTGGTAATCGTTTATGACATCATAATTATTGCGCCAGTTAACAGGACAAAAATACGAATGTCAAATTTAACCCCCAAGAAAATCCAGGTAACAGTGGTAATAATAATATTAGTCGAATGGCAACTGCTCACTTCAGCTTGCGTGTGTGTGTGTGTGCGTGTGCGTGTTCCTCACCTTGGATAGACCGGCTCATAGAGGGACTTGCCGTCCCCTCCGCCCAGCACGTCAAACAAGAGGATGTAGCCTTTGGCAGTCTAAAGACAAGAGCATTAAAAATGAATGAAAACACCTGAGAGCAAACAAATATCAACAGCAACCGACAGGACAGACAGTAAAAATGGACGGGGTTTGGATCAGAGATTTACAACTTGTATAAATGATTGTTTTAATGTTGTGATAAATCTGCCTCTCAATTCCGATTGAGGAGCCGAAGAAAAAAGAGGAATAAGAAAGAAACCAAAACGAAAGGAGAGGACCGAAGGGAGGAAAAATATGAAGATAAGAGTGATTAATAAGGGGTCACGATATGGTATTTTGGGGTTTTCCATGTGTTTCTATTTCTCCTAATAAGATGAATATTTGCAGCACAGGTACTCTGGTGGTTTACAAAATATTTGTATCCCTCCCTGAATGACGGTAGACATTTTCCTGCACAATCCTGAACAAGCTGATAATGAACATTTCAAACACAGTCGACCTGCACGCTCCAGGCTCCATTCTGTGGACGAGCTCACAATGTCTGATGTAAAAACAGTAGTAACCTTTGCCTGCATATAACCACGCACGCACGCACACAGCTGTCTGGGAAACGGCTGGAATTGAGCCCTTTGAACTGAAACATGACACGAAACCTGATCTGAACGCCAGTCAGCAGTGGCGTGGATGCTTTGTAACAGACGCATACGAGAAGGCTTCGGTGATACTGCAGAGACGCTTTTCTAGGGTGGTGACAATGTCGGGCAAAAACATCACCACGGCAATAACACAACCCAAACCAAAGGGACAGAGAGAGAGAGAGAGAGAGAGAGAGTGAAGCCAGCAACAACATGAAGCTAGACTAAAAACAAAAAATAGAGCCACCGCAGCCACACAGAGGCCTGCTGGGCCCATCGACAGCCTCGCAGCTCCACGAAGCCGCAGCCGAGCTACGAAAGGATTCTGCTTGCATCAAATCTAAATCAGATGTCAAATTAATACCTAGAGAAGATATGCTTCCGTTTATAAAGACAGAGAAAGAACGGTGGCATCCGTCAACACGACAGCGGCTTGAATAGCTTGTTGATTCTGTGAAAAGAAACACAGGACTCCACCAACAGGCTTTTGGTCATCGTGGGATCCACCTGTGACTGAGATCACTTCGGAATAATGTCAAAGTTGTGGCCAAACACCAAAATATTTCATGCTAACATTACTGTTCAAATATTTGATGAGACAGAGGAAGTGCGAGTAGCCAGCTACTGTTCCCACAAAGCCCGTTAACAGGAGGAAGGGATCGGGGAGGGGCGGGAAAACTATTTAGCAGCCCGGGACAAAGCTCCGCAGAGCGTCTCCCCCGGAGCATCTTATCCCTTTCATCTGCAGTCGGATCACACAATCGCACGAAAGCGCCCGCACGACCGTTAATCGACACAGCGATTGCGTTTTACTTCAACTGGTCTTGTCAAATACCGGAGATAAAAACATTTTTTTAAACGGATTACGGGAAACGGGAGATAGAAGAGAGGGCCCCAAAGAGGCCGGCCCCCGTGTCTCCTGGTCCGCTCCCACACGCAGAGATAACGATACAGGAAGCGGCGGGGCGCCCCTTCTTTGTCAGCTAGAGATCAATAAACACAGGCGGGCACAAAGATTTTTAAAAAATGGAAAAAGAAAGAGCCCGTCATTAAATAAACCTGCATAACAGGGTTTACAGCAGTTTCCACAGTAGATACGGGACTGCAAGGCAAATAAGAGTCACCGTTTAAGCACACATCATACATACTGGTGGCCCTTTCTCTCTCTCTCATCATGGCAACAACACATGCTCCTCAAAATCCATGTGACCTCATTCATTTCATCCGGTAAATGACCCTGGTCTCCTTCATAAATCTTATCCTCTCAAACAGACGTCTTCTACCAGGTGCCGCTTTGAACATGCCGTAACTTGATGTGGACATTGTGCGCGCACTTAATAACCAGTACACGAGAGGCACATCGAAGATGATACTGTAATTACTTAAGGCAGGGGTTTGGCCCTGGTCACGTAACACTTCTTCTTATTCCTTTGGCACTTCGACGCTATTCAAATGAACTCGTGCTACTTCCTGCTGCATTTGAAAGAAACGGACACGGAAAGGGTCGACTTAACACCGCCGGAAAAAAGCGAAGCAAATAGAGACGAGGAACAAAGTCCCTGGTCCAGGCTCACGAGTAGAATGGACATGTGAGTCGGCAGCAAACTGCATACCATGTATTATTGTGCTGGTTCCGCTTTCCTGCAAGTTTAAACAAGCTCCAGAGGTGCGTGCACACAAACAAAACTCTGCAGTGACTCTCTGAAGGAAATTGCAAAAATGTGGCCAGTGAAACAATTCAAACACCTTAGCTGGCCGGTAGCTGCAAAAACTTCACAATAACAGAGGCTGAACATCTGGAATTGCAGCACGCCGATGCGGGCCACTACCAGGCAGTCCTGACTGAAGCACGAGAGGACATTTGGAGCATTAGTTCTGCAGCTTATCGGCGTTATTCCTTCGAGGAGTTGACGCCATTACTTTCCAGTCCTGCTGTATCTTTGGCACCGGGAAAGTACGTGCCTTAAACCTTAACGTCTCTTTCCAACTAGACACTATTTCCCAGCCATTAAGGACAATGAAAAGAAGAATCTAATGCAGAACCGCCCCAATAATAAGAAAAAGCCTCAAAACAAGCAGTCTCAGCTAAATGATGTTTATTGCAGAGCTGACGGATAATCCTGTTATTGCCTCCACGTCTAGAATGTGCGTGTGATACAGATAAGATAGGAAGCTGTGGGTTGCGTTTATTTACTAAAAACACTGCAGAAAACACCGACTGTGCAATTTTTTTTTTAAACATTCTTTCTCTGTGTTGACTTGTGCTAAACAGTTTCTAACAAGCAACAAGTACCGGCCAAATATTTGCATGCTTCTTATTTTACCGTATACAGACAGACTTCTAAAAAAGAGACGTCTGTCCTTCTCGCTCCGTCAACAGCTCGAGCCGTTACTCTTGCACTCTCCACGCACAAGCAACACACACGGCTAAAGATAGTCCGGGGTCATGGTTTACGAGAGTGATTTTGCCTCAAAGTCTGCAGGGTGTGTGTGTGTGTGTGTGTGTGTGTGCAGTCATAACATCTGGGGCACAGCTTGTAGCTTAAGCGAGAACTACTGCCTCCCTGGGACACTCTGGTCTTTATTGTCCCCGACTGGCGTCTTCTCACTCTGTAATTAAAAGAACAATGCGAACAAGGTGGAGAAAAAGCACAGCAGCTGGTAAAGACATAAACGACAAAAAACATCTTCACTCGCCACAGAATCTATGGAGGAAAAGGTTACGTGCAGGTTTCCCTCAGTTTATCTTCACCAAGTGGGAGGCAAAGCCTCAGTGGATTCTCCGTCACGTTGTGGGTGCGAGAGACAGATTTAGATTCACTATTTCCAAGCGCGGCCATGAAACGTGGTTTAGTGTTCAGCCTTTGTCAGATAGGACAGGTTGAGACGGGATGACACTCTCGGTTCATGGGGGCGGCGAGCTCTTCGAGGTGAGCCACCACGTCACATGACATTTTAGACTTCCAGATCACTTTCTCCTCTGAGAGTTTGAAAGTACGACGCAAACTTTTACTAGCAGGTTGTAGTCGGCGACTCGACTTTGAGACTGAGCCCAACATCCGTCACATCTGCTGCTCCCAATTCAGATTGGATTAAATGAATGGATCAAAGACGAGTTATTGTCAAGGATAGAAAGGGATACTGAGAGTGTTAAAGCTTCACATCGGGCGGCAGCATCGTCTTCTTTTCGGAGCGTTTTTTGCTGCAGGTTACAGACGGTTTGGCGTGAACATCGACACGTTTCCGCCCCGTGAACCTCTCGCCCGCCCTCCCTAAAGATATGAAGCCGGTCTTCCCTTCATTAACATTTATCAGTCGGAATGCAACAGCCCAGGAAGTGAGTGAACAAGTGCGCCCCGTTATTTTTAACTCCTCCACCTGCTCGCAGTTGTGCTCGGGGACGAGTGGGAGTTTGGGCTTTTCCCCGGACACATTCACAGCGTTCATTCATGTGTACTTTGGCTTCAGTAGACGTGGGGATTAACACGAAAGACTGACGTGTAGAGGACATTACTAACCAGAGGGCCGCTTTAAATATAAATCCCTAAAATGCTCTAAAACAGTTTGACTGACAACAACCCGCCGTGTGTGTCGTCGTGGTAGCTTCTACACCTGACGCAGGTACATTCCTGCAGAACGGCTTCAACGAAAAGAGAAACATTTTTCGGCTCTCTGCCACAATGACTGCTAAACTGCTGCTCGTGTCCTTGGCGGTATTTCCTGCCTGTCTTTACAAAACAGCGTGGCACGCTGAGCTGGACGGACTACGTGTTTTGATCGTACGTGTAACAGAAGTCAAAGTCTGTACGAAACTGATTCAGTTGGTTCCAAGTATGGAGATATTATGTTATAGAATAGAAACCGAATACGCTCATTAAGGACCTAATTACTAAACTACAAAACAGAGAAAATATGTGCGTTAGAGTGTAACACAACACCCCGCATTACTTGAGAACGCTTCTTATTAAGTATCATGGCCGGATTTCTATTTTCAATTACACAGCCTGTATGATATCAATTGTGCAGGTTTTATAGGGGGGATCTTGGCGGTCCTCCTCCGTGTTGCTGATTACACTTTGGAAGCCGATTGACTCATCTGCTGACTCGGCCGCCGGCCCTGTGGGAGATTATTCAACAGGACACTTCAAACAATCCTCGGCTCACAATCAGGAGTAATCGTGGACGGTCGTGCTTTTCTTCCCCGCTACGTGAAAGCTGAGCTGGGACTAGACGATTAGCATTGTGAGAGACATTGTTTTCAGATGAAAAGCCCACGCTGCTGAATTAGCACACGCACAAGCATCCCTGTAAGCTTCTGCTCATCCAACAACAAATCTGACCGTGCGGCCTTCTGCTCGGGCTTCTTCCTGTGCCTCAATTTCTTCGACCCGGCGGATATTGCTATCGAGGATTGTACTTTCACGAGAGCGATTTAACTTAAATCCCGACAATGAATAAGAGCAGCGAAATGAAGCCAGCCACGGCGTTCTGTGCAGCGTTCAGAGACGCTCTGTTCCCAGAGGCCTGTCAGAATGTACCGAACAGGGCCGGTCTTTGTGACGCATTATGTGCCAATTACACTTAGTTACTTAATTCTACACAATTGAATTGTGGGCACAACTAGGCCAGTGTATTATTACAAAAGGATGGATGGCGCTGCTTTTTGCTTCAACGCACTGTGACAATGTCGATTCGCCAGCAAGAATATGTCAATTTCATCATGAACAACGCTGATCAACATGTGGTGTTATACAGCTTAATGAGATATGGTTCGGTAATTGAACTGCAAACGATTCAATGATCCAGATGGAAGCTCGGCAGTGGAGGACATCAGACGGCTTGTGTGGGCTTACGTAAAGAAACATGCGAGGCGAGAACATTTCATCTCCATGGAAATGAGTATGAATACTAAAAAATGACATCTTTGGAGCTTCGTGGGCTGGTAATTAGCATATTTTTTAGGTTGCGAGTTGTTCGCAAGTGTTTATACAAGGATGGTCCTTCCTGACAGGAGGAAGGATCGTGGGGGAGATGTTTTAGAATTATTTAGATAACAATTTAAGTAAAAACAAGAGCACACGGTGCATTATCCCCTCATCGGGTTCAGGATTCGGGCACATTTGGAATGATCTGCAAAACACACAAAAAATGAGGCCCTCTTCACCTCCCAAAAGAGCTGACGGAGGAAAACCCTTCCAGGCGGTTGTAATTGGTTTCCAAACATAAAGCTTCCCACAGGCCGGACCTGTTAAGAAGGAGGTCAGGGTTGAAGGGCAGAGGGGACTGATGCGCACTTTATTATTACCAAACTTATCCACCCAAAGGGGTTCGACAGTTAATGCGTCCAGGATGAAACATGCTAGCCTGTTATTGTGTAGACTGACTAACAGTGACAGTCAGATAGAAAGCACAGGGATCAGCACAGGACAAAGTATGACAAGACTTTAAATAGGAAGTAATGAGTAACTGCAGCATTCAGATATTATCTCAAAATGTTAACGGTCACTTTGTTCGGTGACCTTTAGTCTTGATTTGCCCCCTGCAGACAAACGCCTGCCATTTGGGACTCTCAGCATGTTACTGTCAAACCCTTTACTTCTGCTATAATCCCAATGGTCTGCCCACAACATTCCATACTTATTCTTGGCAGCATGTTGAGCTTCCTCTAGGTTGAGTTAATCTTGACTAACTCGTCGGTCCAACTCCCCGGTTGTGTCAAAGTTATTTCTTCAGTCATGTCTGTCCTTTGTTGAACCTTAACTGATAGCAACACAAGTAGTGACTAAAAAGACCTTGGAAGAATTAATGAAACACTTTCCCTCAACGGCCGAACGTACTGAATTCATCAAGACACACGGCGAGCAACTCCGTCACCTTACAATGCCAACTCCACACACAGATGGTGCTCTGTTGCTGGGCACATCGGAGCAGCACGTGATCGAAAGGGAAGTTGGAACTTTCCGTTGAGCGCTCAGGCAGCGGCTTTCAGGCCCGACCTCGTCGCCACAGGAGTAGTTTGCTCCAATCTGGAGCTCAGCAGCAGAAGAAATGGGACAAGCTGCGACTGCAGCCCCACTTTGAAGTTTCTCTTTTTCAGCGTGTGTCATGCTCCTTCGACTGTGACGCGCTGCAGCCACAGAGAAGCTTCCCCTGTGGCTTCCTACAACACAAGGATCACCGATAACGTCGGCTTATCCTCAGGGACCGATTGACTGAAGCGTCCTGCACACGCTGACTGTAACTCCACGGGCAATAAACCACAAAGAATATAAGGAAAACGAAAAGAAGAGTAGAACATTGTGACAACGTAATCACAACGTTGCTGACTTCTAATAGCGTATTAATGTTTTCTGGAGGATATTTTTCTTTCAGGGAGACCAAACTTCTCTGAACGACGCGACAACGTTACGCTCTTTGTGAAGACTCCAGGCGTGCAATTATTGGAGTAAGTATACAAGTTATTAGTGTGCTTGGTCGGAAGAGAACATGTTGTAGGACGCGTGGCCAAAGGGCGCCGATGATACGGCGCTGGGGCCGCACTTACCGCCACAGCGATCATAGAGTCGTCTGGTTTCCATTCGGCCTTCTGGTAGACGCCAAACTGGGCGGCCGCCTTCGCAGACTCAATGTAGCTGACTATCAAAACACTGGGCTGCGGGTGGAGAAGAGAAGAGAGCATATTAAACTTACTGGAGCTCACGGATATCTTGCATGTAACATCATGTGATATCTGGCAGAAGTCACAAAACAATCACCCCTAACAGTTCATTCAAACCCTCTAATATTACACCACAAAAGAAATAGCACGGTGTGCTTATCTGCAGTCAAATGAGACACGACTTATAATTTCTAAACGCATAACTCCCACCAAGAAAGAAAAGGTCAGCAGGTGTGAGCACTTGAAACAAAGGCAGCTTCTGAGCACCAGGAGCCTCAACACCTGGCAAAGCATTTTCATTGAGCCTTTGGCATTATTCAACAACCAGTGGAAAAACCCTGCAGATTATTTTTGGCTCATTCACGTCATGGACTTGAACGGTTTCACTCAATGCAATTCTAAAAAGGACAGATTATGATTGAAGATGAATCACTACGGAGTCACACTCCAAGGTCAAGTGAAGAGCGCGCGTTACGGACACGTTGCAGGTAAACTGGATGGCTGTGGGCAGATAAAGCGAGGGGGGGTGGGGGTCTCGTGTAATTCCAACTGTGCAACATTAGACGTCGGACCCAGTCACGGTAACAAGAGAGCAGGTTTGAAGATTTCAGCCAGACAGCGTGCAGCACAGCAGCATGAAATCTTAATGCCACTTGCGGTGTCATTGGTTTGTTAAAGTCCCCTGTTGCATCACTGAAATCCTAAAAAAGGAAAGAAATTAAGGACCGGAAACTGCTCAACATCCAAAACCAAAAATACAAGCGTTTCAACCAAAACTGCCACGGCTTCCAGGGAAGTGGAGGATTCAATGTATTTCTCCTGCGTTGCTCGATCACATTCCCATGCCGTCAGTTGGTGTAACTGAATAAATCCTAGGGGAGCGTAAATAATTACAAACACACAACTATGCGTGAATGCTCACACACACACACACACACGTTGGTGCTCATTTTTTGCCGGCCCCCAGAGCCGAGCATGTTGCTACCATTGCATAACGGTTCTCTATTCCTAGACACCCTGAGCTCCCACACAGCGGTGGCAGGGCGACAGGACAACTACATGGCTGAGCTCCTGTGCTACACGGATTAAGTGATAGCGCCTCCACCCAACTAGCTGGGCTCCGGCTGCACCGGCCGATGTCTGGGACAAATGGGATTAAAGAAAAAAAGCCTAAATGGCAAAATGTAGGCCGGGGCAAGGAACCTGAGGGGTGGTGGAAGGGGGGCAGATTTACATGATGGTTATTTGCTAAATGACCTGATCATGGAAATGAAATGCCAAAAAAAAGTGGCATATTTATAATGATGACAGAAAATAGGTTAAGCAAAACCCTCCACAACACCCGTGTAGTGTAGAAGTGGGCTTGAAGGTGCCCCGAAATGGCGTAACGGGCTCGAACGGATGTGAAAGATGCACGTCAATCTCCAACAGACATTCCTTACAACGCCCCTTTCCCTTCAAATTGCCTCATACATGCGTAAAAATAGGCAAAGCTCTAAGGAAAGAGGGGAAGGAAACCGTGGTGACGTCCTGTGCGGGTCTCAGGAAACGAACGGTGGGCCTGGTCCATTGTTGCCGCATCTCATTAATACATTAGACCCGTGAAACGCGAGCCACCACAAACAATGCACTCCACTCCATGTTGTCAAATCAAATAGTCCCTCTCCATATCGGAATGGCAGAATCTGACGCATGCAAACAAACCAGGGCGGGAGAGGGAAGTGGGTTCACAGCAAAGGCCTGCACTTGGAATTGCATAGGGCTTTGGGAATAGTAGATGGTGGAAACAGTGCTGGATAGGAAATCACCGCACATTTAATGAGCCATTCAGCATCACCATAACGTTTAAAGTGGAGCACGAAACAGGTTGACAGACAACTCCCGTTAACTCCCGTCAACCTGTTGAGTTGTTGTGAAGGTAAAAAGTGTTTGTTGTAGCTGCCACATCTCAGTGGAGTTAACGATCTATAAATCTACACAGAGCAGACAAGACAAAATCACTCCGCTGTCGTTCAACTTGATGATTTGTTCCATCAATCTGGAAATCGTTTTTCCCCCCTTGTGACCTTTCAAAATATAACCTGATTTTTTCTCAGAAATAATCCGTATCTGTATTTGTTTCTCTCTCAGAATAGATAGCACAGTGAAGCAATCATGTCTTTTACAGACCACTGAGCGGACGCATTACTATTGATTCTTCCAGTTGTTCCTCTGGTCAAACACTTATTCTGATCAGCGCACACAGACGACTCTCTGGAGCAGCAACTTTTGGGGCAAATTCCGAACTCTTTCCAACCAGTTGTTTTTGCATGTTGTTTTGGAAAAGCAACTTTGTTTACGGGTCTGCATGTTGCCTCCGTGTTACACAACAATGACCTAATGATGTGCTGACCTTTGTTTACATAATCAGCACAGCACGACATGAAGTGCAGTGTGTTTGTTGAGGACACTACTGGTGATGAAAGCGTAAACCTTGAACTTCCATCAGTCTTTTTTAAAAAGTAGCAAAAATACTGAATGTGCCCCGAAGAAAAGGTTCACACTGACGAGCATTCATCAGGTAGAACTTGAGGATCAACAACCGACAAGCAAACGGGAGGGACGACGCACGTGAAACAATGTTAAGGTGCAAAACATACACACGTATACGGATATAACGTCACGGAAACTATTACAATGAGCATCGATGTCATCCATGCAACGTGTAAAAAAAAAGAGAAGAAGCGTGTGGTGAAATCCATTAGAAAGGGCAGAAACTGAAGCTCCTCAGCTGATCCGACCACACTTACCCGGCTGAACCAGATGCTGAGCTGGGTCTCTGACAGCACGGCGAAGTAGAACCTCTGGGAGCTGGGTCGGATGTGGAAGGGCTCCTCTTGGCTCCTCAGCGGACAGAGCAGCCGCCGGGGCCAGCCGGTTAGAAAATACATGACGGACACAACGAGCGGTGTCGCAATGGCCGGATCGTCGGTACCCGGTGTTTCACCCCGAGGGTTTTTATTTATTTGTATTCCAAACGAGTCATGGGCGTTGTTTTCTGTAAAAGGAAAAAAAGGAGAGGGAAAAAAAAGGAAACTTATGCGCAGGCAGTCCGGTGTTCTCACGGGTCGGTCTGTGAATCCATGAATGCCGTACGTTAGTCCCCGGCAGCCGATGGCGCTACTCAGCTAACGTTAGTTAGCCCCGGAGCTAGCCTTCGCTTTCGGAGTTGGGGCTAGTGAGCTAACAGAGGCAACGACAATCCATAACACGAAAAACAAAAGCAACCAGGCTCGCGGCGACTGCACGCAGCGCCGAACGACTGAGTGCCGCTGACAAAATGGGTTGGATAAATTTCGCTCCCGCTGCTGGGTCAATTCGTACGTTGTCGGAACCAGCGGTGTTTAATAACAGTAAAGCGTCCAGCCTTTACTCCTCTGTTGACCACCGTCGCCATCTTTACAAGAGTCCGTAGGACTCTGAGCTGATTGGCCGGCGCGTAGACGTTTTGCGAAGGGTAGATACCTGACGTCAGCACTCCATTAAGCGAAACCATGGGCTGTATGTAAGGAGGAGGGGCGTAGTTGTCGTGACGTCATCTCATGGTTTTTAAACTGCCGATGAAGCCTCAAGTTATGCGGTATCGGCGTGGCCATCTTGGAAGACGGCCTTCACTACATTGTTATTTCGAAACCAACGAACAGAAGTTTACATAATTGAAAGTTGGAGGAGGGAAATGGAAACGCCGTAGTAAACCCGCCCTTAGGCACACTCCGCTTTATGGCGTAATTTAATCTAAAGGGGACTATCATTTACTAAAGCAGTATAGAAGACGATTTGAAACTAGCAATTGAGACCATAAACTTAAGTGTACAATGTTTACTGAGGTAATAAATTAACTGAGAAGCAGGTTCAAAGTATTCAGTGCAAGCTGGCTGGTACCGTAGGAGTCACCCCCTGCTGGCCAATGCACATTTTAAGACACTCGTTCGTTCCCAACCCCCGGGGACGGGTCCAACACGGTGGCGTTGAGGGTTCTGTGACTCGACGCTGACATCTGCTGGCATAAACAAATATGCAGGGCCACTGTAACAATTACATTACATGTCATCTAGCTGACGCTTTTATCCAAAGCGACTTTCAATAAGTGCATTTCAACCCATAAGTATGTTTTTTAGTCAAGGTATAGTCGAGTCGTGTGGGAGAATTTAGGAAGGTTAAAGACCAGTCCAGCTGCTGCATTCTGGATGAGCTGCAGAGGTCGAATGGCGGTTCGAGAGAGTTACAATAGTCAAGGCCTGAGATGACAAGAGCTTGAATTAGTACTTGCGCCGCCTTCTGAGTGAGAAGGGGACATATTCTCCTGATGTTGTAGTGAGTGAACTTACAGGGATTGTGTTGTTGCAGTGATGTTGTGAGTCAGGGACAGTTGGCTGTTGAGTGTCACACCGAGGTTCCCAGAAGTCAAAGTTGGCGTTAACACGGAGTTGCCAACGGTCAAGTCCTGGGTAGGAGAACCTTTTCCCGGAAAGAGAAGTAGTTCAGTCTTGTCGGGGTGTTTTTCAGATGGTTGAGGGGACATCCACTGAGAGATGTCAGTCAGACACGCAGAGATCTGTGCCGCCACCTGAGTGTCCGAGTGAAAGAATTAGTTGGGTGTTATTGGCATAGCTGTAGTAGGAGAATCCATGCGATCGAACAACAGAGCCGAGAGAGTTGGTACAGAGAGAGAAGAGGAGGGGACCCAGGACGGAACCCTGAGGAACTCCAGTAGTAAGCGGACAAGGTTCCGACACAATAAAGTTGTTTGGTCTCTCACATCTTTACACAGGTAATACACTTCCGTAAATCAAGATATAGACTTCATTATTCATGTCAATTTTTAAAAATGTTTGTCATAATTTTCATTTGATTCAAATCAATATATTTGTGCACCATTCAAATTGTGGGGACAATTCAACCTGCAATGGAATGGACATTTTTTGACATAATGTGTAAATGCATTACCTAAGTGAACTTTGTGAAAAGGTTTTTATCTCGTCACATAATAAATAAAATATAAATACAATTGCGGGTAGAGCAAGTTGGGTAAAAGCAGGATATGAAGCAGTACGTATAAGAGTCAAACAGCTAATAGTTGTAAAGATCAGTCAGATAATTATGTAGTTTATTAAACGCTTGTGTGAACACAGGCAGGAGATGCTGTTTAACCATGCCATCATCCACTTCATTAAATGAAAGGGGTTAGCTTGCGCCGAACTCTGAACAGTTGCGTAATTTTAATTGCAAGAGATGGATTGATGAAAAGGGGAATACTGAAGTGACGCTACATAATTCTGAGCAGCAGGAGGCGGTAATGTGTCTTACACCCTGCTGGAGACCAAGAAGAAGAACAGAAAATACGAAGTTTAATAAACTATTTGACTGATTAATGCTCCAGATAGCACGCATTTTTTTATTATTCATACCGGACTCACAAACTGGCTTTAAAAAACATTTTGCAACTCTAGTTAGAAAAAAGAAAAGAAAAAACAATAATCGCCACACATCGACAGATAGGCGGCAGTGCAACACACAGAGTTGCTGTGCAACTTAACGTTACCAAGTTGCCAGGGAGGGAACACGAAGAAGAAGCGCAGCAAAAGAAGAAGAAGAAGCATGGCTGCTGACATGAGATTACCCACTGTTCTAAAATCGGTGTCGTTATCGGGTTCTGTTTTAGACAGAAAAGATCTGGTCGTCCCGGGCGATGTCATCACCTCAGACACCGGTTTCATGAGGTAATGTTTGGCGTTCCGTCGGTGCACCGATCGCATGCGGCGCATCGGGACCTCACCGTGTCGTCATGGAAGGAAATCAATGGAGAAAATGTATAAAGTACATTTTGATACGGCCATTGTTTGCCGGTAAATTGTGGGTTGACCATCGTCATCAGCAATAAGGAGGTTAAATTAGTTTCAACTCCTTTACACGGTTTAGCAACGCTGACCGTACACATGTTGCCGTAGCTGTTTACCAATTTACGCAAGTCTGGTCTGGTTCACCAACCCTCTCGCCTTTTTAACACAGACACACAACATATAATGCAACTTTAACTGAGACGGAAGCAAAATAACGATTTGATCCTTTTTGAAATCGTGTCTATGATCAGGCGGTGGTCCTCCCCAGGGTTGTCTCTGTCACATCCCTGTTGAGCTCCTCGTCGGTAAACACCATTTGTCCCCAGGGGTCACGGCACCTACGTGGATGATGACAAGCTGACGGCTTCGGTTGCTGGAGAGGTGCAGAGAGTAGACAAGCTGATCTGCGTCAGACCACTTCAGACCAGGTGAGTGGTTTCGATCTCTTATTAAACATCTACGGCCAGAAACTGGATTGGGCTTAAATGACCATTGCGTCCTTTTATGTCCTTGCGATAAGTTGCTTGATAACATATTTTTGTTATGTTATTTATGTACAGGTTCAACGGTGAGGTTGGAGACGTGGTGGTCGGCAGAATCACGGAGGTGAAGCACTGCCGCAACATCTTATTACTTTTGTATTGTATTCTAAGCTGTTATCATTTTTAGTAGTCATACATCTTCATTCTATATAAGGTTGATTTCTGTGGGATCATGTACAGGTACAACAGAAAAGGTGGAAGGTGGAGACCAAATCCCGGCTGGACTCTGTCCTCTTGTTGTCCTCTGTCAATCTGCCTGGAGGAGAGCTGGTGAGATGCTAGACAATGTGTGACTACCTGGAACAAGTGTTTAAGTACTATCCCTAAGAATAGGGAAATTTGTTTAGGCAGGTATGTTTTATTTATTGTTGAAAATTTCTTTATTTTAATTTTTTTTCTTCCTTCTTTTAGAGGAGAAGATCAGCAGAAGATGAGCTCACCATGAGAGAATACCTTCAGGAAGGCGATCTCATCAGTGTAACTCATAGTTAATAATATTTCATTGGCTTCTCCATCTCTTTAGTTTTCGTCCATAATTCTCAATAATTGTTGCTCTTTTTTCCTGTGCTTTTAGGCGGAGGTGCAGTCGGTCTTCTCAGATGGAGCCTTATCCCTGCACACCCGTAGTTTAAAGTATGGAAAAGTAAGTTAAGTGAGTCTACACAACGACAAGTGCAGAATTCAGCCGTGATGATGCCCCAAAATAATGGAGAGGCGGCGAGATCCTCCTGGTGGCCCTGGCACGCAATGTCAAGTCTGTGACGATCATTAGTTACTAAAGGGAACTATTAATATTTTCTTCCCCTAACCTAATATCCTGCTTCTATTTCTCTGCCCATCAGTTGGGTCAAGGAGTGCTGGTACAGCTCTCTCCTTCTCTAATAAAGAGGCAAAAAACCCATTTCCACAACCTGCCATGTGGTGCATCCATGATCCTCGGCAATAACGGCTTTGTGTGGCTGTATCCCACACCTGAACAACTGGACGAGGGTGCCGGGGGATTCTACACCAACCTGCAGGTGGGAACTGGACACATTTTCATGGGTTCACTCGTCAATATACTGTTGAATACACACTTTGATTTAAATGAAGGAGTTAATGGATAACCTGTTCTTGTTCAGATACACTTGAATGACTTCTTCCTTTGGGTATGTCTTGTCTTTCAGCCCGTTGGTCTGTCAGATCGAGAGGTGATTTCACGGTTGAGAAACTGCCTACTGGCTTTGGCCGCACACAAGGTGCTTCTGTATGACACCAGTGTTCTCTATTGCTATGAGTCGTCAGTTCAACATCAGGTAGGAAGCCCGGGACTCTTTATGTATTCACCCACACCCTCTTTTACGTGTAAAGCAAATGCAAAGAAAACCGCAGACCGATTCTGTGATGTATTGTGCCACCTGGTGTTCATATTGAAAACCTTTGCATGCAGTTCTCAACTTTGACTATGCTGTTTTCAAAGAGGAGCAGACACTGTCAATGTCACTTCTCTTCTGAGCCTGGGATCTGAGGGTTTAATCACAAATGCTTCTCATGGATACTTACATGATAGCAGCATTTTAGCAAATATAATATCACAATATTGTTGGTATGGATCCATGTGCTACATAATGCAAAGACAATAGTTGTGGTTACATCTTAATAAAGACAATAATTTGCCAATAACGCTAGATATCCGAGCACGACCCATTCTTTTTATGGGGTTTTGAGCAGTCCCCTTTTTAAGCTACAGGACACTAAAGCACACATCATTGCTAAAGACCGTGTCTCTCAGTGACAAAATACAGCTACATGTGTGCTATTATTGCCAAGATAATTGCATCCACAAAAGTGCAATTTTCAGCTAGACTAATATATTATTCTTTGCTTTATGCTCACTGGGTAGGTCAAGGACATCTTGAAACCAGAAGTGATGGAGGAGATTGTGATGTTGACGCAACAGAAGCTGTTGGAACAGGAAGGTTAAAGAGCACAGCACGTGGACACAATCAAGCAGCTATGTCGACGACTGACCAGCTATTCAAGGACCGATTGTGCTTTTTTTCTAGTTGTAAACGTCCTGTTGTACAGCTCTAAGTGTATTTTTTGTAACAAAACGGATGATAAATGATGGATTTTTAGGTATTTCTATTAATTCCGCAGCATTCAGTAATTTCTTGAGTAACTCTTGTGTTTTGCAGAGGCTAAGAGGAACACTTTTGATATTGTGTGGTATACGAGAAAAAAATTGTATGCAATACATTTTCTATAAACTTAAGAACATCTCCGTGTGCTATGATTTGTTGAATGAGGAAGGAAAAAATGTCTGAAGTGTTTCAGTTAATATATGTATTCATATTTTTCTAGTAGCAATGACAAGGTATAAATCACAATAATCGTACATATGTTTTTTTAAATAGCTGTGAGCGATTGTGTATAAACTGGCTTGGTGAAAAATTGGGAAGTTAATCCAAGCGCTACATATTTATCAAAGGATTTTAATTATATTGCTTCGTTATCAGTATTGGTGTGCAAATTTCTGGGGGACACTTTACAGTGCCATCATCACAGAGGATGTCCACCAGTGAGTTTTTTTTCAGTGTGTGAATACAATTAAGCTCATGAAAACATCTTTGAAAACTCTTGAATTTGATCGACTGAAAAGTGCTGCGACTTAGGTTGAGGAAAAGTTGTAAAAAAAAACACCAATGTATTTTTAATACAACCTACTAGCATAATAGAACCTTTTAGTTCCGCTTCCCCGTACTAGCCCACGCACGCACGTGACGTCACGCGTCGCTCCACCCACATATTTGTGTAGACCACCTTGCGTATGGAAGTATGGCGGCACCAGCGACGCAACTGCTCCCCGGACAAAGTTTACTGCTCAGGATTTCCCGTCAGAGCGATGAATAAGTACGCGAACCGATGGGAAGGCAACAAAGAGCTCGGCGAATGTGAACGCAGGGCAGGACTTCCGCAACGAGTCGTCGGCCTCTGGCCGGCTGAGCTCCCTCGAGCTCTCCCCGCCGCCTCGACTGAAGAGCTTTCGGTCCGGGTACCACATGAGAAGAAACTGGGAAGAAGGGACGCGGAAGTTTAGAAAAACGTACAGCGCACGCTGGACTCTCCTCAAAATGTGGCGTCCGCAGATGTGTTTCTGAGACTTTTTTTTCCTGTTTCTTTTTGTTTTGAGGCCACTTATCCGCGCGTGTCCATAGCGACCCAGCGAGGACCAACTGTTGAGCGCTCGATGTGCATTTCAAGGGTCCTGCGCCGCGTACCAGCACCACCAGCTAGCGCCAGTTAGCCTCCATGGCTAGCGTCAACATTAGCCCGTGGTCGCCATCCAACCCTCAATACAAACGTTTCAATGTAAGTTTCCTTTAGTGTATCTCAACTCCAACTCCGAGGGTCTTTACTGTGCGAGTTTTTTGGTCTGTGTGCTACAGGTCTGACGTTGTCACGTGAGCGCTGGTTGCGGAGGATAGGCAAGTTGTTTTTTTTGACATTGTTGTTGTAAAAGAAGTAACGTTAAGTTGCACACAGACGCTATTCTTTCAAATGAGTATAACGCCAGTTGATGCTCTGCAGGTCGGTGGTGATTTCGTGTGATCTCGGTGATTTATATAACGTTTGTCATCTTGAGTTTTCTCATAGTCACGTGTGCATTCCATTGATTTTTAAGTGTCGATCTGTCATTTAAAGACCTTTATTGGCATTAGAAAGAGGCAACTTCAGTGGGCGAACATCTCTTATAACAGGGGGGAATGGGAAATGGGTGTTTTAATACAGAGCAAAGCACAGATGAAGAACGTTACTGACTTAATAGTTGCAGAACAGTTAGAAACAAGTTAAATCACACTAAAAGTTTTCCTGCTCAAGTTGTAAGGTGCATTTCAACCCTAGGATGCACATGTTTCATTTATTGTTACTACATCGTTGAGTGTGCTCTTTGCATTATACATCGACGCCACTGTCATTTATTCCATTTGGGTTTTACTGCAGTTTTTCCGTTTGAAAACAATATTGCTGCTCTTGATGAAATCATTGATTCTCTATCACACCCCATAGGTTACTTTGAAATGCCCTTCTTTGACCCCTGAAGCCCTCAGGATCCATTAATGCAAGATAAACATACCGGAGTGATACGGATCTGCACAGCTGACCCGCGGGACCCAAACTCCAGGAGAGGACGGACCGAGTCGGGAACAGGGCTCCCTGTCGTCTCCCGCTCCCGTCCCTGCTTGGTGACCAACTTTTGCAAGGTGACCAACTCAGTCCAGTTTGGAGAGTCCCGGCTGCGGCCTGGCACCGTGCCCTTATGGGGCAGCAGCCGGGGAAGTTTGTCGGGGACCAGAGGAGACCTAGTCTGCCGGCCTTCATCAGAGGTGGAAGGAGAGAGTCGTCGCGCCATGGCACCCAGCCCTGTAACGTTTTCGTTGTGCACGGTAAGAACAAGGAGAGCTAATTTGTCATTAACAGCATTTTTTTTTCTAATTTAAAATGTCAGGTATAACATTTTTATCATTTTGCGCATCATGTGCACCATCAGGGATGAAATACCTAGACCCTTCCGTTAGTCTGTTTGCAGAGGGCTAAACATCACCGTGCTTACACCCTCGAGTATGTAGCTTGCTGCCTGAACAGAAAACTGCTTAAGCAAACATTACCGAGCTTATATTACTACAAGTAGCTCACAAAGCCACTCTTTGCCATCCACTTTGACAAAAGCTGAACCTAGAGTCGGTATTTATAATGAACCCGTACTTCTTATTGTCTGGTCTTTGTTGTTTTGCTGATGGTCTGATACTCGACCAATACAGAGCGTGATGTCCTTTTTTTGTTTTTACTACAAGAAAGGACATTGCGGCCTTTAATCAAGCTTATGTGCATGTGTATTTGCTCACTTCATATCTTTTCTGGTATGAGAAACAAAAAATGAAACGCCAAATCCATACATCTGTAACACCTGTTTATCTCATCTGAAGTTGGTTGGTTGGTTGATTTTTTCCATGGACCTTTTGAATAACGTTTGCCTTTTTTCTCTGTAAATTAGATTTCAGAAGTCTTAGATATAAGGAAAACTTCACTTACAAGAATGCTGCTGAGGATTCTTTGTCAATGTCAACTTTAAAACGTCATTTTAAAATAGCCTACAGAGCAGATGGTGGTGCTTTACACGGAGAGTTCATTGAGTGATTTGAGTGATGCTCTGGGATCGATATCGTTATGAAGAAAGAACAAGGGTCAAACAGTGTAGGTGAATTTTATGTCCCATTTTGCTAATAAACTGCACAATAAACGGCACAGTGATTGGGGAGCCCCCATCATATGACAATCGCATGACAGAAATCAGACATTTGTGGCTTCTACCATAACTCAAAGAAACCGGTGATTACATCCCTTCTGGTTGATGTAGTCGATGGTTTGCTATTTACTAGTTTGGGCCTATGAAAGTGCCTTCGTGGTGGTTTATGCCTAATTCTTTGGCCAAGAATTGCCTCCACACGCCATGGGGCTTGTTCTCAATAAAATAAAAGAACACGATGCTTTGTTCTAAATAATACTCAGCGGGGAGCGGATCATAACCTTTTCTAGCCGAAGACATCCATGAAAAGTATTGGCGAGGTGAACACAACATGTGATCGCTGAACATCATTGCAAATAAAAATTGACACCAGTTCAGGAAAAGGAATGTATCAGTTGGGAGATGGAGCCAAGCGGAGCGTGTTAAAATGACCACCTGAACCACATGCACGCCGAATGTTGAGTTTACCGAATGGGTCCGTAGGCCTGCGAACGCCTTGGCAGGACTACTTTCCACCGAAGTCTTGCGTAACACCGAGGCGGACGGGACAGGAAAGATGGGAAAAACAAATGAAAAGCCGTTGCCGGGAAAGGGATCAGATTTGGCAACGGGTCGGCGACATGTGACATGCTGGTTTTTCCTCCTTTCTGCCTGCGATGAGCAGGTTAAGCTACGGGATGTGACTCATCGTGGAAGAAGAGGGCGATATCGGCACGTGATTCGACATCCGTTTTTCTGTTTGTCTTGCGTTGCCGCTGATGAGCCCCAGCTAGTCAACGCTAGGCTAGCCATCGCCATGCTGCTTTCTCTGCAGGCGTGTTGAGACCTCTGCATGCAGCTGCCTTGCGAGAGAGAGACGCAGGGCAAGCAAAGACCTGTCCTCTGCTCTATGCATCTCAGTACTGTGCAGCCAGATATGATCTAACTGGCACAGTTTGTAATGACTGAGCCAGGTGGTACTTAAACATTGTATTTTATTTCAATGTGTAGCTCCGATAACTTGATATCTCCCCCAGTTGAATCATGGACTTGATTACGAGCCGCGGTGGGTTGCCGGGCCCGTTTGAGAAGCAGAAGAGTGTGCTGATATCTTCTCGTTTAGATACAAAATAACATTCTGGATGGATGATATGTGTGTTGAGATGTGGTAATTGATGACTTTGGGCCATATCTACAAACAAATAGATATGCACTTCACAGTCTTGTGCCCATCAATTATATCTACGCTTTATACTGCAGCTTTGCCCAAACCAATGGGTTTTGCTATATTAAAAGTAATTTAAACTAATAGAATGATGATGCAAGAAGATTGTGTAACTATGATACCAACCAGGATAAACATTACTTTAGTTGGGGCGTGCTATTGTAATTACACACAGTGAATGGAAATGTGTTCCATCAAATATGCACCTCCCTTCATTTTAGTATCCAGGAAGTTCAATTGCTGCGTAAAAGTATTCAGCCAATGATTGCATTGCATTCATTTCCCTGACCAGAAATGGGCTGAGAGAGGGAGGTTGGGGGGGGGGGGGGGAGTTTGTTCGAAGCAAAGTGAATCATAATATTGTTTGATTTGGAGGTTTTAGTTATTGCCGTTCATTTGACGGTTTGAGGGAAACTCGCCCCCTTGTGGTGGCTGTTAATCATGACATTAAGCCTTTTTTACAGTGTGTCTATTGGGACCAAGTCTACTATTCCCCATGAACAATCGGCCTGAATTACCTGTAGTCTCCTGTTCTCTCTTTAATGTGGCAGCAATTACTTTGAGTAAGTTTTGAACTCAAGCTTGATATTGCCTTTCACATAAAATAATGATCCCAGCCATTTCCACACAGTGACCCATCAATTAAACCCAGGTATTGAATCTGTAATCATTCCCAGCCAATAAACAAGTACTGGGACTAGTGCATCCTTTGTGTTTTAATGTACTTTAAAAGTTTTATTTTCTATTCAGTCCCTTCCTAGTCATTTTGTGTGTGTGTGTGTGTGTCGTGCACTAAGTGAATCCATTTAAGTTTTAACCAGTCAGGCTCCTTCTTAGTTGGAACTCAAGGAATCTATACGGTCTATACACCAAATCTCTCATTTTCCCCGTGCATTCTAAAAGACGGCAGGAAGGGTTTTGTGTGTTTCATGTGTGTGTACGCACGCTCAGTCTGAACACGCACGCACACACACACACACTCACACCCACCTACATACCCATGCAGCAGGCGCCTCATAGTAATTCTCATTCAGGCCAGCTGCTCGCTCCCTGGTGGCTTGTCCTTAGCCGTGGCTGGCCACGTCTCCAGACAAATGGCCACAGACACACATGCATATACATGCTCGCACAAACACAGACCCTGTGTGACTAAAGTGCGAGGAATTCTTTCTTATCTAATCAGTTTTTCACCTTGATGGGTTTTTTTGTTGTTTGTTTTTTGCAAAAAACACATTGAGACATTAACACTAAGTGTGTGTTTGTGTGTGTGTGTGTGTGTGTGTGAGAGAGAGAGAGAGAGAGAGTGTGACCGAGACACATTTGTCCCTTGCCTGATGACACCTTGCCGATTAGTACGTTTTTTTTCCCCTCTTATCAAGTTTGGACCACCTGGAAGGGAAGGAGTCCCCCTTATTGCCATCCTAGCTGACTGCTTGTCGAAACAGCTGTTTTTATAAATCAAGTAAATTCATGCCTCACAGGTTCCTTGTTTATCACTCCTGTAATCAAAGTGGACCAACGGGCAGACAAAGCACGACAAGAATACGGTATTTTTATCACGTCAAGATCTGAAATGGTCTGAATGATTAAGTAGTAAGTGCATACGAGTATTTATAGATAACAATTTCACACAGAAAGCCAGATCAATGCATTTTTTCTGTCTAATTAAAGTCATGCATGCACAGAGGCACCGTTATTATTATTATTATATTTTAGCAATGCTAATTTCAGTTTTTCATGGAACTCAGCCATTGTAACGTCCTTACTTCCACCACTTTTCTTTCCTCTATGACATGTTTTTTTCCCGTCACAAACAGACCAATGGTTCCCTTCGTCGTCTCGTGAGGAGCTTGTTTGTATTTGATCTGCTGCGCCAGAGGTGTGTTGAGTAATAATGCGTACTTTTACACTGAGGGAAGGAGAGCGAGACTGCAGAACGCAGGGCAAGCCACAGCAGTGGAGTGAAGAATGTGACTTCTTTTGCATTCCTCCCTCAAATAACTGGTGCAATCCCATTCCCTCCCTCCCCTTTTTCCCTTATTTTTTTCTTCTATTCCTTCTTTTGTCTTTTTCTCCCTTTCGACATTGTCTCTATAATTGTCTTGCTATCCTTTTTTTGAGTTTTTTTTTTTAAATTTGTTTTTTTACATATCGCAAAATCCTTTCGTAGATGATAACGAGAATAAATTAAGAATAAATTGAATGAAGCAATGGCGACCCTCAAAAATACTGAAGCATACAAGACATCCCAGAAAATAGGCAGCAATCATTGACAACCGTTTATCAGCCTTCAGGAGAGTTTTTAGTTTATAGGAACAAAAATCCCAAAGGAAGAAAGCCAATCACATTTGTGCAAACAAAAGCTTAAGCCACAGCTTCTTCCAAATCCACGAGGTGCAGAGTAATTTGCACAGAACAATTGTTCGGTTAGGGTTTGGACTCTTGAGTCATTCACTCTCCCCATGGTTCTTCTTATTTGGCTTCACTTCAGCCTCTGTAGCAACCTGGTTGTGTAAGATTTGAAATAATAATTACCTGCGGAAATATTTGGATAATTTTTTTGATATACTAATAAGTTTAAATTTTCTCCTCATCGCTGCTTATCTGTCCGTTGCGCACACACAACATACGAGGGTCACACAGGTCACAGAGAACCTCCAAGTTGGGCTAGGAATGCAAAGTGGCAGCTCTTCACCACCCGGTTCCAAGCACTCACACACACACACACAGAGAAAATCCTCCCCCGCTATCCCCTCTCCAGGCGCGAGCAGTCCCAGCTCCAGGCACAGCTGTTGTTTTCCCTGCAGACAACCTGCTCCCTAGTTTGCCAGCTCTGTCTTTTTGTAAAAATGTCAGCCGTGTACGGGCCCTCTAGGTCAGAGCCCCCCCCCCGTCCCCCGTGCAGAGGACAGGATTCAAGTTCATGAATTTGACAC